CAAATTAGACCCACTGAAATTAATGGGCCTGCATTGGTGAGGTCTATTAATGTCAATGGTTCTACTCTGAATACAACCTTTAGTGCTTCTTATTAGCTGCCTTGGAAGGTTTTATATGCTTAAAGGCAGGATATAAATAATGGGAATAAATAGATATCGCAATGACATTCAAATGCCTTCTTGCTGAAGAAATATGCTGATAAAATAGTCTTGTGAATAGTAGAGAGCTATGCTAGTTGCATTGGCCATAAGGTCATCAGATGCAATTGCACAAAGATCAGCAAGATAAGTCTTACTGTATGCTATGATTTTCCAAGGGAGCCTTTTTAAAAGGAAAGACTCATAGCCGAAAGAGACCTTAGCACTTTTAAGAGTTCAAGGATGTTTGGCTTCCAAAGGTGAATTATCACACCAATTTCAATCGTGATAATGGATCACTTAGCACTCTAAACTCGTTGGTATTTGTAGTAACAACCTTAAGGGATGTTCAAACCTCAAATAAATACAGCTTGGAGAAGAATGTAAATTACAGCCACACTATTAATCAGTCTGTCTTTGAAACCAGAAAGCCTGCAGAATTTCTTTTTTTGCTGGCAAAAGAAATTTGGTAAGTTTGTTAAGAGATGGTGTACTGATGTGTATAATAAGAATTGAACTGAAAAAAAAGAAAGAAGAAACGTCAGAAATTTGGGGTTATTTCTAAATGGCAGGACTGTCCTCGACCATTTTCACATCTGAAGTCAAAATGACACACCTCGAAAAATAATTGTGTGCAACAAAAATAGAAATAGAAATAGAAAAATTAAGTGAGACTATAGAGGAGAGGGGGAAACTGGGAAACAGCTTAGAGTGCAATGCCACATTCTGTATGAAAAATGACAATGAATAAAGCAAATATTGATACCCCTTGCCAGTGTGTGTGTGTGTGTGTGTGTGTATGTAATGAATGATACAGGAAGAGACTGGAGATAGAAATATGGCAGCCCACCCTTTACTTGCTCTTCAAAGTCCCTGCTTCACTCTGGGCAAAAGAGTTGTCACCTGTTTTACTTGCCCCTACTGCTGTGTCTAAGGGATGCGGGTGGCGCTGTGGGTTAAACCACAGAGCCTAGGACTTGCTGATCAGAAGGTCGGCAGTTCAAATCCCCATGATGGGGTGAGCTCCCGTTGCTCGGTCCCTGCTCCTGCCAACCTAGCAGTTCGAAAGCACGTCAAAGTGCAAGTAGATAAATAGGTACCGCTCCAGCGGGAAGGTAAACGGTGTTTCCGTGCGCTGCTCTGGTTTGCCAGAAGCTGCTTAGTCATGCTGGCCACATGACCCGGAAGCTGTACGCCAGCTGCCTCGGCCAGTAAAGCGAGATGAGCGCCGTAACCCCAGAGTTGGTCATGACTGGACCTGATGGTCAGGGGTCGCTTTACCTTTTACTGCTGTGTCTAACTGCTACTTGATACTTTGTATAGGATTGCTAATTATAAAAACATGGCTGCAAGCACCACACAGTGGGAGAGCTCAGTTAAACCTGGGAGAGCTGCTATCTTTGTCCATGTGTTTTATAGTATTTTATTTATTAAATTTACATATTTCCCTTCATCTGAGGATCACAGGGTGGTTTACAATATGGAAACAAAAAAACACACACCATAATAATAAACAAAAACAATACCCCCCCACCCAAGTTTAAAATCCCATAGATGTTTAATTAGTCAAAGGCCTAGGTCTAGGAGAAGAGGAATGCTTTCACCTGCCGCCTAAAGATGCATAATGAAGACACCAGGCAAACCTTCCTGGAGAGAGCATGCCACAAATGGGGGGGGGGCACTGCAGGAAAGGCACATTCTTGTGTTGACACCCTCCGGACCTCTCATGGAAGAAGCACATGAAGAAGGCATACCCTCCAACATTTCTCTGATGAAAATAGGGATATCCCATTCCATAATGATAATGTAACTATTTATACCCCACACATCTTACTGGGTTGCTCCAGCCACTCTGGGTGGCTTCCAACATACATATAAACATAATAAAACATTGAACATTAAAAAAATAAATCCCTATACATGATTGCCTTCAGATGGCTCAGGGGCCAGATAATTCCATACCTTCCAACTTTTCTCTAGCGAAAATAGGGATGTCCTAAGCAAAAGCAGGACATTCCAGGATCAAATCAGAAACTGCAGCTGTTGTACAAGGGATGACTATTATGACTGGAATGTAATTGAAAACAATAAGATTTTGGAATGCAGAAGCAAAGTAAATCACCAAATGACCAATTCTAGCACGTGGGGGGCCACTAAAATTATTGAATTTGGTATTTGAATGATTAGTATTAGCAATTGTATTATAATTTAGCATTGATATAATGAGGCTATGTAATAATAAAATTTAAAGTCATATATATATATATATATATATATATATATATAAAATAAATGTTCATAAATGTACCAACCAAGCTCGTACATAGATATGTGGACCACATGTCTGGAGCAGCACAGGAAGACCGCCCTGAAACCATTTTGACTCCCAAACTGACCAAATGTTTTCTCTGCAAGGTGGGAGGGGGTGAGGAAACCTTCCCATTGTCTCAGGAATTGGGTAATCACCATCTCAAGGGAATGGGCAGACTACCAGGAAAGGCAAACAGAGAAGGCATTATCAGATAACCTGACAGACAGGAAAAACAACAACATTCAAAATTACTGTTATAGACTGCCTTTTCTGTGATGTAGGTATGAGGTTTGTGGGGGGTGGTCTTGGGTTACACCCCTTCTGCGATGTATTTATGATGTATGGACGGGTGGTCTTGAGCTCCAGGAAATTTAAAATGTCTATATAAGGGCAGGCACACCTTTGTTCTGGGTCCTCCTCCGTCCTCCTGCGTGTGAGGGGAGCACCCTGTTGCAACAGCTTTAATAAAGATCAGGCTTACTAGCTGCTTTGCTTCTCAATATTCTCTGGTTGGCCTGTTATTTTCTCCTACCGATCGGGAACCCACTTAAGGACTCTATACGGGCTCTTGGATACCCCATAAGGGAAGAAGGGGAGATTTTGTTTACAACAGCTATTATTGGATTATTGTAATTGAAAACTAATTATTATTACCACAGAAACTGGGATGGCTTCTCTAAATCAGGCACATCCCTGGAAAATAGGACACTTGATCTCGGGGTCCGGGTAGGTTCATACAGAAAGAGGCAGTCCTTGGGGTATTGCGGTCCCGAGCCATTTGAAGCTAAGGTAAAGGTAAAGGGACCCCTGACCGTTAGGTCCAGTCGTGACTGAATCTGGGGTTGCGGTGCTCATCTCGCTTTATTGGCCGAGGGAGCTGGCGTACAGCTTCCGGGTCATGTGGCCAGCATGACTAAGCCACTTCTGGCGAACCAGAGCAGCACACGGAAATGCCGTTTACCATCCCGCCGGAATGGTACCTATTTATCTACTTGCACTTTGATGTGCTTTCGAACTGCTAGGTTGACAGGAGCAGGAACCAAGCAACGGGAGCTAACCCCATCGCGGAGATTTGAACCGCCGACCTTCTGATCGGCAAATCCTAGGCTCTGTGGTTTAACCCACAGCGACACCCACGCCCCTTTCATTTGAAGCTATCTAGGTCACGAAATTAGGACGCCTGCTTCTTGGGAGGAAAGCAATGACAAACCTAGACAGCATCTTAAAAAGCAGAGACATCACCTTGCCAACAAAGGTCTGTATAATTAAAGCTATGGTTTTCCCAGTAGTGATGTATGGAAGTGAGAGCTGGACCATAAAGAAGGCTGATCGCCGAAGAATTGATGCTTTTGAATTATGGTGTTGGAGGAGACTCTTGAGAGTCCCATGGACTGCAAGAAGATCAAACGTATCCATTCGGAAGGAAATCAGCCCTGAGTGCTCACTGGAAGGACAGATCCTGAAGCTGAGGCTCCAATACTTTGGCCACCTCATGAGAAGAGAAGACTCCCTGGAAAAGACCCTGATGTTGGGAAAGATTGAGGGCACAAGGAGAAGGGGATGACAGAGGACGAGATGGTTGGACAGTGTTCTCGAAGCTACCAGCATGAGTTTGACCAAACTGCGGGAGGCAGTGGAATACAGGAGGGCCTGGCATGTTCTGGTCCATGGGGTCACGAAGAGTCGGACACGACTAAACGACAACAGGTCCAAACCAGCACTTTGAATTGGGCCCGGAAATTAATTGGTAGCCATTGCAGTCGGACCAGGATTGGTGTAAGATGCTCAGCGGTTTTGCCTCGGTGAGCAACCGGGCCACTGAATTGTGCCCCAAACCGTCTTCAAGGGCAGCCCCACATACAATGTGTTGCAGTAGTCTAACCTAGAGCTTCCCAGGGCGTGGAGGACAGAAGTTAGGCTATCCCTGACAGGATAGGGGCCACCAAGCCTTTCCCTCACTAAACAGAGCAGTAGGACTGGGGATACGGAGCTGCCTGGAGGTTGAGGCCGCCTTAAAGCCTCTCATAACCCTGGAAGCAGGGGTGCCAGCTTGAACAGCATATTGGGGTGGGGGGCAGGTATGCCCCATCCCACATAAACGGGAGGCCCTCAACTATTTTATGGGGGGCAGGCGAATAGTTGGCTGCCACGTCCCCCCCAAACGGATACTTTTGCCACTCATGGCGCCTCATGGAGACCGGAAGCGTCTGTTGAGCGGAGCGCCCGCTTTGGCGCGGTTCCTTTGGTGGGAAGGGAGCGCGCGAAAGACACAGACAGACAGAGCCGCCCACCAATCTCCGCTCGCGCCGATACTTTGGCCCCGCAAGGCTCGACGTAGAACCCGACGTGTACACGCGCGCGAGCTCGGCTCGAGTCCCTAGGGCGTCGCCTTTCATTCGCCCGCCTGCCCGCCCGCCATTGGCTCCTTTCCTTTGCGCCCGCCCCTTCCCCCCCACCCCACCACACGCACACGCACGTGCGCTGGGCCCCCGACTGTAAACATGCCGCGACTTCCTCCGTGCGTCTCGACGCACGCCGGAACCCGGAAGTGATGGCGGGGAAAGAGGTGTGTGGAGCGGGTGGGGGCGAGGTGGCTCGAGTCTCGCTTGTGCGCGGCGGCGGCGGCGGCTGTGGCCGGGAGGGTGGGGGCTGCGAGGGGTGTGTCCGCGCGCGCTGTCAGCCGTCGCCTTGACCGTTATTCGCTCCCCCCCGCTCCTCCCCTTCCCTCAGCGGTGCTTCTTCAGGGGGGTTTCCGAGGGGCGCTGCCCTTGATCTTGGGAAAGGGGTTGAAGGGGGGGAAACTAAGGCCAGGTATGTACTTGTGTGCGCGCGCGCGCGTGTGTACGTGCTCGCCTCCGATCTGTTATTGGCCGAGGTTTTTTTATTTCGCTGCTGCTGGCGGCTCGTTCCGATCTCCGTGTCGCAGGGGTGGGAATCTCCTTTTTTGGGGGTTCACGTGTGAACGTGGCGTCTTAGACACGTGTTGAGCTCGCTGAAGTCGGCGGGAGTAGTTAGGGGCAGAGACGGCTGAGGGGTGGTAAGGAGGACCCAGCAGCTTTCAGACCGCAGGTGGAGATGCTGGTCGCAAATATAATCTTGTGCCAACCAAGCGAAATATGGAGCTGTAGAGTTGGAAGGGACCCCAAGGGGTCATGTAGTCTAACCCCCTGCGGTGCAGGAATATGCACGTATGGGGATCAAACCTGTGACCTTGTTGCAGTGGGTCAGGCTGTTAAGCAGTAGGTTGGTGGAGCAAGCTCCCCACAGGCAGGATTCCTGCATTGTAGGGAGGTTGAATTAGATGATGGGGGAGTCCCTTCAAACTCTACAATTACAGTGGTACCTCGGGTTAAGTACTTAATTCGTTCCGGAGGTCCGTTCTTAACCTGAAACTGTTCTTAACCTGAAGCACCACTTTAGCTAATGGGGCCTCCTGCTGCTGCCGTGCCGCCGGAGCACAATTTCTGTTCTCATCGTGAAGCAAAGTTCTTAACTTGAAGCACTATTTCTGGGTTAGCGGAGTCTGTAACCTGAAGCGTATGTAACCTGAAGCATATGTAACCCGAGGTACCACTGTATAGGATTCTATGAACCAGTGCTTGTGGTGTGTGTTCATGTATGTAGATCCTACTCTCAGTTTGTTGGCTGCCACCAAAAGTAAGCTTTGAATACAGGAGATGAGAAAAGTTACACAGTTTCAAGTGTCACAGCCTTCCCTGCTGTGCCCTTTTGTTGATATCGCCTTTTACCATATGTTTCGCTCAGGTCTTAAGCGTGATGCCGGGACAGCAGGGAGAATTTACCTGTGTGACCTTGCCTGAGCTAAGGATTTAAATGATCCCAGGATTTGACTAGCCATTACTTTCATTATCATTACCACCATTGCTATTGATATTGACCCTTCACCAGTGGGTGCCATTCACCAGCAGGTGCCGTTACAGCAATTAAATTTTAAAACAGTTTAAAGAGATCACAATCGCAGGAATGGGGTGGGCCCTGAAAGCACACATCTCGGGTGTCAAGGACGAAGGAAAATAGATGTGAATGTGGAATGAGGCAACTGATACTGGACAGTCATGAAACAGCAGGAAAGTGTTGCTTATATAAATATATCATCATCATATTTTTAGTGCCAGGGTGAGGGAAAAGACGCTTGTGGGATGTTGTTCTGCCACTGTTGCCAAAATAGCCTTGACTTTGGGAGTGGGGAAACGAGGGCTGCCATTTGCTCCATTTCAGGCAGCAAAATGCGTCGGAGTGGTCCTGAATGTGGCAAGGTGTCCATGCTACACTGAATAAGCAAATTTTCATGTTTTCCTGGTGCATTTTAAAATTGAGCCATTAGCACAGCATTTTTATAGGTCATTTAAGAACTTGGTATGCAGGACTTAAGCATGTTTAATTTAAAGTAAGGCTGCAATTTGAAGAGCACTCAGTTTGGAGGAAATCTTGTTAAAGTCTGAGTGGTAGGCTCATCTAAGCTTAGTTCCTAGTCAACATGTTTTGTGTTGCTACGTCAAGTGTTGTAAGTACACACAAACTGAGTTTTTTATATTAAGTAACCAATATTAACAATGTTTATCCACATTTCTCCCCATCATTAACGTATACAGATAAATGGTGCTGTTACTGTGCAATCATAACTCTGTTTACACAGAAGTAAGTTTTATTTGATTGAGTGGGACTTATACCAGGGTAAGTGGTGTTAGAATTGCAGCCTGCCTTATGTATGGAATATATTTTAGTTAATAAAATATCTCCATGTGTGCAAACAACCTTCTCTTATTCTAACATAGTTGTGCAAATATGAAAAATCACCACTTAAAGACCACTTAACATAGCTCTTGTGTAAAGGTTTATGTAAGTGTACCTCTTGATATGTACTCTTGTAGAATCTTACAGACTAAAAGTTACATTTTTGTCTTTAGAATATGTGTGGGTGGTGACTGGCTTTGAGGGAGCAATAAATATATTTGCAAACCGTATTACCTGCTCACAAGTAACTTAATTCCTGCTGAGAAATTACATGTGGCTGGGTTTCAAACAAAAAAATTGTTTAAATTGTTTGTTTTTTACAGATTATAATTTCAGATATTACTGAAGCAACGATCTGTTTGAGAGACTTTGGGTTACGTATGAAGTTCCTGATTTTAAAGTGGCACAACTGCAATGAAGAAAAGGAGAAAGCTCACTGCAAATTTAGATGACAAAAACCATCTTGATCATCGGAGGGAATCTTCAGATAAGATTCCTGTTGCAGATTCTGTGCAGAAAGTTATTGCTGGTTCTGCAGGAGTCGCTGCTGCAGACCAGCTTGAGTATTCTAAAGAACTCCCGCCATCAACAGCTCAAAGAAAGCTTTTGAGCTCCCTGCAGTACAACAGAAATCTACTCAAATATTTAAATGATGATCGACAGAAACAACCATCTTTTTGTGATCTGCTCATAATTGTTGATGGAAAAGAATTTAGTGCCCACAAGGTAGTAGTTGCTGTTGGGAGTAGTTACTTTCATGCCTACTTGAGCAAAAATCCAAGTACAAATGTCGTTACCTTGGATCACGTAACTCATTCAGTTTTCCGCCATCTACTTGAATTTCTCTATACGTCAGAGTTTTTTGTGTATAAGAATGAAATCCCCTTAGTTTTAGAGGCAGCTAAGTTTTTAGATATTATCGATGCAGTCAAGCTGCTGAACGCTGAAAATGTTTCCAGTTTGCAGTTTGAAGAGACGTCAGAGAATTCATCCCAGGTAGAAACATCCAGTGAGCAAACTCCCCAAGCAGCAAGCAATCACCAATGCACTCTGTGCAATCGCAACTTTTGTTACAAGAAATCCTTAGAAAATCACTTGTCCAGAGCACACAAAGCTTCTGCCCGGGAAAAAGAACATGGGCTAAAAATGGTCGAGAGCTCAGATACTTCTACCAGAAGATCACTGCGAAATCGCAAATGTCCGGCTAAGTTTGATCAAAATGACAACGAAAGTGGAGCTGCATCTGATGGCAATTTAAATCAAGCGAGTCCTGGCAAGAAAAATGATGAGTCTAACGACGAGTCTAACAATGAGTCTGAAGACAGTGGAAGTGAGTATCACACTGATGAAGACAGGCAAGAGGAGGACACAACTGACACGGAGTCTGAAGAGCAAAGTGAAAAAGAACGTGATGAAGAAAGACATGAGACAGGTGATCCAGCAGGAAATATTTCTGGAGGCAGTCTTTCCACATATATTCCAGTCATTTTTCAGAACGGTAGCAAAAAATACTTGCAGTGTCCTAAGTGTAATAAAATATTTGATCGAGCAGGTAAGTGGGAATCACATGCTCGATGTGCTTTGCCTCTTAGGTTCAAACAGATTTGTGCTCTTTGTGATCATTGCTCACACCTCTAAAAGGGCTTATGCCACACACTGTAAATGCAGGTCCTATATAGAGCATTACAGTTCATATTATTGAGCGAAGTGTGTAGCTGACATCCTTGGAGTAGTAAAAGAAAACTAGAACCTCATGTGTTCTGTATATTGCCATATCCTTTGCGCTAGTATAACAAATACAGCAAGTTATGGTCATGTCATTTAACTACCTGAACAACCGTATTTTGAAATGCATGTGAAAATGACATTAGAAAAAGAACAGTTAGATGTGTAATCCAGAGAATACTTCAGTTTTTCTGGACTTGCTGTTACAGTTCTTTTAAGCACAAGTCATCTTTGAAAAAGACATGCATGTTGTTGTTAGGCATTTGAACACATGTGTGTTAATTATTGGAATTGAGAGTAGCTAACATGCCCTCTATATGATGTTGGGCTACAACTTTTGCTAGCCCCAGTTAGCATGACCAGTGATCAGGAAGAATGGGGATTGTTGTCCAGCCATCGCCTGGAGGCAGTTCATCACCACCACCATTATTATTATTATTATTATTATTATTATTACTACTACTACTTCTACTACTACTACCCTGCCTTTCCCCCGACGGGACTCAAGGCAGTTTGAGATAAAAACAAGAATCACTAAAAATAATTTAAAACAATTAAATTAATAGAATTAAAACTATATACATATATAAAATCTGTTTAAAACATATAGAAGATAATGATAATAAAAACACCACAGCACCAGCCCTCTCATTAAAAGCACTCAGTTCCCTGTTAAAGCAATAAGATCTTCATCTGCTGGCAGAAGGATTGGAGAGAGCTAGTCTATCTTCTCCAGGGAGGGAATTCCAGAGTCTGGTAGCAGCCACCAAGAAGGCCCTCTCCTGAGTCACCACCAAGCATGCCAGTGAGGGTCTAACAACAACAACAACAACAAGAATATATTCCTTATACCCCACCCATCTGACTGGGTTGCCCCAGCCACTCTGGGCAGCTTCCCACATGATAACAGCAAAATGTCAAACCTTAAAAACTTCGCGATACAGGGCTGCCTTCAGATGTCCATTTTCTAAATCATTGGTCTTCATCTGGTGGGCCACGACTTTTACCAGTTGTCGTTGCAACCGAGAGAAAGAGAAGGTCAGATATAGGTCTGATTACAAAGTTTGTTGCCTTGCAACTCTTTTGGGAACACATGATGGTGATGGCTTTATAAACTGAAGCGGCCACATTCTGGCATGTATGTTAGTTGCATGGATGCTGAAATTTATGTAATTGTGACAACTCACAAAAGGCCTGCTGAAGTCATCTAAACCCTGGAGGCTGCATGTTCACTCCCACATGGAGGCACCAGTTGATACTGTGATCCTTCCTGTGGCCTTGCATGCTGTTAATGCTGATCAGCCATCTGAGCCAGGCCTTAATCAATTTTGGTAAAGGTAAAAACAATATACAACAACAAATTTAAATTGGTGAATTAATCCAGGTTCCGGTAAAGTTAAAGACCTCTGTGCTCGGTTATTACAGCAGGGCATGGTCCAAGGCATGGGATGACTAGTGGGTCAAGAAGACTCTAGCAGAGGAACTGAAACTCATTGGTAGAGTCCCTATGAAGTCTGAGGAAGCACCTTAACAATTTCATTGCAGTGCTAGTTGAGATCGACTGAGGTCAAATTGCATTGTGTTTTAGCTCTTGAGTGAGTTTTTTCAGGTTGTGAACTAGTGGTGGTGACAACCACATCCCAAACACTCTGCTAGATCAGCTAGCAGAAGACAGAACAATTTCCCAGTTTAGACAACGTGTTCCTCCCCAAATGGAAATACTTCCCTGAAGAAGGGCTTCATTTATTTATGTAAAGCACTATAACCTTGGAAATGCCATCACAACCTATACTTGATGCATAGTAGTACTGAATGTTTGCAGGACTATAGTTGCTGGTTGGTTATCTAATATTTTAACTGGAGTGGTTTGTTTTGTAGGGAAATTTGAGATCCATTCTCGTGTGCACACTGGCGAGAAGCCGTTTCAGTGCGATATCTGTCATCAGCGCTATTCAACCAAATCCAACTTAACTGTACACAGAAAGAAGCACAATGATGAAATTGTATGTCATAAAAAGGAACACAAATGTCCATATTGTAACAAACTGCACGCCACAAAAAAGACCCTAGTAAAGCACTTGAAGAGGCAAGTATGAATGAAATTTTTTATGCTATACTCAAATGCTGTGATGATGTGATTTATTTTAAGTACAAGATTATAAAAAAGTATTGACGCAGGAGATTTTATAAACTACCTGCTTGAAATATGTGGCAACCATTTATTTTTAAAGTCCATGGCATTAAAAACGTGTGTGTTGATGCTCTCTGCACATTTTATAAAGTGACTACATTGTTTCATTGCATGGCAAGTGCTTGTATTTTGAGACAATTCAAATGCTTGCCTGCTGTTGATGCTCTGTACATTGAAGGGCTCTTTTCATCACACACACACACACACACACACACACACACACCAAACAAAAGTGATAGGTGAGGAATCCATATGTATAGCAGTATAGGCTGGTTTCAAATAATGTTTGGGCTAAAGGGCTGGGCATGGAAAGGGCAGCACATGAGAACAATATGTTGCAGCTTTTCTAATGCTGTATAGTTGAAATATACAGGGAACACGTTGGGCTGTGCGTTGGACCTGGGTGAAGTCTGAGCTGAATTAGGGGGAACGGGCTTCAACCCAGATTGTCCTGGGCCAGGTCGGGTCAGGCTGCCCACAGCAATCCAGGGCTATTAAGGGTTGGGGACTGTTAGAAAGAGATATGAAAGCTAGGAGCTAAATGGCACCTTAAAGCTAGGTTATAGGCACAACAACAGAATGTCTAGACACTCTTTTTTATAACAAAAATTCAAAACTGAAAATGAATGAACTGCAGCTAAAATATTATGTTCATTTTTCATATGGCCTAGTTCCTTCCCCTGCCCACGCCCCTAATATTCTTAAGAGGGTCTCTTCTCTAGTATTCATAGAGTAGCTGAAGTGGGGAGGCAGAAAAAGGTCCTCCTTTCCTTCCACTCTGCAGTTTTAATCTGAAATCTTAAACGCAGTACTGCACCTAGAGCTTAGAAACTGCTTGCGCTAATTAAATTCCCTGTCACAAAATTTGCCTAGAACAATGGGAGTTTTGAACACTGGTTGGTGAAGAAGGCCGATGCTCTTGGGCGCAGCGTCTCCTTTCCTATTAGGTCTTTTAAATTCTTGTGTAAACAAGCAGTCACAAGGTAGAGGGGTTCACAACATAAAATTACAATATAAAAACACAAAAATCATAGTAAAAATAATATGCAACAACTGCAAATAAGAATATATAAGACATTTTTGCTTCTTTTATGTCGCATGGGGAGTATGTTTGTTGTGGGTACTAATACAGCTTGTTTCTAATATTTCTTTCTGTGCTCAAGCATATAATTTCCTTACTCTAGAAATAATTTCTCAATGGATTTTCCCACCCTGCAGATTCCACCCTGAAAAAGTACAGGAATTTCTCTCCAAAAAGAAAAAGAGTGAAGGCTGGAAATGTGATGTAAGCATAACTTTGATTTTATTGGGAAGAAATGGACACTTTTGGTTACTATTATTATTATTTATTAGATTCATAAACCACCCATCAAAAGACCTTAGGGCAGTTCACAAGATAAAGATACAAGATAAAAGCACAGATAAATAGTTAAAACAGAAACAACAAAATGATAATCCCCACTACTCTTTCTCAGATTCAGAGAACTGACTGTGGATACAATCAGGCTGTGTGGATTTTCCCTTTTCAGCTGCAGTTCTTCATATAATGCACTGGTTTCCTTTACTTTCTGGTGCATGTAATAGTGGGGCACAGGGAGCTCCTATGAGGAGGGCCCCCACAAACTCTAGTGTATGGGCGAAAACTCAAACTTCATGGGTTTTGATATCTCCCCCCCCCCCGCCTTATTTTTTTTAATGCATAATGCCATTCCAAGTTATTATTATAATAATTTTTTGCATATGTTGGATTGAGACATTCTTAGAAAATGTGATTGGTACGTGGCAGTGATTGATGCCCAAGTTCTTAACACCAAATAAAAAAGACCAGTCCTACTTTCTGTTATGTTGGGTTGAAATCACGACAGACGAATGGTGGGTGTCAAAGGAGAGACGTCTGCCCGGGACAAGTCCCGGGAACTCTCTTTTATTGAATATTACAAACATTGCCACAGGTGTGCTTGTGGCTGATTGGCTGATACAAACACAAAGCATCTTGTTGCTGATTGGTTAACATAGGTACAAGGCGGGAATAACATATTACATTAATCACTGATAGTTCAAAAGACTGGGAACGGAGCTGGAACTAGACAGGCATGAAACCTCCTAATTAAATTATAACTAAGATTAATATAACATGACTAAAACAATTACTAATGATTGATCATAAGTGAGAGTTCCGTATATGTGGTCAGCTATGCATTGAGAACAGAGCATGTTGTTTTTTGTACATGAACTCAGAATGAACTGAAGAATGAGGGAATGTCTGGGTGTGCTGAGCTCGGTGTGTTTGGAACAGTATGTGCAGAGCAGAAGGAGACTTCCCAGAATCCAAGAGGAAAGAAGCAAGGGTTCTCATAGTGAGCATAGAAAGATTTCATAGTAAGATTTCCCACAATGCCACATTATGTGCAGTAAGAGAAACTGCAGAAAGGAAACTTCCCTTCACTGTTATGCACATTTGTGTGGAATACCTTCCATTCGTATATAGCTGGTTTCATGGCTGCAACAAAGATTTAAAAATAACTGACTTCATGCGGTAGTATTTTCATCTGGTAGCGTGATCATGTAAATTCATAGTGAATAGTAATACCTGCAATTAATCAAGATGCACAGGAATTCTCTCTTCATGCTGAAGATGGGTTAAAACCTGAAAGAACCAGACATGAGTATAGTAGAATAGCCACTAGTCCATATAACATGAGTCACAATGCATTTTCAGAAATATAATATTCTGATGGGTTCCTCACTGTCTAGGTATTAGCACTTCTGTTGATTAAAAACAGAATAATAGGTTTCTTACATTGAAGAAGCTCATGTGTGTGTACATGGCACATTCTAGTAGATGTTAATAGTTAATGGTTGGTTGGCTGTTCTATCACTTTAGATTTGCAATAAATCTTTCACTCGAAGGCCTCATCTGGAAGAACACATGATTCTACACACACAGGACAAGCCCTTTAAGTGTACATATTGCGAAGAGCACTTTAAATCCCGCTTTGCAAGACTGAAGCATCAAGAAAAGTTCCATCTCGGTAGGAAAATCCCATTCTGCTAGTAAATATTAAATATAAATGCATTTTCTTCAGTGTGTATTTGTAGACATAAATCATCATTCACTAAGCAACTTGTGCAAATCTCTTCCAGGATTGTGTTTCAGTATGTATTTTCAACCTGTTTTTAGTTGTGCAAAATAATCAATACTGCTTCCGCTTTTGAAATACGCCTGTATGTATTGAAGGGATTATTAGAAGTGTGTATTTTGCCTGTCAGTTTCATGTTCTTGAAGTCTAAAATAATGTGCTTGGCTTTGATGCGATCCTTGTTGCTCAAGTGGAAACAATGTAAATTGCATTTGTGTTTCTTCCCAGGACCTTTTCCATGTGATATTTGTGGTCGTCAGTTTAATGATACTGGCAATCTGAAGCGCCATATTGAATGTACTCATGGAGGAAAGAGAAAATGGACATGCTTTATTTGTGGGAAATCAGTCAGAGAAAGGTAGGTAGTAATATACATGCGTAAAGAAATGTTTTTGTACTAATTTGTTTCTACACACAAAACTCTTAACTTTTCAGAAGTTTTTGTATAATAAATAGGAAAAGGTTGACCTAGTACTTTCAGTCTTTTAAGATCTTACTAATGGGAACAGTAGTTCTCCATTCTTCAGAATGTATTGGACTTTAATAACTGCAACTATTGATCACAATGAAAAGGTTGGAGTATATATTCTTCAAATATTTTCATTTTTCTCCTCCAGAACAACTTTGAAAGAGCACTTGAGAATCCACAGCGGAGAAAAGCCTCATTTGTGTAGTATTTGCGGGCAGAGTTTTCGTCATGGAAGTTCATACAGGTAACACATGTCTGTATCATTACTTAGGATTACTGATAGTAGCATAATGTCAGAAATGCTCTTGACATTTCGTTTATTCTTGGGCAGAAGTTAGAAAAAGCAGCTGTGGTCGCTTTTTATTTTTTGCAAGGTTACCTGGAGTTAGGCTGGAAAAGGAGGCAGGGAAATGAGCGTGTTGCCAGCAAGAGACTCTTAGCCACATGAAAAGTTTTTTTATAGATATATTTTTTTTCTCACAATTTTATACATTTTAACAAAGCAATTTCTAACATTAAAGTACAAGGTTCTTTTGAACCTTCGGACCTCCTTCCCTCCCTCCATGGGTTCCATGTTTACGATTAAATTTGCTGCATCTTTTACCATTATCCATCTGTTAAATATCCATAATTATCATTAAAAAAATCCACATTACAAGTGTCATTACATCCCTGCCAGTGATTTTAACTGTTTACAGTGGTCTTTTAAATAAATTACAAATTTGCTCCAGTCTTTTAGAAAATACTTGCTCTTACTGGTTTCAGATCTTCCCTGTCAGTTTGGCCATCTCTACATACTCCCATCAGTTTTATTTGCCATTCTTCCTTTCTTGGTACTTCTTCCTTCCTTCCATGAAGAGTCCCCCCCCCAACTGCTGTAAGCTCACTTTTGTGTAGCCAGGTGGGCATTTGAGGAAGAGCTCCAAAATAAAGGAGGATTAAGGTAGGATAGCCAGTTCAGATGTAACAACATTTTTATCAACGACTTGGATGATGGACTCAAGGGCATCCTGATCAAATTTGCAGATGACACCAAATTGGGAGGGGTGGCTAACACCCCGGAGGACAGGATCACACTTCAAAACGACCTTGACAGATTAGAGAACTGGGCCAAAACAAACAAGATGAATTTTAACAGGGAGAAATGTAAAGTATTGCACTTGGGCAAAAAAAATGAGAAGCACAAATACAAGATGGGTGACACCTGGCTTGAGAGCAGTACATGTGAAAAGGATCTAGGAGTCTTGGTTGACCACAAACTTGACATGAGCCAACAGTGTGACGCGGCAGCTAAAAAGCCAATGCAATTCTGGGCTGCATCAATAGGAGTATAGCATCTAGATCAAGGGAAGTAATAGTGCCACTGTATTCTGCTCTGGTCAGACCTCACCTGGAGTACTGTGTCCAGTTCTGGGCACCACAGTTCAAGAAGGACACTGACAAACTGGAAGGTGTCCAGAGGAGGGCAACCAAAATGGTCAAAGGCCTGGAAACGATGCCTTATGAGGAACGGCTAAGAGAGCTGGGCATGTTTAGCCTGGAGAAGAGGAGGTTAAGGGGTGATATGATAGCCATGTTCAAATATATAAAAGGATGTCACATAGAGGAGGGAGAAAGGTTGTTTTCTGCTGCTCCAGAGAAGCGGACACGGAGCAATGGATCCAAACTACAAGAAAGAAGATTCCACCTAAACATTAGGAAGAACTTCCTGACAGTAAGAGCTGTTCGACAGTGGAATTTGCTGCCAAGGAGTGTGGTGGAGTCTCCTTCTTTGGAGGTCTTTAAGCAGAGGCATGACAACCATATGTCAGGAGTGCTCTGATAGTGTTTCCTGCTTGGCAGGGGGTTGGACTCGATGGCCCTTGTGGTCTCTTCCAACTATGATTCTATGATTCTATGATTCAACAGACCACAGTTAACCCTAAGCACAGATTCAGAACCCAACTTCAAATCATGGTTTTTGATTGGTCATAAGGTGATGATTGGGGTAGGTTCAGCGATGTAAACAAACTATGATTTAGAGTTGTGTCTAAATGCTGAAAATACCTCATCCCATGCATGCTGAGCTATTGTTTCGCCGCAGTTCTAATTATGGGGATTGTTGGCAGGCTGCGCTTTAACAGTGAGCACAAGAGATCCCGTGCAAACTTAACCTTGTGCATTTATTAATGCAGACTTCATCTGCGGGTCCACCATGACGACAAGCGGTATGAATGTGAAGAATGTGGAAAGACTTTCATTCGTCACGACCATCTGACAAAACACAAAAGGATACACTCAGGTAGACAAATGACGTTGGCTTTTTCATTCAAAGAAACCCTGGTTAGCTCAAAAACAAAAGCCTTTGATCTCCTGTTGGCCTGTAGAAGAGGGAAATGCATGAATTCAAGGCACATCACAGCCCATACATGCAGGACTGAACCATTCATTTGACTTGACCTGAAAGCGTATGAAAATGTACATGATTATTTGGCAGTGTTCTGTCAGACTGGGTTTTCCCTGTTTGGGTGCCTTCGGTCTTTTTTATTAAAGCTCATTCAGTTTGTGCTTTTGGTTCTCCGAAGGTGAAAAGGCCCATCAGTGTGAAGAATGTGGAAAATGTTTTGGCCGAAGAGACCACCTCAGTGTTCATTATAAAAGCGTTCATCTTGGAGAAAAGGTGTGGCAAAAGTAAGTTTTCATTTTAATTCTGAAACGCCTTTGTATGTCCCAGTTTCAGTGTAACAAGAAGGATCCTTGTGCCAGCACGCTCCCTTTCTCTGCACACTTGGCTTTAGGGAGACATTGCAGTTTGCCAAACCACAGTTTCCCATCCCGTCCAAACTGGGGAACTCTTGTTTTAAATGCTGCTTGGAAACCAGGATCTTCACCCCTTTCTAGTTTGTGTTTTAGGCTGCTTTGTGGCGAAAAGGCTTCTAAAGTGGCATGTAACAATAATTTTTTTTAAAATGCTAAAACAAAAAATGAGATTAAGCAGCAGTACAAATCAAGAGTACAAATTAGTTTGGCCCCAAGATGCTGGTAGTTAAGTGCACAGGGTAAAGTTGCTTTGACATTTTCTGCTTGTTTTCTAATCTAACACATTTATATCTTTCTCCAGGACACAATTTAAAGCAGGGGCAGGGGCGGGAATTAGAATGTTAAGCCTATGATTTTGAATGTTAAGCCTATGATCATGTATACACTGAAAATATCCATGGATGTGGAATTTTTTTCTAATACATTCCATTTTCCTTGAAGGTACAAGGCAACATTTCATCAGTGTGAAGTCTGTAAGAAAGTGTTCAAGGGGAAATCAAGTTTGGAAATGCATTTTAGGACACATTCAGGTAAGCAGTTGTGGACTTTATGCTTTGGTGGATCAGCAAGAATAAATGTGATGTTTCATATTATGGAATTCATAAGGGTAGCATTTTGTGGCACATAGTATGCCTTGGCATTTGAATACTAGCTAACAGTTTAGTGTACAGTTTAGTGCATGTTTGTAGGCTCTCCTATCTCAGAATCTCATCTGAAAAGTTAGCACAAATTAGACTTTGATGTGACTTTCTACATGCCCAAAGTTCTTGATGTTGGAGAGCTGTCAATTGTAGAATTGGAAGGGATCCAATCTAGTCCAATCCCCTTCAGTGCAGGAATCTCAACTAAAGTGGTATATTCTAGGAAGAACTGGACCATGTGATCAGAACTATCAGTTCAGAACTGTTAGCTCTGAGCAGTAGAATAATGAACAAATAAAACAAAATAAAACCCTGCCCATCTGGCTGGGTTTCTGTATAAATCGTTATGTAAGAAAACAGGTTGTCGCAGACTAGATTTCTCATAGTGTAATTAGTGGACTATCTTGGTTAATTACAGTCAGTTGGGATAATTCTTTACCTTTCATTGGTAGGACATCTTAGCACTAGATATAGATATACGAAAAGCTTTACAAATGCATTTCCCGAATATTAACCTGTTGGCTATTAAAGCAATGGTTTTGTGTGCGTGTTTTTTTTTTAAAAAACCACCACAAACGAGAATAAAACTTAAAATCACAACTTTGGTTCCTCCCCCCCCCCCATGTTTGCCAAAATATTTAAATTAATAAAACGCCTCTCCATGCAACAAAGAAACTAATAACGCTATGTCCTATTGATATATTAGGAAATATTTACTCTATTTATTCTGACTTTTTTCAAACACAGGTGAAAAACCGTACAAATGTCAAATTTGCAACCAGTCTTTCAGGATTAAGAAGACGTTAACGAAACATATGGTTATTCATTCGGATGCCCGGCCCTTCAACTGTCAGTATTGCAATGCGACATTTAAACGGAAGGACAAGCTGAAATATCATACTGACCATGTGCACGGAGGAAAGTCTGCCGAAGAATCACTAAGCCCAGTGCCGGAGGAGAAAGTAGTCTCTTTGCCAACCCAGTTTGTACCCGATGACAAGGCTTTCCAAAGTGAGTCTAAACCGTTTGTGGAACCAGCCAAGGTTTATCAAGCAGAAACCAAAACAATGCTACAGAATGTATCGCCAGACGTGTGTGTACCACTAACACTGATACCCGTGCAGATACGCGAAACTCAGTCCGATCTTGTAGAACATACCACCCCTGTTTCATCCTCGCCTCACAACCTTCTTTCTTCACAACCTCCTCCAACGGACTACCAGCAAGCGACGGATTTGGCATTTCTAGAAAAATACACACTCACTCCACAGCCTGCAAACATCGTTCATCCGGTCAGACCTGAGCAAATATTGGATCCTAGAGAACAGTCTTATCTTGGAACATTGCTGGGTCTTGATTCAGCTCCCTCAGTGCAGAATATTTCAACTAATGATCATTCGTGATTATGTGTGACAGGCTATTATGACAATAGTCAACAAAGTAATTCACTAGTGCCAGGATTTCTGCTTGTGCAGTTGAACTTCTTCTTCTCCCCAAACCTGCTATGGGGGGTTGAGGGAACCCCCAGATTTAGGAGACACATGGGAGGGGAGAGGGAGTGGCGTTACATAGCCCAAAATCCTTGTGCAAGTGGAACTACTTTGTTAGAAATAGCCCTTATATTTCCCTAGTCTTGCTTCTCTGTTTAGCAACCAGAAAGCTCTCAAAGCGGAAAGTTGCCAAGTACAAAGGAAAAGAAGTGTCTTTTTAAATGCAGCGGTTCAACATTCAAAATATAATCGTGTGGTTTTTAAATATTGTACAGCTATTTTTAAAACAACTTTCACGAGGTAATCTTATTCGTCAAGAAACCTTAAATGAAATAATTGAGTCATTTATGAATAGCTCTTCACCTTTGCATTATTAATATGCACCTCTCATATATGAAAAAGGTTTTGGGACGTTCAAAGGTACAAATAACACAAGTTCCTATTTATATTACAGATCATAAAATTATTTTAACTGTTAAAGTTCTGATCTCCCCAGCTTTGCTCTTCCTGCATGGGGAAAACAACACATTTCCAGGTTTAGCATTGCATCCAGGGATTGTGACTTGCTAGCAATTTGTCATAATGGAAATATAATTCAAATCTGCATGCACACACAGAAGATATAATCGTTCTAAGACACATAGGGCTTTAAAGATCAAACATGGCACTTTTAGTTGGGCAGGGAGAGAATTGGCAGTCATTGCTGTTGCTTTAAGAATTGGTGAAATAAAAGACAGCTGACCCATGCTTTTCAAGGGAATAATTTGAATAAATATCTGTATAGAAAAGTATGCTTCTAGATACTGGTTGTTGAGAATTGCAGGCAGAGGGAGATAGAGCAGTTGTCCTCTGCTCCAGCTTCCTAAGAGCATCTGATTGGCCACTGTGAGAATAGGATACTGGAATGAGATGGACTTCCATCGTGATCCAGTAGGCTGCTCTTAAGTCCGTCCTTCCTTCTTCCTTCCTGGTTTAACTTGAGGCAGTCCTAAGTAAACTTAATTGGAAGTAATGGTCTGTTAATCCATGTGACTTAATTGGAGTAAATATCGGATTAGTCAGACGGTGGCCAGCGTTTTTAGCGTCCAATAACACTAAAAAAAATGCTGATAAATCAGTTTCCACTTCTAGTGCTTTTGAGAACTGTTGCTAGATAGTTGTGGAAAAGACCCAAAATGTATATGAGGGTTGATATAGAGGTTCTGTGATCCTCCTACAAATCTAGTACTTGTTACCTCATTACAGTATTTTCCTTTATAAATGAATGTTATTACATTTAAACAATCGTGGAACCATAGGCTACTTGGGTGCCGGGTAGTTTGTGTTCTTGCCCATGTTTCAGCACTTAAAACAGATGGTTGCTACAAGCTTCTTTACGGTTAGGAAAACTAAGAAGCTTGCTTTGCGAGTTCTTCTATCTTAATTGTTGTCTTCAGAGTACACCAAATGTGCGTGTTAGCTGTTGAATAGTGCTAGAAATATGTAGAGTTGAAGATTTGAACGTTTGGTCCAAAGAGGTACAAGAAACTCCTGGTTTTATGGCTTTTGCCACATTTGCACATATCCTAAAGACAGGTGGGTATGTGTAGCAAGATTAGGAGCAAATACTCAGAGGTACTGCTGTCATGTAAGTATGTTGGATAAGTGAATTAGGTTTGGAGTACATATAATGCTAATTTTTAGGAATGGGGTAAATCACGTAATCTTTTTATGTATTTTGGCATCATTTTGATACTCTAGAACAGCGATGGCCCTCGAGATATTGCTAGACTACAACTCCCATCCTTGTCCATTGATCATGCTGGCTAGAGCTTATTGCAGTTAACATTTGTGGGAGCAAAAGGTTACCCATCTATGATCAAAAAAAGGAAGCTATACAGCCCTGTGTTTACTAACTGCATTAACTAGAGAGTCTCATGAGCTGGAAGTTGCTTGTTTTTAATTGCTTGTTATTCATTTTTGTTGTGTTTTAACCGACATTTTTGATGCTAAATTACAACTAATTGGACTTGTGTTTGCTCTGTAGCATATTAATTCAGGAACGGTTTCAAATGTGAAGAACACGAGATGGCCCTTAAAAACCTGTTTATACATATGCTGATGTTGTAAAATTAAAAATGATCATTTTGACTTTGAATCTATAGAATGTTTACCATCACCTCTTCACATCGTTTCATGCAATGAAAGTTTTTCCCCCTGAGTGTGCAGGCTGTGTGTCACCCATGTGCGCCTCCTGGTCTCCTAAATACTGCATTGCTCGTTAAGCAGAGGAGGTCTTTGCTGAATTGACATCTGGGAATGGAGATGTAGTGGCTATATGAAATGCAAATGTAAGGAGACTGTTCCATGTGATGGAACAGCTACCAAATGCCACCAGAAACTTCAGGAACAATTGAAGGTGGAATAACTGGTATATCTATGTAGTACAATAATTTATATCCTGCATTTCAGGATGTAAATGCTTCCAAGGCACTTTACAGGTAACATTAATGCAACATTAAACTCATCAGGATCTTTGGCAAAGGACAGTTGATGGTAGATTGCCTCGGGAAAAGAGGAAGATTAGGTAGAGCTGGCCTTGAGATTTTCATCTGCCTCTTAAAATTGCCAGGATTAAGTAATTATTCATTTAATATTCCCTGTTGAGGGAGTGAGATACTGCACAATGGAATGTGGGTGGCACTGTGGGTTTGCTGATCAGAAGGCCAGCAGTTCAAATCCCTGCGATGGGGTGAGCTCCCGTTGCTCTGTCCCAGCTCCTGCTAACCTAGCAGTTTGAAAGCATGCCAGTGCAAGTAGATAAATAGGTACCGCTGCAGCGGGAAGGTAAATGGCATTTCCGTGTGGCTTCCGTCATGGTGTCCTGTTGCGCCAGAAGCGGTTAAGTCATGCTGGCCACATGACCCGGAAAGTTGTCTGTGGACGAATGCTGGCTCCCTCGGCCTGAAAGCGAGATGAATGCCGCAACCCCATAGTCTCCTTTGACTGGACATAACTGTCCAGGGCTCCTTTACCTTTTACCTTTTTACTGCACTATAAATCTGCAACTTATTTATTTAAAGTATTTGTAGGCCGCCCTTAAGTCAAAAAATATATATAAAACAGTATCACAACCAATAATCACACAGGAAGCAGAAAGTCTTGCCAGGCACTTCATCCCACCCCAAAAGCCTGGGCAAAGATAAGACTTTACCTGTTGTGAGAATGAAAATAACTTGGCAGCTGAGCAGGAAGGTACAAAGTCACTGAAGATAACAAATGGAACTGATTCTTGACTTGATTGAGCAGTGTATACCGCAAATCAGATTGGGAAATGAGGTGGGAGAAGTTCAGTTTTTCTTACACTACACTAACAGTGCTTGCATTTCAAATGGCTACCTCCAGTTCATATTGATCAAGCCTGAGACTTTCACATCTGTTAGTCCCTTTCCTCCGTCTATAGTTATTTGCACTCCTCCCCCAAATACCCATTTTTCCTCACCTCAGCTTTCTCTGTACCCCAAAGCGCTTGCTGTAGTTCCTCTGCACTGTCCTTTGCTGTGCCCTGTGTAGGATACTTTGTGTGTGACTGTTAGATCTATATAGAGAGTGAGAAAGAAAAAAAAGGTTTGCCTTAACTGTTTTTCCTGTAAGTGTTTGAACTGATTTGTATTGCAATGAATCAGTCTAATTGCCTGCATATCTCTCAATTTCCCAATCTATTGAAGCATTTGTACAATTCCTTGTTTCTTATATATTTCTAAGTATTTTATAAACAAATTTGAGACACCAGACTTGTAGCTGGCTATTTTGTATGTAGTTTTACATCACTGCAGTGAACAATTAACTGGTTTTATTTCTGGGTTTGTTATAGTTTTTCATCTTGCATCCATCCACGAACACAGGCCCCAAGCATGCTGATTTTTTTCTCAGTAAAATAACTTTGCCTTTGGACAACTAGGTGGCTGCCGCACAAGCTTATGTGTATTACACTAGTGATGCTTTTGCAAAAGTATAGCCTTTGTAGATCTGGGAGTTCAGATGAAGGATGGTGCTCTTTCAAATTATGGAAATGCATCAGTTGCATGGACACTGTCATCCATGTATAGTCGTACCTTGGTTTTTGAACAGCCTAGTTCTCGAACGTTTTGGCTCCTGAACGATCGAAACCCAGAAGTGACTTCCGGTTTTTCAACGTTCTTTTGGAAGCCGAACGTCCAACGGGGCTTCAGGAGCTTCCTGTAGCCAATCAGAAACCACGATTTGGAAGTTGAACAGACTTCCGGAACAGATTCTATTCGACTTCCAAGGTACGACTGTACTATGTCAACACTTTGTGTCTGGGTTACTGAAATGGACAGGAAGGAAGTAGGTTTCTTTTCATCCAATACATGCTCATGGTTTGTTTTTTACTCCTTTAGTCCTCCTTTAGACCCCTGACAACCAGCTCACAATGTTGGGTGAGTAACTTCACCTACCTGAGAACCCTGGCCTTGAAGGTGGGGAAGGGAAGGATTCAACCTCTTGGCTGAACCAGTTTGCCCTGTTGTAGACTTGAAAAGTGGCCTTCACACTCAAAGGCAAAATACAATGGTACCTCGGTTTTCGAACATAATCCATTTCAAAAGGCTGTTTTGAGTTCTGAAACATTCAAAAAGCAAAAACTCAATAGCCGACAGCTATTGAGCCAGTGTGGTGTAGTGGTTAAGAGCCGTGGACTCGTAATTTGGTGAACTGGGTTCGCGTCTCCGCTCCTCCACATGCAGCTGCTGGGTGACCTTGGGCCAGTCACACTTCTTTGAAGTCTCTCAGCCCCACTCACCTCACAGAGTGTTTGTTGTGGGGGAGGAAGGGAAAGGAGAATGTTAGCCGCTTTGAGACTCCTTCGGGTAGTGATAAAGCGGGATATCAAATCCAAACTCTTCTTCTTCTTCTATGCCTCAGGATCCTGCACTCAGCGGAAGCATTTACTTCCAGGTTTTCAGCGTTCGTAAACCGAAATGGTTATCAATGGAGACGTTTGAAAACCAAGGTACCACTGTAGCTTTATCCTCTTTGAATGCTTCCTCCTCGTCTGTGGGTCTGCGATTCTTCTGTAAAATATTTTTTATTTGGTTTTTACATCTTTAAGATTAACATCACACCACAACATATCCACAGTTAAAAGATTCCCCCGAATCTCTGGACTTTCCATCTTCCCCTCCATGGGTTCCGTTGTTAAACTTTTTCTACTGCATCTTTTTTCAGTAATTCAAGATTTTTATAACTCCATTATGTCCATAGTTCTCGTTACATTACAAGTGTTATCACAGTCCTGCTAATGTTTTCAACTGCTTACAGTGGTCTTCAAGGTAAATTATTTTTAAAAATTCCCATTCCTTATTAAAGTTTTTGTCTTCCATGTTCCTGAGCTTTCCGGCCAGTTTTGCCATTTCATCATAGCCCATCAACTTGATTTGCCATTCTTCTCTGGTAGAGACTTTATCTTCCTTCCATCTCTGGGCTAACAACATCTGTGCAGCTGTTGTCGCATACATAAAAATACTTTTCCGCTCCCTTGGAATTTCAGCACCTACAATTCCTAATAAAAAATTCTATGGTTTTTTTTTCTATAAAACTATTTAAAACATTTTTAAAAATTCATTATATTTCATTTCCCAGAATGCTTTTGTTACCTTACACGTCCACAACATATGATTAAATGTGCCTTCTTAATTCAATTGAATGTCACTTTTGTCTTCAAAAAAGATCTGTGACCTCATTTTTCACTGGCCAGATGTGGAGTCAATAAGTTTTGTAAGGGTAATGACTATTCATTGGATCCTGGGCTCCCAATAGGTTGAGGGGGTTGCCCCTCCAGCAGATATAATGCACATGCACCCCACAACCAAAATCAGCACAATCACTTCATAGTTTCATCAACTTCATCACAGTTTCTTCCTATCTATTCAAAGGGCCTCTACTGCACAATACCAAATGTAACAATTCACTGATAAATGTATCTGTGTACTGGTTCACTGGGAAAACTTCAGAAATTCATATAGACATGTGAGCTCAGCTACTCAGCAGCCTCTCTGCCTGAGTGATAATCTCTGGCATCCTGATACCTGAGTGCCAGACAGGTAGCCATTCCAGAAATAACAAACCCAGATGAAGACAAAAGAGCGTGATTAACTTGACTGGTGTTTGGTGGAGGGCAAGGGATGGCATGGGGCAGGGTCTGGGATGCTCAGATTACTGCCACCAGACCTCCCCTTTCATGATGTAACCATGATGTATTAGTGATGTAGTTTGTGGTGTGTGTAACATGGGGATTAGCAGCTAATAAAAGTTTGGGTTCCCTTTTGTTCGGGGCTCCCATCTTGTTTCACCTTGTGGCAGGTGGGAGTCCTGTCGCGACAGTCTTCAACCACTCTCAACCACTTCACCACACTGGCTCACAAGACAATTGTATGGCTGCCATGCAGGGGATGACCTTGGGTTTTCAGTGAAACCATGACCCCATGGGCTAGGGCGTCGAAGGCTGGTTTTGTGGGGGGCTGGGAAACATTGGATTTTCACTGCCAAACATTGCAGGGAGCCTTTTGATGGTGTTTGGCGCTGTTTTGGAGTAAATCAGACGACATCATATTTTTGGCAAAATTGCTCAGGGGGCCAAAGGCTCATTTTTGGGGTTTCTGCCGCCAGACGTTGCAGGGGGCCTTTGGTTGTTGTTTGAAGCCTCTTTGGAGTGATTCATTTTTCAAATATATCTTTCAGTGGGTTAAGCAGTTTTATTCAATTTATTTAGAAAAGATCTAGAGCTGGCTTCATAAGAAAAGTAAAGAGAAATGGTTCTCTCTCTTCTTCAAAAGCGATGTCCCTGAAGTCTTTTTGAATCAAGCAGCTGCCTCCCCCCCCCCCCCTCGATCCACATTCTCTCTGGCTTCACTGTTCCTCATGAACAAAGATCAGCACTCACCACATTGTACAATGTTGGGTTCTTGCTGAAATCACAACCCCCCGGATTAGGGTGCTGAAGGCTCATTTTCTGGGGCGCTGTGAAATGTGGGGTTTCCATAGAAATGGACAGAAATGGGATTCAGCGGTCGGAAACAGCCCGGGTGAAAATAACATGGATGCCCAGGGGAATCCAGACGTATGGTAACCCATGCTGGATGTGTAGATTTTGAAATATGGCAACCCTAACTGATCAAAGTTAAAAGGGGGGGGGCACTTCTCTTGACTGGTAGCAGACAACGTCATCTTAGGCAATGAGATTATGAAGGGTGTATCGACTCCCACAATGCAAAGAGGCGCACATGACCAACAACCAATAAGAAACTGAGGACCATCTATCTGCAAGGTAGGATTATGCAGCTGTCTATTAAGAGGATGAAACCTGCAACCTTTGTATTGTGACTTGTAGCTGAATTTGAATCATTTTCCTTACTTTGTAGCAGCTTGTTTGTAAGAGCGATTCAAAAAAGAGGTTGTTCTAACAATAAAAAATTATATCGATAATTATATATTATTATAATATATTATTATACTACATGGTATTATTATGCTTAATTGTATATAATTAATGATTATATATTATTCTAACACATTATTATATTATATTATAATATAATATTAGTACAATCAATTGTATATAGTTATTAATTAACAAGGACAACAAAAATAATTTCCCCCGCTGCCCTACTCGATGCTAGAGGTCTCACGGCAGCCTATTGTAAGCCCACTCTCCCGCCCCGCGCATGCGCCAGTTTTAAAGGAAAACTCCCGCTCGCCATTGGTTGAAGGGCGCCGCCGATCGCTCTGGCCAAAGAGGGCGGAGGGAAGGCCCCAACCCATTGGCTGGCGTTTTCCGAACGGTGCGCGCGGCGATTGGGTGCGGGGGCGTTCCGCGCGGCGATTGGCCTCGCGTTTCTCACGGACACCGCCCTGATTGGTGGGGGCGGCCGGGTTTGAAATTCGGGACTGGCGGTTGGGACTCCTAACTGCCGAGGATCATTGTTATTGTCGGGTTGCGAGGGGGGAGGGGAGGGGGAGACAGGCGGTTTGCTGTCGAGGCCCTTGACCGTATTCCTGAGGGGAAAAAGGAACCGGCGGCGACGAGGAGGCGGGGACCCACCTTGGTCGACGGAGCCATGGCCGTCTCGAGGCAGGACGGGGGAGCGACGGGGCTCCGGAGGGCGAGTCCTGGCGGCCCGGGGCGGCGGCGGCGGCGCTGGGCTACGGCCGGCGAAGGGGACGGCGGCGGCGAAGAGGAGGCCGACGCCGCGCTGACGCTGGTCCCCTTCTCGCCGGCGCCCGTGCTCAGCTTCGGCGCCGTCCGCGTGGGCACGTCGCGCCTCCGACGCCTGGCTCTCGAGAACCCGAACGCCGAGCCCGTCCGCGTGGTCGTCGGGAGACCCCCGCCCGCCGCCAAGGGCTTCGCCGTGCAGGAGCCGCGCCACTGGCTGCTGCAGGTGAGGAGAGCGGCGGGGGGACTGATCAAGGAAGGTGGGGAGGGGGCGTCCCTGCTCGGGCCTGTTGCTGGCCAGTAAGAAGCTCTGCTCCTGTTAAGGAAGGGTTAAAGTAGGGACGGAGCTCCGCGTGTGTAATATATATGTGTCTGTGTTTGTGTAACTTTGCATATATATACACACACACACATATATACATATATACATATACATACATACATACATATATATATATACACACACACACACACACATCTATTTTTATATATATATATATATATATATATATATTTGTGGGTGTGTAACTTTGCATATGTTTGCATATATACACACTCTCTCTCTCTCTCTCTCACACACACACACATGTATATATTTGTTTTTGTTTTTTTAAAATGATATTTATTAAAATTTCAAAAGAATAAGATCACATTAATAAAAAAATTGACAATAAAAAGGAAAAAATACAAAGTACAAAAGAGAAAAAACAGTTAAAAACAATTCCATCTTTTCATCACTACTTTTACATTTACTTGTTTCCCGGACCTCCTCATACCTCCCTCTTTTGTATTCCAATTCAGTTTGTTAGTCCAGCAATTCCTTTCCCTCCTTTTTAATCCTGATCTTTAATCTTGATATGTTATAACATTAAATTTTTACCTATTAAAAACCAATTTTCCCATATTCTTTTATACCATTACCGCTAGAACCGCTTAACTTCAATCCGTCATCATTCTAACATTCATTAATTTTACAATATTTCTGTAAGTAGTCTTCTTCCACCGACTCTTCTCCCTGGTCTCGGATTCTGCCAGTCATTTCCGCCAAACACAAATGTATATATTTGTGTGTGGGTGTGTGTAACTTTGCATATGATTTTAAGTGAAGAGATCCTAAACCTGTCAGCTGTGTGTATACGAACATGTATGAGTGCTGGCTGTGCACATGTGAGTCCAGGTACACACTCAGTGCCGGATTTACATATAAGCTAAACAAGCTATAGCTCAGGGCCCCACTCTCTTGGGGGCCCCCCAAAAAATAAAGGAAAAGAAAACTGGATGTACATTTCCAAAATATAAGATAAAAAATAGAATAAAACCTACATCAACAGTGTTTTGTGTTGTGTAGGCTCCTATTTGTTATGTGCAAATGGCTTTAGATACCTATTAGGTCCATAAATTACCTTATAGCATATATTCAGCGCAAAAAACAGCAACAATTTGTTGTTGACAAAGGACAGCTGGACATATAAAGGGCCCCATTACCTTCAGTAGCTAAGGGCCTCATCAGACCTAAATCCGGCCCTGTATACACTTGTAACACCCTGGAACTGTATACACTTGTAACACCCTGTATACACTTGTAACACCCTGGAACACTCCTGGAACTGGAGAGTAGTAATAGTAGTAGTGTGTAACAACAATCAATTGTTTCTACAGACAAAACTTTACTCAAGGTGACAAATGTATGTTGAATCAAAAGAGAATACTAGGATATTCACAGAAGATTTATCAGCAGTTCTTACCAATGATGATGTACAATAGAATATCATTGCATGAAATAGGGTAATGCATATATCTTTATAGTGTGACTACATATTTGCAGAGTATTTTTAGCCATAAGGAATGTGCCCAATGGATTTTAGGAGAGTTTGCTAAAGGATTTTATAGCATAACGGGGAAAACCACTTATTAGGAAAATGGAAAAAAAGTCTGTCTACCTTGCCTGATTTGGGATGGGTGGTTTAAGCTTTCAATTTCTAATGTTTGGGGTCCACACAGATAAGTGTTCTGTGAAGGAGAGGCCTGGGGATATGAGATCTCTAGTGTGTATATGTACCATTTTTCTTGTGCGTTTCTGCATTGACTGAAGTGTTGTGCTGTGGTTTAACTGGTCTTTTTCTGACTCAAGGTGAGGTCCTAAACCTGGTATTGTGAACAGCTTACTGGCTAATATTGTTGTATCATCTTCTTTTCTATGCTATTCTTTTTCTGCCCACTGTAGCCTTTGTATCTCCGCAGGTGCAGCATTGCACTGCTGCAAAATACTAACCACATTCGTATATGGCTCATACGTTATTTGATGGGGGGATGCAATCTAGCCAAAAATATTTAGACATCATTTGTGGCATACACAGAAATGGAAAGAGATTGTAAATTGAGAAGTCCTGCAGTTGCCTGTCAAAGGAAATATACCATCTTTCTATGTTTTATGCTTTTCTTTTGCAGTCTGGAGAGAGAATATTAATTTCAGTAACGTGGACACCACTGGAAGGTGGTAAAGTGCGGGAGCTCATAACTTTTGTTGTAAATGATGTTGTTAAACATCAAGCAGTTTTGCTGGGTTCTGCTGAACAGTCTACAAAGAAAAAGGTACGGAACGTATATATGCATAAAAAAACTTTCCCAGTCTGCTTTGGCTTCCAAAGTGACCATCCGGTTATACAAGTGCTGTAGTATATTGAAAATGCCTCTTTGTAAACCACTGGTAGGAGTGAATGTTGTGCAGTGCATGTTGAAGTTGCAGAAACTAAACTTTCTGATGTGGTATTGTCAGGGGTTTCCATAGGTAATAGATCTGAGAGGTACAAGGTTTTGGAAAGTCTCCCTAGGTCTCTTTCACTGTCCCTTGCTTAATTCTTGATATACCTTCCTTGGTTTGATTTTAACCATCCCTAGCATCGCCAGATGTTCTGAAATCTACACCATTAAAAATGCCCAGTGTGAATAAATATGCAGCGATGCTACCTGTATGAATTCTGAGTATTTTTTTAAAATGACAATACATGGGCTCTTCATAGCTTCTTATTTCCTTTTACTTTGCAAAGTTGTGTCACTACTCATACTTGCTGGAAAAAATAGTACAGGCACCCCTCCACTTACATGCGATTGACATGCGTGCAACTACACATGCGTGGCGATGGGAATTAAATAAATACAGTACCTTGGGTTATGTATCCCTCTGGATATGTAATCTTTGGGTTACGAACGTGGCAACCCTGGAAGTGTATACTTCGGGGTTTCGCTGTGTGCGGAGAAGTGCTCAATGGCGCCACATGCGTGCGCAGAAGGGCGCCTCCAGTTTTGGACTTTTTGGGATACAGCCGTGCCTCCGGAATGGATCCTGTCTATAAACAGAGGTACCACAGTAGAGTCAAACCAGAAGAGAGCTGGAGAGTCCTTATGGCTTGCAAGGAGCTGAAGAGGACTACAGTGAGGGAGGAAGAAGCTCCAAAGGGACCGGAGGCGCAGTGGCACTTTTCTTCGGCTGCTCAGCCTCCTCAACTAGCAGCTCATATGTGTGATAGTGCATCAACAGCAGCCACTTTTCCACACATCCTTCAGCCAGCCCAAAGCTTCAACTCTAGTTGAAGAGAGAGTTGTATGGACAGATAGCTGGAGAGCAGGAAAGAAATGAGCATTATGAGGCTTTTAGAGGGTGCTGCTCACACAATGCAATTTTCCTTATACGTGCAGGGCCCTGGAGCATTGCGTAACTGGGGGGGGCGGGGGCGCCTGTATTTCTCAGCATTAAGTAGGCTATGAGCAGCATTATTTATACAGTGAGGAAGAGGAAGGGCTACATAGCTAATAAGGGCTCTCAGTATATGCACATTAATAACTGGATATTTGTGTTGGTATCATTTTCAGAAAAGTCTTTGGGATACAGTTAAAAAGAGAGCTCCTTCACGGCAATCACAATATCAGAAGAAACTTCCCATAATCAAAAATATAAATGAAACTTTTCAGATGTCCAAAAAAACTGGAAGAGTTAGAAGCCCTCTCCAAGCCTGTGAGAACCTGGAAGTGAATGGATGCAGCATTTCACCTAGTGGGAACAGTGTGATCCTCTTAGAAAATAGCTTCTTACACTCTCCAACTGATCCCATACTGCAAGAAAAACAGCATGTCACTAATTCCCCTCTTTCAATGGGGAGATCAGTTCCATATTTTGTTATTGGTACAGCACCATATAATGAATTACAGCAGGATACCAAACAGACCTGTACTGTTATGCCAAAGTGTGATGATCTTGTGGAAACGAAATTGGAAAGTGGACATATTAGTTCAGTGAAAGTGGAAAGTTCTAGCACAGATTCAGTTTGCACACCAGAAAATCTGAAAAGCTTTCCTTTGAATCACAGGAAAATTTTAAGCCCTGATTCTTTTGTACACAATAGCTATGAACTTTGTGAAGAGCCTGCTATAGCTACAAGAGTGCCAGTTCTTTCACCTGATCAGTTTTTAAAAGAGAATCAAATAGTTATTCAGCCAACTTCACAAGTACATAAATCGGTGTCCCATTCTTCAAGTTTGGGATCTTACACAATTTGTTCACAACAGAAGGAAAGAAGGCAAATTTTTACTTTTCCTGTGGAGTCTCATTTTTCAAGCAAGCAACTTAATGATGCACACAGTAAAAAAAATGCAACATTTCAGTTTGAAAAGTTTGAACGAAATGCAAGTGGGTGCAAGAAAAATGACCCAGATCAAATTTGCTGCTTCCAGAAAGAACATGGTAAAAAAAGGCCTCTGTTGTGCAACACAGTTACTAAAAGTAAGTCAGGTTGTCCTGAGGGACAAGGAAGGAACTTATTAAAACCAAAATCTAGAAAATGCCTTTCTAATGCAATTCAGCGATCTGTGGATAATGTTCCTGAAACAGCAAAAATGAAAATGTTGCCAGAACTTCCAGTTATAGAACCTCCAGTTATATATCACAGAATTGAAACAGCTTCAGCTTGCTTAGGAAGAACATCACATAGTCATAAAAGAAAAAGTGGAGAATATTTAGAAGATACTAATAGCGAAAGTGGTAAATATGTGGAGAACTTTGCAAGAAAAAAAAAGATGTCCTTTGTGGAAAATGAAGATTGCAGTGCTTTGAAAGCATCGAATCCCAAATGTGTGAACGGAGAAAAGCAAAGTCAGAAAAAGAAACCAGGTAATTTAACCTTTTTTTCTGTTTATTTGGATATGTTAAATAAAATATTTGCCATGGATTGGTGATGAAGACCAACTGTGACCATTTATAGCTGCTCTTCAAACAAATTACATTCATTTGATAGGCCTAAAGCGTATTGCTTTCATTTGACATTGAGTCAGAGTAGTCCATCAGTTTAATCTGTCATTCTTCTCTGGTAGGGACCATGGCTTCTTTTCATCTCTGGGCTAATATTGTCTGGGCAGCAATAGTTACATATATAAATAGTCTCTTCTAGTCCCTTGGAATTTTGGCACCTAGAATTCCTAAGAGAAAAGCTTCTGGTTTCTTAGGAAAGGTTGTTTTAAACATTTTTTTCAATTCATTATATATCATCTCCCAAAATTCTTTTACTACTTTACAAGTCTACCACATATAAGGTGCCCTCTTTATCTTTACATTTCCAGCATTCATTTGATCTTGCTTTATACATTTTAGCTAATTTACTAGAGGTTAAATACCAACGGTACATAATTTTCATATACTTTTCTTTCAAAGTACAGCATGTTGTGAACTTTAAATCCTGATTCCATAACCTCCCCCATTCTGCCAATTGTATGTTATATTCAAAATCTCTCGCCCAGTGTATCATCATTGATTTGACCTTTTTGTCTTTTGTATACCATTCTAAGAATAATTTTTACATTTTTGAAAGTAATGTAGTCTTATCTTCTAACAGCTCCTTTTCAAATTTAGAGGTTTCATTAAAGAAACCTTTCTTTTTATTCATCTTAAATATATCATTAAGTTGATGGTATTTTAACCAATCAGTTAATAATCCTCCTCAAACCTCTTTAATTTCAACTCATGATCTATTTCCATTAATAATTATTTATAAGATACCCAATCATTTCTCATGTTAATTTTTTTTAGAGACATCGCCTCCAGTGGTGAAAGCCACCATGGTGTTTTTTGTTCTGATGATTTTTTTATATTTTCCCCATACGCTTTGCTTACTACATGGTTCAAAAAGCTTTATAAACTTTAACCTTCTCGTACCACAGATATGCATGCCAGCCAAATAGGTCTAATAAACCATCAGTATTTTTTAATAATATCCATTCTTTTAACCAGCATAAACAGGATGCCTCATAATACTAAATCCGGCAAGGAAAATCCTCCGCTTTCTTCTTTGGTTTCTTCCCCTTCCAGAGGAATCTAGTAATATATTTCTGCCATTCTCTTTTCCCCCTCTTGTTGTCTCTTTCTGTTGTGTTCTTCACAATATTACAATTCGTTCTTGTTCTAATTTTCAGGTTCCTTATCTAAAAAATGGAGGACTGGTAGGAAAACAAAGAACATTATTCCAGTGGCACAGTCTCAGCTGACATTTGTGAAACCTTTAAAAACAGGTGAAAATAAGTTCTTTGTGCTCTGTTATTCTCCATGAAAACAAAAGTCTCTTGGTGCAAGTGACAGTTTCAACACATTTGCTATATTTTAGCTGAAATTAGATTGACCAGTACGACTTCAGAGTATAGGCATATTCCAAAAGTAAAAGCCTGCAAATTAATACATGTTTTCATTGCTGTTGTGCTGCCCTTGGAAAAGGTGTCTCAGGCCCTGCGCCGCAGTCTACCCCACTGAGCAGTGTTCCTCACTGGGAAAGTCACCTCCTACCTACCTTCTTCCATGGGTGGATCTCTGGATCCAACCTGGTGTCCATAATTGAGATGTAATGTAACTTTTAATCTTTTTTCAAAGACATTCCTAGACATCCAATGCCTTTTGTGGCCAAGAATATGTTTTACGATGAGTGCTGGAAAGAGAAACAGCAACGAGGTTTTACTTGGTGGTTGAATTTTGTACTTACTCCTGATGACTTCACTGTGAAAACAGACACTTCACAAGGTAAAAGAGATTTGCAGGGTCTTAATGTTTCACATATATAAGAATTACTCTAGACTTCAGCAATCCAGTTTGCTTACTTTAAAATCTTTTCATGAATTTTCTTGTCAATATAAATATTAGTGTAACAATACTATTTCCACTGGGAATACAAAATATAACAAAATTACCTAAAACTGATAAATGACCATCACTTCAAATAAATGTATGTAATCTGATGTGCTATTTCATTTGAGCTGACGTTCTGCACTCATATGCACAGAGCTACTTTAACTTGAAAGCTCACATGTGAAGTGCTGCTTCTGTTACTTGGTGTTTCTTTTTTGGAAAGCTTTAAACCCATCAATTCCTAAGTCGGGTGGTAGATCTGCAGCCTCTTCTGCCCACCAGTCATCTCACTCAGTTTACAAAATTGATTGTGGAGCCGAAAAAGTGCCACTCCCTTTGCGTGCTTCCATTGTTAGCATATTGGAGCATTTCTTGCTTTATTTATTATAAAATAATATTTATATACCGCTGTATCATGAATATATCACAGCGGTTTACAACAATATAAAAACAAACTTAACCAAAAGCATAAAAAGTTAAAAACAAATTAAAAGCAAAAAGAAATTTAAAACAAACATCAATAGATCATTGTGGGTGAGATACCCTTTAATTGCCTTCATAGACCTGGCAGAATAGAAGTTTTTAGCAAGTGTTTCAGAGTTGGCACGGAAGGTCATTGCTCTCATCTGCTAGCAACAACTGAAGGAAGTTCATTCTTGGCTTTCCAATACTGGCTAGTTCTGCTTCAAGCCATAATCCCTAGTTTGTGTGAAACCCTTAGCCAAGAATCTTGGTATGTTGCTCCTGTCCTTCCTGTTAGTGGGCAGTAGCGAAGTGTGAGTGATCTGCACGTTCAGTGTAGACCTTTAGCTGTGGTTTACCATGACTTATAAATGCACCCTTTCCTTTGAGCTTGTATAATCCTGGATGCACACTGGGTAAAGTTTGTGTGAACTCTCTTCAAAGATTGCAAATAATATCATAGCATCATAGGTGGCAGAGGGTCAAGAGGCCAGTAAGCCCAGTTTCCTACAGCAAGGAAGAACAATCCATTAATTCAGCTTTCCCACCCAATCAAAACATTGTGCTTCTATGGGTATTTTGATCCAGTTGATTCAATATAATAATAATAATAATAATTTATTATTTATACCCCGCCCATCTGGCTGGGCTTCCCCGGCCACTCTGGGCGGCTTCCAAAAAAATATTAAAGTACTATAATACATCAAACATTAAAAGCTTCCCGAAACAGGGCTGCCTTCAGATGTCTTCTAAAAGCCTGGTAGTTGTTGTTCTCTTTGACATCTGGTGGGAGGGTGTTCCACAGGGAAGGCGCCACTACCGAGAAGGCCCTCTGCCTGGTTCCCTGTAACCTGGCTTCTCGCAGTGAGGGAACCGCCAGAAGGCCCTCAGTGCTGGACCTCAGTGTCCGGGTAGAACGATGGGGGTGGAGACGCTCCTTCAGATATACTGGACCAAGGCCGTTTAGGGCTTTAAAGGTCAGCACCAACACTTTGAATTGTGCTCGGAAACGTACTGGGAGCCAATGTAGGTCTTTCAAGACCGGTGTTATGTGGTCTCTGCGGCCGCTCCCAGTCACCAGTCTAGCTGCCGCGTTCTGGATTAGTTGTAGTTTCCGGGTCACCTTCAAAGGTAGCCCCACGTAGAGCGCATTGCAGTAATCCAAGCGGGAGATAACCAGAGCATGCACCACTCTGGTGAGGCAGTCCACAGCCAGTGAAATAAACTGCACTTTGTGGAAGGAGGCTATATTTTAATTATTTCATAAAATTTATACATCGCTCAATTGTAAAAAACAACAACAACCCAACAACCCTCAAAATGGTTTACAAAAAGGTTATTATTATTATTGGCTCTGTTTCATCAGCCACTCTGGGCGACTTACAGCCTACAGTGGTATCTCAGGTTAAGTACTTACAGTGGTGCCCCGCAAGACGAATGCCTCGCAAGACGGAAAAACCGCTAGACGAAAGGGTTTTCCGTTTTGAAGTTGCTTCGCAGGACGAATTCCCCTATGGGCTTGCTCGCAAGACGAAAATACCTTGCGAGTCTTGAGATTTTTTTTTCGCTTTCCCCCCCCTTTATCTAATCTGCTAAGCCTTTAATAGCCTTTAATAGCCTTTTAGCAGCTAATCCCCTAAGCCTTTAAGCCTTTAATAGCCGCTAAACCGCTAATAGCGCTAATAGCGCTAATCCGTCAATGGGCTTGCTTCGCAAGACGAAAAAACCGCTAGACGAAGACTCTCGCGGAACGGATTAATTTCGTCTTGCGAGGCACCACTGTAATTCGTTCCGGAGGTCCGTACTTAACCTGAAACTGTTCTTAACCTGAAGCACCACTTTATCTAATGGGGCCTCCTGTTGCTGCCGCGCCGCTGGAGCACGATCTCTGTTCTCATCCTGAAGCAAAGTTCTTAACCTGAAGCACTATTTCTGGGTTAGCGGAGTATGTAACCTGAAGCGTATGTAACCCGAGGTACCACTGTATATTAAAACATAATAAAACATCAAGCATTAAAAACCTATCGATGCAGGGCTGCCTTCAGATGTCTTCTAAAAGTTGTACAGTTCTTTATCTCCTCAATGAAATCAAGAAAAAATTACAAACATTACAACAAAAGTTATAATACCAAGTAGATTTTAACACTTGGAACTGTTTTCTCTCCAGTCAATGCAGTGTCCGTTATCTTGGGTGCAGAGTCTCATAAACCAAGTGTTCCTAGAGCACCAACTAAAGAAGAAGTATCCCTAAGAGCTTATACAGCTCGGTGCAAGCTGAACAAACTTCGTCGCTCAGCTTGCCGTTTATTTACATCAAACGAGATGGTTAAAGCAATAAAAAGGCTGGAGATTGAAATTGAATCAAAACACTTGTTAATTCGGAAGGACAGACATCTCTGGAAGGATATTGGTAAGAATGTAGCTGTGTTCCAGATATTCCTACACATATGTAGAAAAATTGAACTGTGGTGGGAAATTGTATACAAGAACGTGGCCAGGTCTATTTATGGCCTTCAGTTCTATAATCAACAATCCACAGCTTGATAATAGCAATTTCACGGTATATTCTTAGGTAACAACCTTTCCAGATTTTTATATTATCCTGCTTTTGCTTCTGTGTCCATTGCAGGTGAAAGACAGAAAATCCTCAACTGGCTTTTATGCTATAACCCACTATGGTTGCGCATAGGTCTGGAAGTAAGTTTGTATTTTCGTAATGTTTACAAAGCGTTCTTTGAGCAAGATATTCTCTTGTAGAATTGCTAAGATTTGTACTGGAATCTGAAGTAATCAACCTTAGGGACATAAAGCTTGGTGATAGTGACTGCTGGTAATCCGTAGAACTGGTCTTAAGACTTTGATATTATCTTTATTTCATGACTCAAAGGCAAGGATGCATAGCTGTCAGCTTTTCCCTTTTCTTGCGAGGAATCCTATTTGGAATAAGGGAATTTCCCTTTAAAAAAGGGAAACGTTGACAACTATGAAGGGTGGGGAATCATGAGGCCACCCCCCTACCCGGCACCTGCCTGCCTGTCATCTGCCATCACTCGTGGTCAAGGGAAATATAATTAATATTATATTGCTATAGTTCTTTTAATAAATCTGCTGTGAAGATCTGAATTCTATTGCTGCAAGGTTTTTGTTTTATTTAAAGTGGATTTTCTTTCTCTCATTAATGAAAGGTAGTCTATGGTGAGCTAATTGCCTTAGAGAGCAACAGCGATGTAATGGGCCTGGCAATGTTTATACTTAATCGCTTGTTGTGGAATCCAGATATTGCAGCTGAATATAGGCACCCAAGTGTGCCTCACTTGTATCGAGATGGTAGGTATTTATTTATTTTTTGCTGTTTTATAATCTGTTTTATACTTTTTAAGATGCAGCTCTACATACAATCTGATATTGTTCTTACAGGACACGAAGAAGCATTGTCAAAATTTACGCTGAAAAAACTTCTTCTGCTAGTTTGCTTTCTTGATCGCGCCAAGCTATCTAGAATTATTGATCATGATCCTTGCCTCTTTTGTAAAAATGCAGAATTCAAGGTATTCCAATTTAAGCCTCTATTTTTGTTTTGTGCATAATTAGGTTGTTTTTTTGTGTGCTAATTTTAAAAAATTGAATTTTCCATTAAAAGAAGTAGTACCAGTGTTACATAAGAAAAACAAAAGAGGGCAGAATGAATATAGGAAGAAGAAATGTTAGTAGATTTGAGTGTATATGTGTGGAAGCCACAAGATACTAATTTTAAGACTTACATTTGTTTCCCGAGGTGGTAATTTTCTTCTGTGGCTGGAACAGGAATTTTAAGTTGCCATTATCAAATGCAGCTTGATTTTGTGTGCTTATTAGCTGAGGAATAGGCATTTAGCAATTTCTCCACCCCCCTTTTTTATAAATAATTTTTATTAATTTTTCCAACATAAATTTATACAAAATGAAACATCCAATTCTCACCAACTACTTCTTTTTGGACTTCCATCAACATGTCTGACAATTCTCCGTATTAGCAATTTCTTTTTATTGACTGTGGTAGGTAGTAGTCTTATTAATGTTTGTGACTAAAGTCTATGACTGGTTAAACATACTGGAAGTTAAGAGAATTCCTGTTTGCCTTACTTGAAAATGAGCCCCATGATGTGCGCACAGAACTGATAATCTTGCATGAATGTAATTTGTTGCCTTTTCTCTAGTCTAGTAAAGAGATACTGCTGGCATTTTCCCGAGATTTTCTAAGTGGAGAAGGTGATCTTTCTCGCCATCTATATTTCCTGGGCTTTCCAGTTCATCACGTGCAGACTCCACTCGATGAGTTTGACTTTGGTGTAACAAATCTAGCCACAGATTTGCAATGTGGCATTCGTCTAGTGTAAGTCTTCACTGCATTTTATTGCTGAAGTTATAGAAGGATTTCACTTGAGGAAATGGGCTATATTTTTAACATGGTATCTTTGTATTTTCAGAAGAGCATTGGAACTACTGTCGTCAAACTGGAGTCTTTCCAAAAAATTAAGAGTTCCTGCAATAAGTAGACTTCAAAAGTTGCATAATGTCAAGATTGCCTTTGAAGTACTAAAAGATCATGGAATACAGTTGGAAGATGAACATGGTAAGTGCCAGCAAAGTAGAAAGTAGTCCCCTTATAAAATAAATGTGTGGATGCTGCAAATCAGTAACCTATTTGACTGATTTATAGGTACATCGATTGACGCTAAGGATATTGTGGACCGGCATAGAGAGAAAACACTTGCACTGCTGTGGAAAATAGTATTTGCTTTTCAGGTATTGCGTAATGATTTTTTGGCAGTTAATCTCTGCAACATATATTAAAGATGTGTAGTATGCATCTAGGACTTGCAATATTGTATCTTCAAAAAAATGGGGTGCTGTATAAAAAATGGCCTGTATATAGAAGCCAATACTACTGAAGGGCAGTTCTCAAAAGCAATTCCATGCCTATACCAAATGCACAGAGATGACCTCACCAACTGCATGTAAAGTAGAACATCAGTACAGTTGACTCCCAACTTCCATACATTTAACTTGTACAATCACAGCTTTATGCTGGCAGCCAGCTTGTTGAAATCACAGAAATTGTGATTGTGAAATCACAGAAAGTGTGGAAAGAGCTTTTAAGCTTCTCCACCTTGCTTCCTGGGTTCTGGGAGGTTCTTGTGTGAGATCTTGCAGGATCTCCCAAAGCCCGGTAAGCAAGGTGGAGAGCCTTGCATGGGGGGGCCAAGTCACACCAGCTTTGGAAAGGTAGAGGTGCTGCTGTTAGGGAGATTCTGGGGTTTTAACTACATGCAGCTTCAGCTTTGCACACAATCCCTGGAACGTAACCCCTACACAAGTTGCAAGATGGGGAACACTGAATATGTGGGAGAAAAGGCCGTATGTCTTACATAGTTAGATGAGCTATGCTTTTATAATTGGTAGTGATGTGAAATGTTACATGAGATGTACAGAACTGGTGCATCAAAAAAGGGAAGACATCGAGGTCTGATGCCTTTAAAAATACTATCAACAAATTTACGATCATTGCAATTAATTATGGAAAAATAGTCTTGATGAATTTTATCACATAACAAAATGTGCTGTGGAGTCGAAAGAGTTCTTGTTCATCTTAAATTGGTTATACAGGTGGATAAACAGTTTACATTTTCTTTCATATGTTATTTAGCCATCTCCAAATTTTAAACCAGAGCAAGTTTGTGTTTTGTCAGGTTTGACATTGTTCTGCCACCAAATGTTCCACCTTAGTCTGCAATTGCTATATTCACCTCAGAGCAGTGATGTGGGCCAGGACATTTTCAGTGTTTTATCTTTCTACTGAAAAATGTTACCGCTGTTTCATGAGTTCATTTTCTAAAACAAGGTTTTCTGGAAAACACATCTTGCTGCTTGCAGAGTAAGCTTCATTAAATTAAATGAGAGTTGCTTTTGAATAAACATGTTTGGACTTGTTATTTGTCGTTTGTTTAGCATGCTTTGAGAAATACAGTGATTTACATATCCCTAAAGATCAGAAACTCTCATCTTTAGAAATAATATTTTAAATTTGTTCTTGTTTAGGTGGAGGTTTCCCTTGATAGGGATCAGTTGAAAGAAGAAATTGATTTTTTGAAGAACATGCACGTTACAAAAGTGAAGTCTGCTGCTTTAGAATCTCGTGTTGCCAACAAAGTGAGAAAAGACAGCAGTAACTTTTATTCATCCGAAAGCTGCAGTGAAAATGTAAAGATGCTGATGGATTGGGTCAATACTGTCTGTGGGTTTTACAATGTCAAGGTAAAAACTTTCCCAATAATCAATTTCTGTAATGACACATCTCTGTTCTGTTTCCTCCCCAATAAGCAAACAAGGGATGAAAGTATTATTTGATAGACCACAACTTTGCTTTACTAATTGATGGAAGCCAGTTTTAATCAGTGGGACTGAGATTTAAGGAGATATTTATTTATTTGGCTGTTCAGCATGTTTTTATTATGGTGCATTATAAATGACTGGAAAATGGCATAATGGGCTGTACTTGCCGCAATCTTGCCTGCCCATTTCTTATTAAACTTCATTGATGCTAGGATGTCATCCTTTTGTGGGGGAGGGTGCCTAATGACCTGACATTAGGGATTTACATATGTTCCTATGAAACAGTACTGACAAAATCAATAGGTTCTCCTTTCCTTTCCAACAAACTGGTTTAAAGGAAACATTTGGATGGACTGTTTAAATCTACAATGATGGCCATATCAAATGGTAACTTGTTGTTGATGCATCAAAGCTAATCTGACGAACACTAAGGATAAATTTACTTGTTTCATGGTCCAAGTTGCTTCTTGGAAAGAATTGGAAAATGGTAGGAAACAACCTTGTACTGAGTCAGACCATTTAACTCAGTCCATTTAACTCAGTATTGTTTGCACTGAATGGCTGCAGAACTCCAGGGTTTTAGATGGGACATTCCTGTTCCTACCTGGAGATGCTGGGGATTGAACCCGGGACCTTTGCATGCAAAACAGATGCACTGCCACTGAGCTGTGGCCCATCCAATGCACATCTCTTAGAACTTACTATTCTGAAAGCTGCCAAAGGTAAATAACCAAATACTGTGTTTTTATAGAACATCTTTCTTTAAGGTTTGTTGTACCAAACAGGACAAGCAGATCCTAACCTGATTTTCTTTGGTACACTACAAATTTATACTTTAACTTAGTACTGTTTTTGAAGATTTCATGCCACTGTAATTTCTGCAAGTGTTCCAATATAATAACCCCTAGAGAACCCCAAGTAAAAGAAGATTATTACCACAATTATCTGGCTGTAAAGAGCAAGGGGTATTAAAGTTAGTAATTTTCAGACTTTGAATACTGTGGTGTAGGAAGGGTATTTTCCCCTCTAGATTTGCTTTTCAAAAAGAAAAGCCATCGGAAGAAAGGAATGCATTGTTGAGTAGGCTAGAGTTCAGAAATGGAGGCCTAGAATTCAGCTTTATTAGCACATGGTATGCTGATACAAACCTTCAAATAGAGAAGCCACTGGCAGAAAATATTTGCTTAACTGGTTTTGTGTTTTTAACTAGGTTGAAAACTTTACAGTATCCTTCTCGGATGGAAGAGTGTTGTGTTATTTGATTCATCATTATCATCCATGTTATGTGCCTTTGGAAGCTATCTGCCAGCGCACAACTCTAACAGCAGAATGCACCAAAAGTGGTACAGTTGCTCTAAATTCTTCCTCTGAGTCTGATTCTTCTCTGACTGTACTCAATGGAGCTTTTGATGAAAGTGAGTTCATTAAATGATTATTGAAGGCAGAGGGAAGATGCTTATTACCACTTTATTTGACTTAATAAATTTAATCTTTTTTGTCTGTTGTTTTTTTTAAAATAAAGCTATAACTTCTTCCGTGCTTTATAAAGAACTCCTTGACAATGAGAAGAGAAACTTCCAGCTGATTAATGCTGCAATTTCTGACCTTGGTGGTGTTCCTGCTATGATTCACCATTCAGACATGTCTAATACAATTCCTGATGAGAAGGTAGTCAACCATGTCTTTACAATTCACCATTGCCTTGTTCAATCACAACTTACTTTTATCGCAACTTGCTAAGTTTCTGTATGTTCTCTGCTCTCTTGGTTTTCTGTAGGTAGTTATTGCCTATGTGTCATTTCTTTGTTCGCGACTTGTAAATCTTTCTAAAGAGATTCGAGCAGCTCGACTGATTCAGTCAGTGTGGAGGGAACACAGATTGAAAACAAGATTAGCAAAGGTATTTCTTTGAGTTACTTTGCATGTTTCCTAAATTATCAGGAGATAGATTCTACAGTATCTATCAATGCTATATGGACATACTCAATCAGCAGTGGAATTTTTATTTTGCTAGATTTTTGAAGAAAAATCCAAAGGTGCAGTTGTAATTCAGAAGCATTGGAGAAGATACATGGCCCAGGTGAAACTTCAGAAATTAAAAAAAGCAAAGCAGGAAGAAGTTGAAAGAGTATCTTCTGTTGTCATTCAGGTATGATTGACTTTTCATGTGAAATTACTATGTCAAAATTACTGCATTTCCTAGCCGATTGATATTGCCAGGTGCTGTTTCATTTCTGCCCAGAATAAGATTTCAGAATCAAGTAAAATATGGTTCACTGTTAGAACACTTTATATGCCATACTTTTGTATAAAGAATATTGAATTTTATTGTTCGAGTCCACCAGCTTACTTAAAATATATGCATAGAAAGAATTGGCCATTTTTCTTGTATTAAAACTGTAAATGTGCAGTGAAATCTGATTCTTACAGCTGTGTGTCACTTTTTCCACCCCAGACTTACTGGAGAAGATACAACGCAAGAAGAAAATACTTGCAGCTTCGGCAATATACAATTATTGTGCAAGCAAGGATAAGAATGTTCCTTGCTGTTGCTGCTTATAAAAAAGTTTGCTGGGCTGCTCTCACTATTCAGAGGCACTTCAGGGCTTTTTTGATAGCAGAAGCCCATCGCCAAAAATATCAAAGTATGAAACAGGCAGCGCTTGTGATTCAGTCTGCATTTAGAAGATGGAAAGGCTGCAAAATGAATTCAAAAGTTGAAATAGAGAAGCGACTGCAAGCAACTGAACTGGCAAAGAAAGAGAGAGCTGCAGTTGTAATTCAGTCATGGTACAGGATGACCAGAGATCGAAACAATTACTTACATATCAGACACAGTGTTATCAAGATACAGGCCTTGTTCAGATGTCTTCAAGCTAAATTCATTTACAAACGGAAAAGACTGTGTGCGGTGGCTATTCAGAAGCGTTACAGAGCTTACAGGATGAGGAAAATTGACAGGGAAACATATTTGCAGAAACGTTCAGCAGCTATATTCCTGCAATCTGCTTATAGAGGAATGAAAGCTCGTTTATTGTGTAGACAAGTCAGAGCTGCCTGTGTCATTCAGGTACACTACCGTGCATACAGAAAGCAAATTTTTCTGAGGCTGAAGTTCTTACAGCTAAAAAAGGCTGCTGTGTGTTTGCAAGCAGCTTACAGGGGCTATAAAGTACGGAAAATGTTTAAGTGTCAGAAAACGGCTGCTGTTAAGATCCAGTCTGCTTTGAGGGCTTATGCTGCAAGAAGAAAATACCAAGCTTTGATTCAAGCTACCCTTGTGATTCAGAGATGGTACAGGGCTTCCAAAATCAGAACAAGCTTTTTGAAGACGAGAACAGCTGTAATTTACTTGCAGGCAGCTCTGCGTTCCTGGCAAGTAAAGAAATGCATTAAGAGCTGGCATGCTGCCGCAATTAAAATACAATCTGCCTTTAGGAGATACATGGCTCTGAAAAAGTTCAGGATGGTGAGAAATGCTGCTCAAACACTTCAGCAGCACTACAGAGCCAAACTTTTGGGCAGAAAACGGCAGCAGGAATATGTTGTGCTTCGCAACAGCATTGTACAACTCCAGGCAGCTTGGAGAGGGAGGGTTGTGAGGAAGGCAATCCAAAAACAGCACCACGCTGCAGTAGTCATACAGTCCTATTTCAGGATGCACATCAGTCAAAGAAAGTTTAAAAGTTTCAGAGGGGCTGCCATTAAGGTTCAAAGGTGGTATCGTGCTGCTGTCCTAGCCAGGAGTGAAAGGCAGGAATATCTCACTTTAAAGGTTGCAGTTGTTAAAATGCAAGCAATTTACAGAAGCGTAAGAGCAAGGCGTGAAATTCAACGCATGCACCAAGCAGCAGTTATTATCCAAGCCATGTTTAAAATGCATCAGAGTAAGGTTAGATATCAGGCAATGAAACTGTCAGCAATTGTAATTCAGAGGCACTACAGAGCTCATTGCAGAGGGAGAATGGAACGGGGGAAATATCTCAAGTTAAGGAAGGCTTCTCTTGTACTTCAGGCTGCCTACAGGGGCATGAAAGTTAGACAGGAACTAAAAGCTTTGCACCAGTCTGCAACTTCTATTCAGTCATTTTATCGAATGTACAAGCAGCGAAAATGTTTCCTGAAGCTAACAGCAGCGGCAAAACTGATTGAGCAGTGGTATTGTGGTTGTAAATGTCGCAATGCTCAGATGCGCAAATACAGGCAGATGAAGACTTCTGCCATCCAAATACAGGCTGCCTTCCGAGGTATGAAAGCGAGGCTCCATTTGCAAAAGATGCATATGGCTGCCACCACCATCCAAAGGCAATTCAGAACTTTTCTTCAGAGGCAAAGGTTTGCTTCTCTTAAGGCAGCTGCTGTGACAATTCAGAGGAAGTACCGAGCAATGGTACTCTCTAAACAGCAGCGTGAAGAGTATGTCCAGCTCTATAAAGCTGCCATTGTAATACAGTCTGCCTTCAGAGGCCTGCTGGCCAGAAAACGTGTGAGCCAAATGCATGGAGCTGCTACGGTTATCCAAGCAGCCTTTAGAAGACATACAGCTTATACTCGATACCAAGCTGTGAAGCTTGCTTCTGTTTCCATACAGCAGCATTATAGAGCATACCGTGAGATGAAACACGCTAGAGGACTCTACTTAAAATATTGCCACTCTGCTTTAGTTCTTCAGGCTGCTTACAGAGGAACGAAAGTGCGATGCATCTTGAGGGAACAACATTATGCTGCAACAGTCATACAGAGTAACTACAGAAGGCACAGGCAGCAGTGTTCCTACAAAAAATTACAACGGGCAGCCAAAGTTATACAGGTTCAAGTCAGGGCCAATAAGCTGTGCAAAACTGCAGCCCAGCAGTATTCCTCTGCTAAAAGTGCCGCCATTTGCATCCAGAAAGCTTTTCGCTGGATGAAGGCAAGACGATGTCAGCAAAGGCACCAAGCTGCCATTGTGCTTCAGCGGAATTTTAAAATGCAGAGAGAACGTAGAAAATACCTTGCTTTGAAAGCAGCTGCTGTAGTCCTTCAGAGACGGTACAGAGCGTCGGTTCTGGCAAGGAGGCTGTCTCAGGAATACGTTTCTGTTTGTGCAGCAGTTATCTGTGTCCAGTCTTTCTACAGAGGATTTAAAATCAGGAAGGAAATTGAGCGCAAACACTTAGCAGCAAAGGTAATTCAAGCAACATTTAGAATGCACAGGGCTAGGGTCTCTTACCAAAAGCTGAGAGGTGCTGCTGTCACCATACAAAATTCCTACCGGTCTTACCTAAAGGGAAAACACCAGCAAAATACACACCTGGCAATTAAGAACTCTTCTGTAATGATTCAGTCCACATACGGAGAGTTAAGAACACGGCAAGAAGTGAAAGCTATGCACGTTGCAGCAACTCTCATCCAGTCTCTCTACCGAATGCATGCCCAGCGCAGACATTACAAGTTGATACGCAGGGCTGTGATAACTATTCAGTCTGCCTATCGTGGAACGGTAGCACGCCGAAAGGCAAAGAAAATTCGTGCGGCCAGGAAGATTCAGTCCTTCATTCGCATGACTGTGGCTCGTAGAAAGTTTATTCGCCTCAAAACAGGAGCTACTGCAGTACAGACTCATCGCTGTACAAATAAAGCCATAGAACAATACCAGAAATACTGGGAAGCTGCACTTTTAATACAGCGGCGTTATCGGTCTTACCTGGCTATGAAACACCAAAGAATAGCTTATTTGCAAACTTTGAAGAGCATCATCATAATGCAAGCTACAGTCAGGAGTTTCCTTGAACATCTAAGGCTCTGCAGATTGAAAAGTATCCAGGTATTTAGGTATACTTGCTTCAACATTACTTGTTACTGATTCCTGTAATATATGTACACAAGAACCACTCCTCTGAGTCAAAAGCAGGGTGGGCATTATGGCTAGATTCTTATTATAATGCATATGTTCTTTCCCTCTTTGAATCCTAAACCTCATTCTGTGCTTTTTTCTGTTCTGCTGGTCTTCTATCTTATACAAAATAGTATACCAGCAAAAGGAGATACTGTATGTTTTTCTATACAAAATAGCTTGAAGCAAAGGCCCCAAATCTGTCTTTTATCAAAATCTAAGGTATTTTTAAAAAGTGCTTAAATTTGTCTAGATCTTGTGAATTTTTTTCTACTGATTCAGAAGCGGAAGTGAAAGCCGTAACCAAAAGTGGTAGTGGTGCAGGGGGGAGTTCTAGTCTTTCGTTAGAGCAAGTTGGTTTGCAACTTTCTTGTTCAAGTTCCTTGGGTATTATTATTATTATTATTATTATTAATTCTCCCCACTCTGCACAGCTCTCAACAGAATTAAAAGCACAATAGAACATCAAACTTTAAAAACTTCCCTAAACAGGGCTGCCTTCAGATGTCTTCTAAAAGTCAGATAGTGATTTATTTCCTTGACATCTGATGGGAAGGCGTTCCACAGGGTGGGCGCCATTACCGACAAGGCCCTCTGCCTGGTTCCCTGTAACCTCACTTTTTGCAGTGAGGGAACTGCCAGAAGGCCCTCAGAGCTGGACCTCAGAGTCTGGGCTGAATGATGGGGGTGGAGAGATATATTTGAGATACATGTCTACTGCTGGTAGTCAAATTGCCTGGCCATGACCTTACAGTTTTGGATTAAGGTCCTTACAGAACTATCTATGCCCGTATGACCCAGGGATTCAAGATTGGTACAGGGGCCTTGCTTGCATGACTGCCAGGCAGAGAGGTAAGATGGGGTGGGCACAACCTTTTTGTGGTGTTCCCCATGGTTGTGGAACGTCCCTTCCCAACCTTTTCCATGGTAATGTTTAAGGCAGGCTGTACAGATTATTAATGAGTGTTCACCAAGAAGTAACTTTCACTTTTAGTATTATACCGACTGTGATACACTGATAAATATTTTTACTGCTGTTACAATTGTGATGCCGTTTTATACATTTTGAATGTTTTTATGTCCCCCCTCCCTTATGGTTTTGGCACAGAACCGGCAGAGTTTTCTCCTTCGTTTTGCAGCTGCTGCATATCATCATCTTGCTGCTGTTAGAATTCAGAGGGCTTACAGAGCTTTTCACTCGAAGCAAGCACACTTGCAGCTCTCTTCAGTTCTGTACATTCAGGTTAGCTTTTAGAACAAATGTATTGCTCTAGGAGCTTCTTTCTACCAAGTGCCTCTTCTGTTCTTGAAAATGCTCAGTCTTTTTTATTAGTTCATGTTACAGTGGTACCTCGGGTTACAGACGCTTCAGGTTACAGACACTTCAGGTTGCAGACTCCACTAACCCAGAAATAGGGTTAAGAGCTTTGCTTCAGGATGAGAACAGAAATTGCTGCTGCAGTGCAGCGGGAGACGGAGACCCCATTAGCTAAAGTACCTCAGGTTAAGAACAGTTTCAGGTTAAGAACGGACCTCCAGAACGAATTAAGTTCTTAACCCGAGGTACCACTGTACTTACACATGTCTTGAAGTTCCAAGTTTCATCAAGACCATCTCTTTAATTCCTTTAAAAATGTGTAGGTAATCTTAGCGAGAAAATATTTTTCTCTTTGTCCTGTGTGTGTTTAAGCAGAGGTGGTATCGAGCAAAACTGCAGAGGAGGAGATACCTTCAAGATCGTGAGAAGATTATTAAAATACAAAGAAGGGTGAGGAGACGGAAGAGTTGTGGAAATGTAGCTGCAAATGCGGTTCAGGAAGGCATGAACCAAGAAGCCCTAATCAATGGAGTAACTAAATTTCAGGTAAACCAAGATCCTAGAGAGACTGCTTCTGTTTTATTGAGTCATATGGTTATATTTAAGGCCTTGTTTTATTCTTATGTGTGAGAGTTGTAACCATGGGGCATGAAGTGGTAAGGGCCACAGCTTAGTGATAGAGCTTTGAATACAAAAAGCCCACAGTCAGCCCCTGACATCTTCAGGTGGGCTGTATATGACCCCTGTCTGAAACACAGGAGTCACTACCAGCCTTTGGTAATCTCTCCCTAGGAGCAAGATGTACTAATGGCCTGACTTGATAGAAGGCACTTCCTGCGTTTGCTAAGGATGATGGGAATATTGCCACAGCAGGAATGATATTCTTATGGATTCTAATGGGGTGCATGGCTCCATTCTTAACGTCTACATTTGGACTTTCCTTTCACTTATTCACTGTGGCGAATGGAATTGGAGTAGTTTTTTATCTAAACTACCTTTTATCTAACCTTTTATCTAAAAATCCACCTTTTATCTAAAAATCTGACTATTTTCTGTATTTATATGCTGCTTTAATTGTCAAAACCCATCAGTAAACATAAAGCAAACATTCTAGAAACCACTGAAAAAGAGAAAGATAAGAATAAAATCAGCTGAGATATGAACACGTCTTTTCTGTTCTGCTTCTGATCACTGAATGATGCCTGGAAGCCACTGAATGCAAAATATTAATTGTGCTAGAATTGGTTGGAAAACCATAAAATTATATTCCGTAATGTAACAGGCTTTCTCCTCTCCCTTTCCTTCAATATGAATCACTTTCCCCCTCGCACCCTCATCCATCATAAGTCACTGTGGAGAGGGTATTTATGTAGGAAGAAGACTGACACAGCAAAAATGAGAGCTCTGCGAGATAGCTTGTCGATTGCCAATAAAGAAAGCAACGAAGATAAGAAGCTATGCAACAGAACAGCACTTGCCATTGATCGGCTTCTCAAATATAAACACTTTTCTTACATTCTGGCAGCTTTAAAAGACTTGGGTTTGTATTTTTTAGATTAAAATTAATTCCCAATACACCATTAATACCATTCTTTCTACAAATTTACCAACATAAAAGGTGTAGCAGTAAAGATGGGGTGGTGGTGGAATTACATCATTATTACCTGCCTAGTACAGTGGTACCTCGGTTCTCGAATTTCTCCATTGATGAATGTTTCAGAACCTGAACGTCGAAAACCCGGAAAGAAATGCTTCTGTTTTCAAACACGCCTCGGAATTCGAACAGCTTCCGCTGTGTGTTTTTCCATTTTCTCAATTGAATTTGCAGACAGCCCTTTGCACCTCAATTTTTGAAAATTTTGGAACTCAAATGGTTTTCCAGAAAGGATTATGTTTGAGAACTGAGGTACCACTGTACTTTCATATTGGAAGGACTAGTTTTCCTGGTGTGTGGTGGAAAATGGGATCATTTGACCAGAGTAGAATGGCATCCAATCCAACCCCACTTCATGCACTGAGAAGCATGAAACTTCTCTACCCCGGTGGTTCCCCATTAGCTAAGTACCACAGACCCCTTGTTTTTCAAAAGCAATGCCATGGACCCCCTACTTTTGAAAATGTTGATATTTCTGTGGTGGTTTTTGTTATGTGAATGGTGCCACCATACCCTCCAACATGTCCCAGTGCAGAATTTGGGTGTGTGCTTGTGCAAGTCACAGGACCTGCATGGTGCCCGGAAACATGTGCTTTTGGGTGCCATGCTGCCCATGACAGTTGATGGGTGCCACAGACCCCCAATAGAGAACCATAGCTCCATCTCAATTACTGTGTGTCAATGAGAACTGGCCACTATTTCCATGGTGCATTTCATCCAACTGTTGCCACCCTGAAAATAGGCTGATCCATATTCCTTTCTCGCTCCCTCTCCAGAGGTTGTTACCCGACTATCACCCGTTTGCTGTGAAAGTATGGTCCAGAATGAAGCGGTACCCACTATTTTTACTTTGATACGGAGTTGCAATCGCAGTGTCCCAAGCATGGATGTCATACGTTATTCTGTCCAGGTCCTGCTTAATTTGTCAAAGGTACTTCTGCATTTTCAAGTTTTGTTGAATGGTCCCAGTCCCCTTTTTATTGCCAGAATTTGGGGCTTAGAGCTGCTCTTGATCGCTGCTCTTGGACTTGAGAGCTCCAATTCAGAATGGGGCAGGAGTGAGGACACTCCTTCCTGCAAATCCACTAACAGTCGTCAGAGTGTTGTTTTGCTGTTTTCTTTACACTACTATATATATCCAGTGTAAGAAGTCTGTTAAAACTGTCTCAAATACAATGACACCTTCTTTGCTCAAAGTTGGAGGGAAAGTACTTAACCAGAACTGTTTTTCTTTTCAAGTATGAAAAGACAACTGAAGCTGTTTATACAGTGGAGAATTGTGTTGATACTTTACTGGACCTACTTCAGATGTACAGAGAGAGAGCTGGCGACAAAGTTTCAGAGAAAGGTGGAAGCATTTTTACCAAGACGTGCTGCCTGCTTGCTCTTCTTTCAAAGGACTCAAGAAGAGCTTCTGTAAGTTTTGGTTGCTCTCCACTCCATCCCATCATTAACTATTGTGAAATTGTTTTCCCGTTTGTGAGGGATGAGCGGGAGAGATTTGCCACAGTGGCTCGTAATATACAAATACGGCTGGTAGTGTGTTAAAGCTGCTATTTTACACAGCCAGTTAGTGCCAAATGCATTTTACCTCTGTTGAGAAAGGAAGAGGAGTGTTTAAGCTGGAGACCTGATATTTGGGAACAGCAATGGTGCTGTTGGAGGATAATAATAATAATAATAATTTATTATTTATACCCCGCCCATCTGGCTGGGCTTCCCCGGCCACTCTGGGCGGCTTCCAAAAGAATATTAAAATACTATAATACATCAAACATTAAAAGCTTCCCGAAACAGGGCTGCCTTCAGATGTCTTCTAAAAGCCTGGTAGTTGTTGTTCTCTTTGACATCTGGTGGGAGGGTGTTCCACAGGGAAGGCGCCACTACCGAGAAGGCCCTCTGCCTGGTTCCCTGTAACTTGGCTTCTCGCAGTGAGGGAACCGCCAGAAGGCCCTCGGTGCTGGACCTCAGTGTCCGGGTAGAACGATGGGGGTGGAGACACTCCTTCAGATCTTTGACAGGCAAGCTTTGGAACTGTGTCACTCTAGGATTGGATGGTGAGGGGTCTTATAACTTCCATTAAAACTGGTGCTTTTCTGTGTGTTTCCTAAAGGTTTATTCCTTTCAGGTTTCATTGAGCTAAGCATTACACTGTATTTAACTGTAAAATGTGGTTTAATTTTTAGGAGATCCGAGGCAGCTCACGAGTAGTTACTCGCCTTCAGAGCCTGTTTAAACTCACAGCACGGAAACATCAAATGGATGCACGAAGAATGCTTGCCAAACAGAAGTTGGCCGCATACAAAAATGGGCATTTCTCTGTCCCAGCAACTCCTCTAAGGACTACAATAGTTTCAAGGTAAGAAATCCTAACCTTTCAATTTCCGTGCTTAAAAGAGAGAAAAAAATCCTGCTTTTTCAGTACAATTTCCTCCCCTTTAACCTACAGGCAGAGACCAGAATGGGTTCTAAGGAAAGATAATATAAAAGAGATTGTTGATCCTCTGCAAGCAATTCAAATGGTATTGGATACACTTGGAATTCCTTATTACTAAAGAATGACTTAAAATGATATTAAAAAAAAGTATTGTCAGGATCAGCTTTCATATTATGTAGAGTGTCATATAAATCTATATCCAATTTTATCAGTATATATTTGTGATACCTCAGTTTTACTGCACATTTTTGTATGTCAGCTTGTGATTGGTATTGTCTTTATTAATTACTTGGATATGATTTGTAAGTAACAAACTAAACTATGTATTTTTTTTAAAGGCTGAGATTTTGTACAATAAAATGGAAACCATTCTGTTTACATTGTTGGCTATGGTTTTTATTTTGTTTTGATGTTCTTGGAGATTTGGGATCTATAACCATTAAGCCTAACAAAATAGATTCGATATCTGCATATGCATGTATTCCACATTGTGAATCTGAGCAATCTGCTATGGAAAACAAGCTGAACCATATTAGTTGTAAGTGCTACCTTTCTCATTACTTTTATCAAAAATAGACAAAATACATAGTTTAGGATCCAAGATCATTTTTACCTACAAGTGTAGTATACTTGTATACTTGTTTCCAAAATTTCTGAACTTCAGCACAGCTCTACTGCCAATAAGACCCCTGCTTCCTGCCAACACAAAGGGGATCCTGATACTTTACCCATGATCCAGATGTACTGGGATAAAATACCATCGATAAATGACTTCTAAAGAGTTCTCCCTTATGCTGGTGGAAATCAATCTTTCATTGCCCATCAGCAAATCATTTTGCTTCTTTTTTCATTCGCTGGTCTCCTCTCTGAAACAGCATAGCTAAAGCAGCAACAATGAACCTGAGGCACTCCAGATATTCTTGGACTCCAACTCCCATTAACCCCAGCCAGACATGATGAGAGTTGTAGTCCACATTGGCCACCTATGGTTTCAGGTTTTCGTTTCTGAGCCAGTTCTACCAGATGCATACCTGCCTATCAGGCAGGAATATTGTTGAGATGCCAAGGGAAGAGATAGGTACACACAGTTCTATTAAAAGAATAAACTTTAACACTGTGGAAACAACCAGGGGGGCTTTCCTGATAAATGAGTAACTAAATGTCCTGAGTAAATCACAAGCAGTTGGGATAATACAAGCTTGCAGGAACTACTCGAGATGGGATATAAGAACTGGATTTTCCCATTTACATTGGCTATATTGGGAGACTGTCTTGCAGAAGGTAAAAACACTGAATCCTTTTTTGCTATGGATGCTAAAAAATCCTGGCTTGCGTATTCTAGAAAGTGCTTTTTCACTTTGTAGAGGTAGTTGCAATTAGTATGTTTCAATAAATGCCCACAAATCAAAATGAACTGATTCAATATACTTTAAAAAGTATAAAATCTGTATGTTCTCTTCCCTATTTTGTAATTTAAAATAACAAAAATCTACCCTTATAATAATGTGGGCCAATGTATATATGCATATATACCATTCCAGTATACCAGTCTTCCCCAAGTTGGTGCCTTCCAAATGCTTTATGCTACAACTGCCTTCCAACTAGCCTAGCTGTTGCTATGGAAGTCAAAAGCACCAGACCTTGAAATGTATGTTTTGGGGGAATTGGTGGAGAGCATTACTGAATGAAAATTACCAAGCATATAGATGGCTTGCTGGAGATGTTTTGCATGGCTTCTGCAAAGGTAAGGTTTTTTATTTAAAAAACATGATTAGTTTTACAAAAGGTAACGTTGAAGAGGCAGGCACCAAGTGCAAAAATACAAACCCTGCTGACTGAAAGTCCAGAGGTAGCATTATTATCAATTTACGGTGGGTTGGAAGGTGCACAGGCTATGATGGACTTGCTCACAAATTTATTGACAGCTACACAAATTATTATAGCTAGGAAGTAGAAGGGGCAAGCAGAATATAAAATGGACGAATGGTATAAAGAGGTGTGGGATATAGTTATTAACGATACATTAACATGTGCCATTAAGGTAAGACGGAATATGCAGGAGAAGTGATTTTGAGGAGATACGGAGGGTTTTTGTAGAATTTGTACTGTTAAAGTGGAAAGGGGTCAAACTTGCAAGCGGTGTTGAAAATTTGGGAGGTTGGATAGTTACAATGGAATGGTCTTGGTGGTGGGGTGCACACTTTTATTCTTATTTATGGTTATTTGTCAAGATAAAACAAATTTTTAAATAAATAAATGCAAACTCCAAATAAAAAGAAACACCTCGTTCCCTTCACACAAAGGTAAAGTTGTGAGTCAAACCTTTTTGCGATGAGAGTGTCAATAAGCATGCGGCTGAAGGGTGATCCAGTTGAGAGTACAGTGGTACCTCGGGTTACAGATGCTTCAGGTTGCAAATGCTTCAGGTTACAGACTCCGCTAACCCAGAAATAGTACCTTGGGTTAAGAACTTTGCTTCAGGATGAGAACAGAAATCGCGCCGCGGCGGCACGGCAGCAGCAGGAGGCCTCATTAGCTAAGAATAGGTTAAGAACAGTTTCAGGTTAAAAACGGACCTCCGGAACAAATTAAGTACGTAACCAGAGGTACCACTGTATGTGCTTGGATTTTCAAAAAATCCAACCAGCATCTCTTAGAATGGCAGTGGTGCCCATCTGAGAGGTGCCGGAATTGAGTCCTGGTGAGTTCTAACTGTAAAAAGCCCTCGTTCTGCCTGACTGGAAGGTGTTGATACTTTTAACACCAGAAACATTATAATTAAAAAAAGCTGACATCTATGCAGGACACATAATCTAAATAAAATGCGTCAGCCACACTACTACTGAAATAGGCACATTTCAACCAAACAATTGGATAAAGTGGGCTTCCTTGGAGTGGGCTTTTCAAAAAAGGGCTCTTTTCTCAGTGGCTGCCTGCTGAATTTCAGATCGCTCCCCTTTGCAGTTAGGGGTACCTGAACTGAATTTGACTCCAGGTTGTTTCTTAAAGTGTGTTTGTACGCTGAATAATTAACACCTCCCACTGAACATTTTTTCTAGGCAGGCTTTGTGACTTACCGAGCATAAAAAATGGAAATATTGCCCCATATTACTATAGTTTTAAAAACTATTACTTTCCAATGAAGCAAGATGAGAAGCTTTCCTATTTCTGTTTGCCTGGCTATACCACAGAAAGTGGAAGTCAAAATGGAAAGATCAACTGCACAATGAGAGGCTGGGCCCCAGTCCCTAAATGCTACCGTAAGTCAATGTGATTTGCCTTTCCAAATATAACAGATTTTTTTGCATGTAGCAGAGGTGGGGAACCGATGCCTCTTGGACCAATTTTGACCCATAAGGCTATATCCCCCTAGCCACTCCCACCTGTGTTAATCTGCTCAATGTCACTCGATGTCATATGCACATACCTGTGTGTTCTCTGTGGGGAATGTTCCAACAAAGCAGATCCCTGCAGAGAGCAGGTTTGAACCCTCTGCTCATCAGCTGGTGAGAGGGAAGTCTTGGCGGGTAGGTTGCTCCATGCGCACACACCATTTTGTGCATGCAAAGTAGCAGCTTCCATTGAAATCCCCTTATGGAAAAGTCCACTGTGCAAATCCTCAGCTCCACATCAGCAAAGGATTTCTGAATATAGTGTCAGGGACTGTGCTGAGGAGGAATGGTGAGAGCCTTCCCCTGCTCCTTCTCAGGATCCTGAATCTTCCCAGGAGCAGGAGGACAGTATAGATTTGGAGCAGTGGTTTGCAGAGGAGCATAGTTCAGAAGGCAGAAGCTGGGAAGAACTGGGTGGTGAACAGCTAGGAGAAGAAGAACTTGGGAGGGAGAGAACAGACTCCCTTTTGCTGGAAAGTGTTCAGCCGCTCAGCCCAAGATCAAGGAGAACAGATAAGGTGGCAGCACAGAAAGCACAGTGGTTGCGAGATCAGGTTGCAAGACACAGAAGTAACTTGAATGACAAGGGGGGAAGTGGGTGGAATCCTTAATTGGGAGCACCTTCATTCCTAGAAATGGATTCTTTGTTCTCTCACTATGATCATTAACATTTCTAACTGGTAAGAGACTCCTTTTGCTTTGTTCTGCTTAGCTACTGCCAAAGGGGGGGGGGGGAGAAATGAAGGCTAAGAAGAGAGGTGCTCAAAGGTGAAAAAAAGTTACATTTTTAAGTAGAGCTACAGTGCACTTCAGAGGGACACAGGTGGAGCTGTGGGTTTAACCACTGAGCCTAGGGCTTGCCGATCAGAAGGTCGGCGGTTCGAATCCCTGCAACGGGGTGAGCTCCCGTTGCTTGGTCCCTGCTCTTGCCAACCTAGCAGTTCAAAAGCACATCAAAGTGCAAGTAGATAAATAGGTACAGCTCCGGCAGGAAGGTAAACGGCATTTCCGTGCGCTGCTCTGGTTCGCCAGAAGTGGCTTAGTCATGCTGGGCACATGACCCGGAAGCTGTACGCAGACTCCCTCGTCCAATAAAGCGAGATGAGCGCCGCAACCCCAGAGTCGGCTACGACTGGACCAAATAGTCAGGGGTCCCTTTACCTTTTACAGTACACTTCATCTTCTCGTCTCCTATACTATATGATGCCCTGCTTGTGGCACCCAATCATCCTGGATACTAGGGTTGGCCCACCCATGAGGTCAAGGGGGGGACTACCTCAGATGGCAGGGTTCACCAAGGAAGCAGATCCCAATGTCAATCGTTCTTCCTTCCTTGTCCCTGATGTAGATTTTCCCTCACCCCTTCTTTGAATGATGCCATTTGGGGGTCCACTTCTGGTGCCCAAACGTATTGGGCCAGTCCTGCTGGGTACTGTAGCTTATGGAGCTATTGGCATGTTAAGATGAGTGCCTCCAAGTCATTTCCATCAATACAAATTCTCTGCCACCTAGATGTGTTAATGAAGGGATCGCCTAATGCTTTCTCCATCTTTTCATTCAACACATCTGATTGTTTAGAGAAATGTACCAAACCCGCCTTGGAGAATGGTGTTTTCTCGGATACGAAAATGTCCTACAAAATCTGGGAGAGACTGCAATACAGTTGTAATTCAGGTTATCAGATTCCTGGAGGTCCCAGGGATAAAACTATACAGTGTCTTGAAGGTGGATGGTCAGCTCAGCCACAGTGTACAGAAACAACAGGTATGGCTTTAGATAATATTTCCCCTCCCACCCCACCTGAAGAGTTGTTCCTAAGGTTGAAAGCTATGTTCTCACCTGATGTATTAGGTGATCATCCAGCAGAGATAATTTCATGGGAATTCTTTTTTTTTTTACCTTGGATAAGGAATCTTGTTTTTGTATGGCTATTTCAAGTGAATTTGTGGATGGGCACAAAACTAGTCTAGAACAAAACACTTTGGAAGCAGAATTCTCAAGAAAAGCCTTTTAGCTCTTGAATTTTCTTGGAGGGGAGCAGAACGGCTTACAAAGATGAGTCATTTGATAGCCCAGGCTTGCAATAAAAAAAATACATCGCACAAAAGGAAAAGAGGTTGGAAGGGAGGAGGGAAGAAAAAGTAAACCCAGGCACTAATTCTTAGTTACAGAGTTCTTATAAATGACCAGCTGGAATCAGTACCATTCAAGGAGAGAAGGGAAAATAGCTGCTGTTTGCACATCCGAGCTAAGTAACTGCAGCCTGGTGCAGTGGCATTTTCTAGATGACCAATTGCTGGAAGGAAGAATCTGACAGGGTTTGCTTCCCCTTGTTGCACCTGTGCAATACAACTAAACTGGAAAGACATTTAAAATTAACATTTTGTAAAATGTGCTTCTTAAATTGGTGGTGTTTGTAGGGGGCTGGGGCCTCAAACTGGGTATTTACAGCAGCCAGGATGTTTTCCAGCATCATTGCGTCCAGTATTACTATTTTTTTTTGCATCACTGGGCTAGCTTGCCAGTAGAGGGAGCTGCCAGCCTGCTCTTTTCCCTGCATTGTCAGCAAAACCAAGTGAGTGTCTATAGCAATCTCCACTAGAAATATGGCACAGAAAACAGGGGCATGTTCACTGCTGTATATACCGTATTTTTTGCACCATAGGACACACTTTTTCCCTCCTAAAAAGCAAGGGAAAATGTGTGTGCGTCCTATGGAGCGAATGCAGGGGGGAGGCAGGCGGGAAAAGCCCCCAAGAGCTGCACACAAGCTTCGTGCGCTCTTGCGGGCTTTTCCCCAGGAGAGAGAAGGGACTGACTGGCTGCATCAGTCCCTTCTCCCACCTCCCAGAAAAGCCAGGAGAAGCCGCGCAGCCTCTTTAAAGAGCTGGCGGCTTCTGCCGGTTTTGCGGGAGGTGGGGGAACCCCCCCCCACCTCCCAGAAAAGCCACACTTTGACCACTGGAAAGTCCACCTCAGCCTCCCCAGATTTCCACTGAGACGGCCAGGCTAATCTCGATGGCCATAAATCAGGCTCAGCATTATTAACCGGACTTAGATAAGCCATGGTTCCCCTTCCTACCCTCCTCTGAGGCTCAATTTAAAGCAGCAAAGCGGACAGGAGCCGCCCGCTTTGCTGCTTTAAATAGTTTAGTGCAACATTTGATTCAGAATATTTTTGTGTCTGTTTTCCTCCTCTAAAAACTAGGTGCGCCCTATGGTCAGGTGCGCCCTATGGTGTGAAAAATACGGAAATTGATAAGGTCATAAAAGCGATAGTCCCTTTTAAATGAATTCGCTTTGCAAAAGGAGCTGTCCCGAAAAAGCAAGGGATCTTTTTTGTTTGTTTGTTTCATATGGTGATTGCAACAAAGGTTAGGGGACACAAGAGACCGCAAATTGACAGAAATGTCTCAATTTAAGACTGTAGTTCGATGTACACTTTGGCTGGATCTAGTCACATCAAAGAAGCGTTTCAGTTTAAAACGCTGTAAATTTAAACAGGGAAAACAGGTAGAGACAAACGGGACTCCACGTCCACTGTCTAGTGGTACAATGTATATCGCACATATAAATCGCTTTTTCTTTACCAGTCTAGCTGAGTCCTTTCTTACTTGGCAGTAAGTCCCATTGAACTCAATAGTTTTGGCTAAACATGCATAGGAGGAAGTTTAGATTTATATCTCTCTGGTCCTTCCAAAGGAGCCAAGGAGGGAATGGGAACGTAATGCATATGAGTGGTTGGTTTAAATGATACAATCTGACAATTACGAATAAATTTACTTGATTTAGCCACACAGTTTTGGGGAGCTAATGGCAATGTGTTTTTATACTGCATTTCCACCCAGTTGGGAGTCATTTACTTTGAGCTGATGTTAAATTTATGTTGTTCACCAATATGAACTAACACAAGTAGGATTGCACCTTGCCCTCTACAGCCACAAATGGAGGCTTTGAGAATCAATCTGAGATCAGCTGAGACCAAGCTGAGATCATATTGCACCTGTTTTGTTTGTCTGCACACTCACCTGCCAGTTATACTTTGCTCCCAGATCATTCATGGCCTCAAAAAAAGAACCCAAAATAAATCCACGAAATGTTTTGATTTTGTATGCCTGCAATTATTCACTATCCCACCCCCCGCTTCCTTTCTTATTTCCAATGTCCATCTGGCGGCTCTGCCATTTCATGCTGAAGACATCAATCCACTTCTTGTTTTTAAGAGATGTGCTCAGCACCAGACCTGGTACATGGCCGCTACCACACAGCCCAGAGAACGTTCAGCCGGAAGGAAAAGCTCAAATATGAATGTGATGACGGATATCGTACGGCGGGAGGCCACACAATGGAAGAAGCACATTGTGAACCTCAAGGCTGGTCCCTGACTCCTAAATGCACCAGTATGTTGAATTTCCAATGCTTCTTCTGCGACTGTCTTGGCTTTGCCTTGTACAACATTTGCTTGGGCTAAAGCAAAAGTTCAGGCAAAGGACCTGGCATTTTCAAAAATGGAAAATGGAAGCCTTGCTCTTTTTCATTCTTGCATTTCTTAGAATTGGGATGTTCGGCACTGAGTCCTGTCGAACACGGAGGTGTTGATCCCAACAAGGGAAGCTACGAAGAAGGAAATGTGGTTCAGTTCTTCTGCTTGGAAGGTTATTCATTAAAGGGGTCAGAATTAATTCAGTGCTATTACTTTGGCTGGTACCCAGAACCTCCAGTTTGTGAAGGTAATTCATCATGACATTGGAGCTAGGGGTTTTCTGTATTCTGCAAAGCAGCTTCCCCCCCCTTTTAATCTCTGTCCCCCCCCCCATAATATCAGTACCACAGCCAATGATTTTTCTTTTATATATGTTGAAAAATGGGAAGAATAAGCTGAATCATCTGATGAAAAGTCTTTGAATGTTTACATGTCTTTATGTAGCAGGGTTGTTTGGTTTTTGAACTGCTTATTCTTCTGAAAATGGATGAATTTAATTTTCTGCTATTTGAAAGCAGGTTTGGCATCCTTTCTCCATTTTTGCTGTTTGAGGAGAAGGAGTGATAGCTGCCTTTTATTGATTTGCTGAATTTAACAGAAGAGGAATGTGTACAAATAAACCCTGATTTTGTAAGCTGTTTTACCCTGATCTATGTTTAGAGCATAGCTGTCAACTTTTCCCTTTTCTTGTGAGGAATCCTATTCGGAATAAGGGAATTTCCCTTAAAAAAGGGAAACATTGACAGCTGTGGTTTAGAGACATGAGAAATCCTTCGCCCGGCTACTCGTAAGTAGCTATTCTTACTGGGGAGGAGAGTTACTCTTCCAAACATACAATTCTGGGATTTCTAAAGGATTGTATGATGTTATAAAACCTAACCTGATTCTTTCCCCTCCGCCCATTTTTAACCAGAAAGAAGAAACAAGTGTCCTCCTCCACCTCAGCCCCCTCATGCCAATGTGCTAACCAGTTTAAGAACCTTCCGCCACGGAGACACATTGCGTTTGGAGTGTGAGCATCCCTTTCAGATTGCAGGAGATGAAGAAATCCGATGTGAGAATGGCAGGTGGACTTTGCCTCCCAAATGCATCGGTCAGTTGTCTTGCGAAACCGGACACTGGGGATTTAAAAGATCCTTACGTTTTGGAAGGTTGTCAATTTAGAGCTTTTGAGAATGGACCTAGAATTGGAGCCTCTCCCTTGGCACACACTCTGGAGAGCCAGTGTGGTGTAGTGGTTATGAGCGGTGGACTCGTAATCTGGTGAACCGGGTTCGCGTCTCCGCTCCTCCACATGCAGCTGCTTGGTGACCTTGGGCTAGTCACACTTCTCTGAAGTCCCTCAGCCTCACTCACCTCACAGAGTGTTTGTTGTGGGAGAGGAAGGGAAAGGAGAATGTTAGCCGCTTTGAGACTCCTTCAGGGGAGTGAAAGGCGGGATATCAAGTCCAAACTCCTCTTCCTCCTCCTCTTGGCCCTAAATTATGCAGTGGACCAACAACAGGTGAAGCTAGAGCCAATGATAAGCGGAACCCACCCGATGACGGGTTGTGAGGAAGAAGGCAGGCAGATGGGGGCAGGATGAGGGCAAACAGGACAATTCAGCTGTGCCACATTTGCCTTGAAGGAGCAGCCTTTACAGTCCTATTAGGGATTGGCAAACATGCCTGTTTGGGTCCCTATCACTCTCACAACTTTTTACCCGTAACTCTGTTCCGTTTGTGCTGTAATCTTCCCAACATTTTAATGCATATTTAAACATGCATTTTCAAAATACACAGTTCGATGCATTCTTAACTAAAGGAGCTAATAACCACCAGTATCACCTCTCTTTTCAAACCAGCCTAAGGTCCAATTTGTGGATAAGAAAGTGTTTTGTTTTGTTTTCAGATGGCACAAAAAAACCCTCAAGCCAGTTAAATAAGCATATCTTGGATACCCTTCACATTCATCAACAGCTGAGAGAATGCCTATTTTTATCAAAAGGCTAAATTAATTCATGAATATCAAATGCTAAGGGTCTTTCTGTATGAACTACGGAACTATTGATAAACCAGAATTTATTACTATTGTTGTTATTATGTATTTATTTATGCCCTGCCTTTTTTCCTAACAGGGAGTCAAGGAAGCTTACAGATAAAAATAAGAACAGCTAAAAACATAGGGAAAAACAATTAAACATTGATAGAATTTAAACTATATATACATAAAAAACATATTAACAACAACAACAAAACTAAAGGAGCTACATTCTAACATTCAAAAAAGTACAAAATCTAGTGGATAGCTAAATGCCAATCAGCACATTAGGCCAAGAGGTGCAGATGAGACAATGCCATGTAGGAATTCACAAATATCAGAATTGCCCTCTTTCCATGACAAGGAGTTTGACCAGCACCCAGGAAGTTTGTTGTGGGTGAATTCTGAAATTTCTCCACTGTCTCTCAGAACCTCACACAACTTAATCTTAATGCTCGTTCAACATGACAAAGTGGAAACTGCAAAGATGCAGAAGGAAATTGAAATTGAGAGTGTCATTTGTATGATTATTTGATAAACCGCATGGATGCCAATGAAAAGACTTCTGTTTCCATTGCTTTTTTATTTTTCAGATGTTGGCAGGACAGGAAGCACAGAAGGTCGTCATGGCTTACAAACTGAAGGGAGCTGCAGTTCCCTACCCATAGTTGAAAACAGTTTTATTTTTAATAACATCAATCCTTCACTGGCAAGCTACAAAACTGGTTCTGTAGTGGAATACAGATGTAAACCCTTCCATCTGATAGAAGGACCTAACACAATTCGCTGTGTCCAAGGAAACTGGACAACCCCCCCAGTTTGTTTAGGTAAGTACTGGAGGAGAATGTAGAAATTACTACAAGGTGCTCTCTGTGGGGCTACCTTTGAAGGTGACTCAGAAACTACAACTAATCCCGAAAGCGGCTGCCAGACCGGTGACTGGGAGAGGCTGCTGGGACCATATAACCAGTGCTTTTTTTCTAAAAAAAATGTTTACAGTAGAGGTACTCTCATTTTGACACAAGAAAACCACCATTTTATAGTTCAAATCGGTGTACAATATATGGACAAACATACAAAGATTCACAAAATGTTTAGGGGTATGCGTACCCCTACGTCCCCCCCCCCCCCGAAAAAAGCACTGCATAAAACACCAGTCTTAAAGGATCTAAATTGGCTCCCAGTACGTTTCCAAGCAGAATTCAAAGCCTTGGTGCTGACCTTATAAAGCCCTAAACAGCTTTGGCCTTGTATACCCCAAGGAGCATCATTCAGCCCAGATACTGAGATCCAGCGATTCCCTCACTGCGAAAAGTGAGGTTGCAGGGAACCCAGCAGAGGGTCTTTTCGGTAGTGGCGCCCACCTTGTGGAACGCCCTCCCTTCAGATGTCAAGGAAATAAACAACTATCTGACTTTTAGAAGACATCTGAAGGCAACCCTGTTTAGGGAAGTTTTTGACGTTTGATGTCTTACTGTGCTTTTTATTTATTGTAAGCCGTGCAGTCAGGCATGATTGTGTCAGTGTCTCTAGGGTGGAACAGTATGAGAAAAGCAGATCATATTCACTAGCAGCTCAGGATACCCCCCCCCCCCAGTATCAACATTCTGGGTGAGGTAGGCTTTTATGTGAGGGAATAATTGGATGCCAGTTATTCTGTTCTTTGTTCCAGATATAAGCCACTTGATTATTGATCTTTGCCCTGCAGAACCATGTTTGGTCAATGAAGAAAACATCAGAAATCACAACGTAGCAATGAAATGGAACCTGGAAGAAGAATTATATTTCCTACACGGAGACATTATTGAATTGGTGTGCAAGCCAGGATACGTTTTGCCACCGTCGACTGGCGATGCTCAGTTGCTGGCGCAGTGCAATCGGGGAGAATTAAAATATCCCAAATGTGTTTCAAAAGGTAACACTACATTGAATTCCACCCATTATGTTTGATCTGCAGTTTTGTGCTCTGTCAATTTGAATCCTATTTGCACAACACTCTTCCTCAGAGAAGCTCAGAATGGCACAACTGGGTTTTACTTTCCTAACGAACCCCTGTGTGGTAGATTGGTATGATACATAGTGATTTCTATAAGGTGCACCTGTAAACTTCGCTGAAAAGGGCATTTCAATCCAGATTTCACTAGTCCAAGTCTCAGTGCATTTCCCATTATACCAGGGATGGCTAATCTACAGCACTCAGTCTGCTCCACAATACATTTTTTTGTGGCTCCCCCAAATCTCCCTCAAAGTATCTGTCTATATTTATCTATATGACTGTTCCCATCTGTTCTCTGCTGTAATATTCTGATGCCTAAACATTTTCATATCCTCTAAGCCACTCCAAATTTGTCTATTTTAGTTAGTTAGGTGTTTTTTAATGAATCTAAAATTATTTTTTAAAAAAGAGAGAGAGAGATACGGATTGCTCTCATACACACCACTTCCCATTTTTTTTATTTTCTTTAAAAATATTGGTTATTTTTAAAATAAAAAATGTATTTATTTATTCTACTGACCTCTCCTCTGAGATGCCAATATGTTTTTGTGCCTCCCCAGCCCCTAAACGTTTTTTTTTTTTTAAAAAGGAAAATTGGCCACTGCAACTTTGTCATACAGAGCCCAGACGGTTGACAATTGGTCAGTGCAGCCCTTGACTACAAAGGCTTGGCAACATTCCATGATATGATTCTGCCTCGTTTCTTATTAAACCTGACCAAGAGAGGAATTTTCTTTGCTGCTTTGCCCGGGAAAATCTGCTGTTTAGCACTGAATCGGAACAAACAGCAATCGGACACACACATTCCAAGATGTCTCCAAGAGTGTTCCTTCAAAACTGGCTTGTGAAGAGAAGGCTGGCGCCACAAATTGGTCCTGCAAACTATTTTCTTAGGGTCACTTTCTCTCTTCTGTAAACACATTGCTCTCATTTTGCAGAACCAGACGAAAGCTGTGGCTCTCCACCTTCCATAAAAAATGGAGTCGTCATGGGCTTGTTGACAGCGGACTATGCTCATGGTTCATCAGTAGAGTATAGTTGCCATGAATACCATTTTTTGCAAGGTTCGAGGAAGGTGTCCTGTTCCATGGGTCATTGGACTACCCCACCAACTTGCATAGGTACTGTGCAATGTTGCTATTTCCCCCCCAGCATAGTGACAACTTGGAAAATGCCTTATTAACTTGATTCATTGCCCACTGCTTCTGTCTGGTGTTGCTCAACTAATAAACGCTGGGAAAAGCCAGCATTACTTGATGTAAGGCTTTATAGAAGGGGACGGCTCATAGCTCAGGGAGGAGAGCATGCAGAAAGTAACTTATTGATTGCTGTTGACTAAAAAGGTAAAAGGTAAAGGACCCCTGGACGGTTAAGTCCAGTCAAAGGTGGCTATGGGGTTCATAGAATCATAGAATCATGATTGATTGGTTGGCAGGAGCTGGGACAGAGCAATGGGAGCTCACTGTCGCGGGGATTCGAACTGCTGACCTTCTGATCGGCAAGCCCAAGAGGCTCAGTGGTTTAGACCACAGTGCCACCCGCATTCCTCTTGTTGACTAAAACCACAACTGACCACTCTAATGAATGTTGTAGTACATAGATCATAAAAAACAGCAAACATTTCTAATTAAACTCATGCTATGAGAATATTAACACTGCATTCATTTTTCAAGAGCCGTGCACCTTATCAGCAGAAGAGATGGCAAAGAATCACTTGGATCTAAGATGGAGTTTTGACAATCGACCGTATTTCCTCCATGGAGAATTTGTTGAATTTGTGTGCAAAGCGTACTACTTCAGCTCACCTTCAAGTTCAGCATCTGATTTTAGAGCACAGTGTCAGAATGGACAACTGTTGTATCCACAATGTGTACGGATTAGGGGGTAAGCAATTGATGCCGCAATTGTGTAACGCTGCCTTGGGAGTAAGCCCCCACCGAACTCTGTGAAACTTACTTTTGAGTATACCTACTTAGGATTGTACGATAAACGACCTGTGAAGCATGGAAGAAATTCATTCATGCATATTTCAAACTTATTATACCAGGAAATATATTTGGAAAAGTATATTTGGAAAGTGTATGTTAGCTTAGAAACCTTGTATTTGAAGTGCTAGATCTTCATTTGTAGAAAGGATTCAACTTGGGGGTTCATTCAAGACATACAATCTTTCAAGTGCCTAACTTGAGTACTATCTGTGAGGATGGAATTGCTGCTTATAAATTTTCCCTAGCCTTTTTTTCTTAAGGGTTAGTGGAGCAAAATGGCTCTCCCTGTTGCATCTTTATGCCTCAAATCAAGTTTTGTTGGTAATAGCTGTTGTTGTTTACCATGTCTCTAATTTGAGTGACTTCAGGGTAATTTGGTTTGGTTTTTTTTTTTTTAGGTAAAAGAGAGCTGAATAAATAATGTTTGGTTGGCTCGTGGACTCTTTTCCATGTTGCAAGCTAATTGCCAATATGAACTTTGTATATCTAACTTTGTTAGTTATGCAAATAACTAACAAGATCAAACAAATTGGCCTAAACCCTGAAAATATTTTTACTGGAACTCTGAACAAGGCAAAAGCTACTATCACTCGGAGACTTTATGATATCGAATTACAACAAGAAGGCGCCCTACTCCCAGAGACGTATAGATGTTTAAAAGCTTGGCCTAATTTTGTAGCTGCCCCTTACTTAACTAACATCACTAACGAAACCTATAGATGGGCTTTCTCTAGAGCCCGCTTTGAGACAATCCCCTCAGCAGTGCTGTACGGCAAATTCACGCGAGTTCCAATGCATGCGCGTCTCTGCCCTTGTATGTCTAATAAGGTAGAATCTGTCACACACATTCTTCTATCTTGTGAATTCTATAGTGAAGAACGAGCTCAACTTATTTTACCGCTTCTATCAAAATTTATACCCCTTCAATATTATTTGGAATCCTCCCCTGAAATTCTTCGAAAACACCTCCTGGAAGATTCCTCAAGCTCAGTATCATATGAGGTGGCTAAATTTTGCACTTTAGTAATTAAGAAGCGTAAATCTCTTCTGTTGAATGGCACACTGTGAAGTCCTCTTGTGTAACCTTTTTTCTTTTCTGAAGTTGTTGCTGATTTCTTGTTGTCTGATCTTGTGGTGTTTACTGTCACTGGCTTAGGCCGCAATAAACTTGATTTGAACTTTGTATATCTGCTATATATTTGCACAAGACTTATCAAGATAGCTGCTGACCTCAACTTAAGACCATCATTTGGAGACGTTCATAAGACACCTATAATTTTATCAGGACAAGTTACTTCTTGTTTATTGTTGTAACAATTGTTTTCTCAAAATTTATCTTCTGTACCATGAGAATAAATAAAAACTGTATTAAAAAAATCTAAGTGGTTTACATTTCAACAAAAATCCATTTAGATTGATGCAAAGATACAAATTCCACATTTGATGCAACCGCTGCTAATCATAATTATCATACACATTTTAAGCAATATAATTTAGCAATAAATGACCCAGAAATGCCTGTCAACGCAGCATGATGGCCTTCCTTGATGTTTTTGCCGCAGTGCAGAGCAAACATGGGATGAACTCTTTTGATTAAACATTGGGAAAGGTCAGGAGGAAAGCAAAATATTTATCTCCCTTCTTCCATGAAAAGTATGCCTGTAAAGTATTATTGAATCAGAAGCCAGCCTAACTGAATTTGCGAGATTCTTACTGGCCTTGCAAACAAACAAACAAACAAACAAACAAACAAACAAACAAACAAACAAACACCTCAGCTAAGGATATTTCCTCACCTGAACTTTCAGATGTAGTTTTGTCAATTCCCTTATCATCTGGCCTCAGAGAGCTGCTGATTTTGGCTTTCTTTTTGGAGACCAGGGGATGGATTTTGCAGTTCCTACAGCACCTTGCAATAAGGCTTCACAGCATTTTCAGCCTAGGACAGAATAGGGGAAAGTTGAAAAACTGGGCTCTTGTGTCTTCATGGTCTATCGTTGCAGTAAGCTTGGGGCAGCCCACACCTCCAGACCTAACTTTAATTTGTTGTCAGGAGCAGCAAGGAGTAGGACTCAGCAACACCATCTAGTCAAAACACCCTCCAAAACTTGGAGAGGGCCTTGTAATTATTCCCAGAAAGGAAAAGGAACAATGAATGCTCTTAGCATAGCCTTTTCAGAATAACCCAGGCATGACTGAGAAGGAATGGTCCTTTAGAGTTCTAACTCTTGATTTATAGTAATAGAACCAGAATAGAGAAATCACTAAGAAACCCTACTTGCATTTTAAAATATCTCTCCACCTCTCCTTCCATCTTCCTGTCTCATCCGTCTTATTCCCCACAAAGACTTGTGCCAGTCAGAGTTCCATGCAGGGAGTCATTCAAAGTCATATGGAGAATGTGTCATCAACATTTAAGCAACCCTGCTCAAAAATGGTCATTATTCCACTTAATACAGATTTTTTGAAATCTTCAGCAGACTAAGCCTTTTATATTTATTTATTAAAAAGCCTTCCAGACCACCCTCAGTCAAAGGATTCCAGTGAAATGTCCAGGCATTGAAAAATACAATATAGGAAAACAATGTATTATCCTTCAAATCTAAAAACATTTGAGGTGCAACAGTTGGAGGAGAAGAGTGACAATCCCTGAGCAAATAATAAATCATAACCTGGTGCTAGAAAGATTGTAGAGTGCTTGTAGCCAACAGAACAGTCACATCTTCCGTATCTGTTTCACTAAATGAATTAACAGCTAAATGAATTGATGAAGCTTCTACAAAATGTTCCACATAATAACTGGGCATATCAGATCCTGTGTGCTTATAGCAAACTGGCTGTGGCTCCTTATGGACCAGCAGGCTCAGGGAAAAGCTCAAGATTTGCAAACGTTCAAAAAATCTTTGATGGGTGTGGGGAACACCTCAATGGAAGCCCAATGAAGACTGAAAATGTTCAGTGGTGACAGAAGGCTAACTGGCTGTTGAGATAAGAAAACTTTTTTGAAATGGAATGGAGTATCCTGGAAAGAAAAGCGATTAAATAAGAAAGGGACTGTCTGGCACAATCCAGAAGCACTTCACACTATATTTGCTGCAAGTCTCACTTGTCCTGTCTAATAATGATGGTGCATGGTCAGATACTATCATGTGTTGCCCGAACTCTTGGTAAAAATGTCGATTTCTTCTTTTGCCTTCCTAGCATTATTGCTGATACTTCAACACTGGAAAAGCAGAAAAGGCTGGTAATACCCTCAAGGGAGAAGAATGTCCCGCTTTTCCTTAGGACGTCCCTATATTCATCAGAGAAATGTTGGAGGGTATGAAAGGTCCCTTCACTTCAGGAAGCAAGAAGTCTGCCATTATATTTATTTAGTACAGTCATACCTTGGTTTTCAAACAGCTTCGTTCTCAAACGTTTTGGATCCCGAACGCCGCAAACCAAGTAGTGACTGTTCCGGTTTGCGAACATTCTTTGGAAGCAGAATGTCCAATGGGGCTTCCACGGCTTCCAACTGGCTTTCTGCAGCCAATCAGAAGCCGTGCTTTGGTTTCCAAACATTTTGGAAGTTGAACAGACTTCCGGAACAGATCCTGCTTGACTTCCAAGGTATGACTGTACTAGGGGCTGCAGCCTCTGCTCATGAAGCCCACCCACCCCTTTTCTAATTGTCTTTCCCCCCAGACCCCTCAATCTGGCTCTCAGAACTCTTCCCAGGCGACACTCCTCTATGATCCTCACTTTATACCTCAAAAAATACTGCCTAGTTGGGATTTGTCCTCAAATCCTATGATGGTCTTGATCATCTGGAAGAGGGTAGAGGGGTGTTTGTGCATGCTCCCCCACACATGCAAATTAGCCTACGGTATATAGTGGTACCTCGGGTTAAATACGCTTCAGGTTACATACACTTCAGGTTACAGACTCCGCTAACCCAGAAATAGTGCTTCAGGTTAAGAACTTTGCTTCAGGATGAGAACAGAAATCGTGTCCCGACGGCACAGCGGCAGAAGTGGGAGGCCCCGTTAGCTAAAGTGGTGCTTCAGGTTAAGAACAGTTTCAGGTTAAGAACTGACCTCCAGAATGAATTAAGTACTTAACCCGAGGTACCACTGTAAATGTAAAAAAATATTTTTTTTGTTTCATCTGGTTTTGCTTTTGGGCCTGCCCACCTCCAGGTTATTTCCTCCAAATGCTACCTTTTACAATCCATTATTTTTGCAGCAGAAGCCTGATGAACTTTGCCGCGTGGCAACAAGTCAATGATTAATTCGATGGAACTAGACAAGGTGAAAGACCTTTCCAAGGACAGCCACCAGACCTATTTGCTAAAAAGTCCAAACTGGTCAGAAGTTTTGACAACTGCCTGGAATACGGACATGAACCGTCTGAGTTACGTTGTTCTGCTCCTCCTGTGGAGATGCTGTATTTTCCAGCAGTGTAAGTTATTCAAGTCAAAATAAGAATTCTTTCAGGCAGAAGAGGGATGGGATATTGGCTTTGGAGTAGGTCCCCCCCCCAAAGAGGTAATGTAGAAATTTTGTACATAATTAATAAATTAATAGCCACCCTTCCAAGAGAAATATAAAACTAAAACATGTCTGGTGGAAATGTTGGGATTTGCTACATCCCTTACCAGTTTAAAGTTTCTTTAAGATTTATGTTGCATCTCGTATCTACTGGCCAATGAATGCTTGTTTGTTGCTTAATGATGCTTAATCAACTTCTAATTTCAGTACAATAAAGGCTGTGAATGCACTGGCATATGTTTTTATTCTTCCTTCACTAGGCTTAGACATGTTCAGATTTACCCATTAATTTCTCTCACCCTTTCCCAACTAAAGACTTCTGCTCGGTTGATTACTGTGGTGTTATTTTGTTTGGTGTTTTGAACATGTTGGATGGCATCAGAACCTGGCATAGACAGAGGTTTAGTGTGAGGTTCTTGGTTTTTTACCATTCTGTTCAAATCCAAAGTGACGGTGCAGTGGCAAGCACTGTGGAAGAGCCAGGATGACAGCAAACTCTTTGAGCTAAGGGGCATAGGTCAGAAATTGTGCCGACTCAGAAGAAATCGCCTTGTGTAGACATGTATCAGTATCAGCTGAAGGAGCAGGTTCCATCAGTGTTTCTGCTTTGCAGCATTCCTCTATCCATTAAGTAAGGGGGTGAGGGGGAGAGAGTTCATTTTAGCTATGATAAACCACATCCATTTTTTAAATCTTCCACTTGAAATCAGTTCTACCCCCCAGAGAGACATGCATATTTTTATTTTTTAAAAAAGAGTAACTAAAAACAATAGAATACAAACAGTATAACAGAAACTGCTTATAAAATTAGTGGCAAAAATATATATTTTAAAAATGTTATGTACTGAAGTTCTCACCCTGGGCCAGCAGGGGGATACTGTAGATAGTTATGCAAATAAGGGATTGAAAGTGACATTCAGTGATTGGATAGTTTTAGAAAATTGTTACAGTTACGTTGTACTGGAGCTCTATATAAGCAGGCTGACTGAACCCTTCAGTTCAGTTCTGTTCTGGCCTGTGAATAAACAAGAGCTGTTTGAAGAATTGCTGTGTCGTCTGATGTGTTCACCCACAACTTAACAAAAAACATCAGTGAGCCACTCTCAGATAATACTTTGATGAGTAAATGAGATGGACAGCTAACCTCCTTTCAGAAATGAACCTCAGCATCTGAGTGCTGCTACATAGAAGACCTGTGTAGAATAAGGTTACCAGATGTCCCTGTTTCCTGGGGACAGTCCCCAGATTTACAAATCAGCCCCCTGACAAAACCCATCTATTTAGTAGGAAGTTGAAAAGTGTCCCTGGATTCATTGGGGGAAAAAATCTGGTAACTTCAGTGTAGAAGTCCCAGTTCTTCTTGTCTCACTTGGTGGAGAGACATCCAGTGAGGTCTACCTTGTTGCTCCCGCCATAATCCTGAAATACATTTGAAGAAGGTCTTGTAGCCAAGTGGCCAAAAGACCTTCCTATGGCAAAGCTAGTTTTCTGAAACCCCAGCATAGTGGGCTTATTGGATTTTGGAGTATGCAGAAGATCCCAGATCCACTGTGCATGCTTGCAGAGGATCACAGCATTCATTTGGGCAGTTGTTATCCAAGCCTGAATTTTGGTCTGGTGTTCATTTCTCCCTCTGCCATACATTGTTTTGAGAGGAAACAAATACTACTACTACTACTACTACTACTTTATTATTTAAACCCTGCCCATCTGGCTGGGTTTTCCCAGCCACTCTGGGTGGCTCACAACAGAATATTAAAAATACGATAAAACATCAAACATTTAAAAATACCCTAAACAGGACTGCCTTCAGATGCCTTCTAAAAGTCAGATAGTTGTTCATTTCCTTGGCATCTGATGGGAGAGCGTTCCACAGGGCGGGCGCCACTACCAAGAAGGCCCTCTCTCTGGTTCCCTGTAACCTCACTTCTTGCAATGAGGGAACCACCAGAAGGCCCTCGGCGCTGGATCTCAGTGTCCGGGCTGAACGATGGGGGTGGAGACGCTCCTTCAGGTATACAGGATCGAGGCCGTTTAGGGCTTGAAAGGTCAGCACCAACACTTTGAATTGTGCTTGGAAATGTACTGGGAGCCAATGTAGGTCTTTCAAGACCAGTGTTATATGGTCTTGGCAGCCACTCCCAGTCACCAGTCTAGTTGCTGCATTCTGAATTAGTTGTAGTTTCCGGATCACCTTCAAAGGCAGCCCCACGTAGAGCGCATTGCAGTAGTCCAAGCAGGAGATAACTAGAGCATGCACCACTCTGGCGAGACAGTCTGGAAACAAAGAGCTCTTCCATCCCTACTGCTGAGGATGGAGTTGCCTGAGTGTCCTTTTTTGTTTGTTTTTTGAATGATTACAAATTTTGTGAACTCAGCCATCTGATTTGCAACATATCCGAGGCAGATTTTAGGGGGCGAGGGGCGAGACCAGTTCGGTCACATTGGGCACAGAGCCTCAGAGGATGCCATAACTATTATTTAGAATGGGGGCCCCCCTGAATTTTAGCATCACACAAGGCACAGCTGAAATTTGAGACCCCAAGTTCTGCTGCTGAACTTACTGAGCAGCTATGCTTCTTGTGGAAGATATTCATTGACATTCTGTACTCATAATTTTTTAAAAAAATAATAAATAAATGATGGGCTGGTTGTCCTCCATTTAAAACTTTAGTAATTGATAAGACCAGGTTGCTGAATGAAATGCTTGAACCAAATGGACAAGAGACTTCTGCACTATGAGCCAAGTTGTTGTTGGATCACTGTTTGTTCCCTTGTATATATAAAAGTAGCTATAGGGGACGCGGGTGGCGCTGTGGGTAAAACCTCAGCACCTAGGACTTGCCGATCGCATGGTCGGCGGTTCGAATCCCCGTGGCGGGGTGAGCTCCAGTTGTTCGGTCCCAGCTCCTGCCCACCTAGCAGTTCGAAAGCACCCTTAAGTGCAAGTAGATAAATAGGTACTGCTTTATAGCGGGAAGGTAAACGGCGTTTCCGTGTGCTGCGCTGGTGCCGGTCGCCGGAGCAGCTTTGTCACGCTGGCCACGTGACCCGGAAGTGTCTGCGGACAGCTCTGGCTCCCAGCCTCTAGAGTGAGATGAGCGCACAACCCTAGAGTCTGTCAAGACTGGCCCATACGGGCAGGGGTACCTTTACCTTTTATAAGTGGCTTTGGGGTATAATATCCCTACTTCCCTTTTCCTTTCCACCAGAAATACAGTCATACCTTGGGTTGAATACGCTTTGCGTTGAGCGCGTTCGAGTTGCACTCCGCGACAACCCAGAAGTAACGGAGCGTGTTACTTCCGGGTTTCGCCGCTTGCACAGACGCTCAAAATGACGTCATGTGCATGCGCAGAAGCGGCAAAAAGCGATGTGCGTGTGCGCAGACGTGCCGTCGCTAGTTACGTTTACCTCTAGATGCGAACGGGGCTCCGGAACGGATCCTGTTCGTATCTAGAGGTACCACTGTAGCAGATTTAGCTCTTGATGAAAAGCACATCTTTCTCAACACGACAGAATGTGAGTTGGATATTATATTGTTTTTCGGATGAATGAGTAGATGAGAGGGATAAATGTTTCAACCTCCTGATAAATGACAGAGCGTACCAATTCAGAACTGAATACTTTACTACTGGCATTACTGCAGAATTAATCTGAGTTCCTCCATCAACAAAAGGTGGTCAAGTCCACAGCTTGCTACCTTCTTTTTCACATTCCATTTCTTTCTCTTTCAGTTGCAGTATTTCCGGGACAAGTTCCTTACGAACACCTGGTGGACCCCTTGACTGATTCTGGTAAGCTGGAGAACGGCACCAATGCAAACGTCTGTTAGGGCCCTAATCTTTTCAGTGTAGAATCTGCATTGTTGGTTGTCACCAGGGTTAAGGAAGTGAAGTGATATGTACCCAGAAAATGTCTCCTATGGCCCCAAGCTCAAGACATCACAAGCAGTGCTTTCACCAATTTTTTCATTTACTGTACAGTGGTACCTCGGGTTAAGTACGTAATTCGTTCTGGAGGTCTGTTCTTAACCTGAAACTGTTCTTAACCTGAAGCACCACTTTAGCTAATGGGGTCTCCTGCTGCCACTGCGCCGTGCTGCACGATTTCTGTTCTCATCCTGAAGTAAGGTTCTTAACCCGAAGTAATATTTCTGGGTTAGCAGAGTCTGCAACCTGAAGCGTATGTAACCTGAAGCGTATGTAACCCGAGGTACCACTGTATTTGGAGCTGCCACACTGACGTGCTGTCAGGCGTCAGGGAATTCGATCCCTCACGGTAGACTTCCAGGAATAGATAGACAAGGAAAGCTCTTACCAATGTCTTTTATTCAATCATAGCTGTCAACTTTCAGAGTTGAAAATAAGGGGTCAGCAGCCTCACCTGTCCCGGGGACAGTCTACGGGATATCTAACAATCTGGGATAGCAGCGGGAAGCAGAGGAGAACGGCGCTGGAATAAGGGAAGGTTGACAGCTATGTATTCAATATTCACAGAGAGAGGCAGCCTCTTGGAGTAATGGCATAGCTGTCAACTTTTCCCTTTTCTTGCGAGGAATCCTATTCAGAATAAGGGAATTTCCCTTAAAAAAAGAGAAACGTTGACAGCTATGAGTAATGGGGCTGCTCCGAGTGAAACCCCATCCCCTCCATCCCTCCCATTATACATCATCTCTATGGTGGCTGATCTGTGCCTTCTGCCTCTGAACTCTCTGCTCTCCTACTTTCAATGCCTGCCAGGTTCTGGGAGGGGGGGTCTGGCATTCTTTCTAATGACACTGAGTCTGTCAGCTGTCTCTCCCCTGGTGCTGCTTCTTCCTGCTCCTCTCCCATTATTTCCTAGCTTTCCCCCTCTTCAGCCTCTGAGATGTGACCTCCCGCAAACCACTGCTGTAAATCTAGACAATCTTCCTCTTCTCTGGAAGGTTCTGGAGGAGGGGAAAGAGGTCTTCACCATTCCTCCTCCGATGTCCAGTCCCTGACATGTGCACATCAAATGTTAATATATTTGCTTACTTAGAAAAGAGCAGGGCTAAATAAATATGAAGAGCCAGAGTCAAACACCAGTGATAATGTATGCTCCTCTTTGCAAAAGCAAATCATAATCAAGTATCCTAATTGTGATTTCAGTTCTCTGAATGATGGTCCAAAACATAGCATCATTCACAACCAGCCAGTGTGGGTGTGATGGCCTGGGATTCCGATTCGGAGGATGAAACAGAGGAATCCCAGCCTGCACAGGAGTCCCCGCCTCCAGGGCCGGCTGAACTGGGGCAAGGCCTAGATGCTGAAGAGCCTGCACCTGTGGCAGTGCATCAGGAGCTGGCCCCAGGTGAAGCCCTTCTGGCCCCAGAGGGGCTTGATGACTCAGTGGCCACAGGTGAGCCTCCTCCAGGGCCCAGTAACCCTTCGGCCTCTCCTGATCTGCAGAGGCTTAGGGCAGAGAGGCGAAGGGAACTGGTTGCCCCCAGGAGGAGTGCTCGCCTTAAGGCCAGAGGAGGCGGGGCTCCTGGGGACCGGGACCGCCCCTGGCCTTAGAAGAGGATAAAAGCCCAGTCAGCCCGGCCCCAGGTTGCGGGAGCAACGTCGTTGTTGGCTTCGGACCTTCCTGTGCTCCTGTTCCCTGCTCGGCTTCCTGTTCCTGACTATCCGGTACTCCTGTTCCCTGCTCGGCTTCCTGTTCCTGACTATCCGGTACTCCTGTTCCCTGCTCGGCCTCCTGTTCCCGACCATCCGGTGTTCCTGTTCCCTGCACAGCCTCCTGTTCCAGCATTCCTGTTCCCCGCCCGGCTCTCTGCCTCGGACCTTGCCCCCTTCGTGTGGACTCTGCTACACCCAAGGTACCTTACCCCCGGGACCAGCACAGTTTGCTCCCGCCACACCCGCACTTCCCCTTCGTAGGGGTGCGTTCGGGAAGAGCCAGAGGCCATGGCTGAACAGGCGGCTGCACTGGTGGCTTTGGCCCAGGAGAACCAGGCCTTGAATCACACCGTGCAGCAGCTCAGCGACGCGGTTGTGGCACTTCAGCAACGCTTGGAAGCCCTACCGGCTCCTGGGGCCGACGCCCGGCTCCGGGCAAGTACCCAGTGGCTTTGCCTGAGAAATTTGATGGAGCCCCGGCCAGCTTTCCCATGTTCCTGGCCCAGGCCAAGCTGTATATTCAGGGGCGAGCCCGGAACTTTCCTGACGACCGCACCAAGGTGCACTTTTTGATTAGTTTGTTAAAGGACCAGGCGGCCAAGTGGGCGTTGCCGCTACTCAGGCAAGACTCCCCTTGCTGGCAGACTATACGGGGTTTTGCAATCGCTTGGAGGCCGCGCTCGGCAACCCCCAGAAAGAGAGTCAAGCCAACCGGGCGATTCGGGCGTTTGAAACAGGGCAAGTCCACGGTGGCCACATATACCACGGAGTTTCGGCTGTTGGCACAGGACTTGACCTGGAATGACTCGGCACTGCGGGACCAGTATCTCGAAGGGCTTTCGGACGAGGTACTGGACCAGTTGGCCACAATGGAACGCCCCACCACGCTGGACACTCTCATTCAACGGAGTCTACAAATAGACGACCGGTTGGAGGATCGTCGTCAGGCCCGGGTCGCCGACACTTCCAGTTCACGGCACCAGCTTTTTCCGGCAGCCCCACGGTCACAACTGATTTAACGGAGGAGCCTATGCAGCTCGGGGCAGTGCGGCCACGCCTTTCCCCGCAGAGAAGGCGCGGCGCCGGGAGGGAAATCTCTGTCTTTACTGTGGCGGAAGTGGACACTTCGCCGGTCCTGCCCTGAGAAACGCCAGCCGCAGGGAAACCGCCAACCCCAGTAGCTGATGGCCCTAGCTACCGGGGGTCCCAAACCGTACAGAATGGGCCCGCACCAATGGACTTGCAACATCTTATGGTTTCAGTACGTTTATACCCTCCAGGTGGGCCCTGGATCCTCACCCATGCTTTGGTAGATTCAGGGGCAACCCGCTCCTATATGGACGCTGCTTTTGCCGCCCATCATCAGGTGCCACTTGAACAAGCCAGTACCGGTCCAGGTGGAAGCGATTGACGGACGACTTCTGCGTTCAGGTGCCGTTACTCAGGAGACCCAGCCCTTGGTCCTGTGTCTCCAGCAGCACCGGGAGTTGCGGACTTTGGACATTGCCTCTATGCCCCGCTTCCCCTGGTGCTCGGGATGGACTGGCTGGAAGCCCACAACGCTCAGATTGACTGGGTCAAACGGACCGTGCACTTCCCAGACCCATGTTCCCATGCTCAACTGGGAACGCTGGCGGCCGCGCCTCAGAGGAGGCAGCACCCACGCTCCCAGCCGTGTACCAGGACTACCAGGACGTGTTCGAGGAACGGGGGGCAGACCAGCTGCCGCCACATCGGCCTTTTGACTGCGGCATAGACCTCCAACCCGGAGCGCCTTTACCAGTGAGTCGCTTATATTCCCTAACAGAGCCAGAGCGCGAGGCTTTGCAGGACTTCTTGCGCAAGAACCTGGAGCGTGGGTTCATTAGGCCTTCCACCTCGCCTACCGCGGCACCAGTGCTTTCGTTAAGAAGAAATGTGGGGAACTCCGCCCTTGCCATGATTACCGAGCCCTGAACAAAATTACCGTCCCAGACCGGTACCCCTTGCCCCTTATCTCGGAACTGCTGGAGCGGGTGCAAGGGGCACAGGTGTTCACCAAGCTGGACCTCCGGGGGGCCTACAACTTGATTCGGATCCGAGCCGGGATGAGTGGAAGACAGCGTTTGGGACCCGGTACGGGCAGTTCGAATATTTGGTTATGCCTTTCGGTTTGTGCAACGCGCCTGCTGTGTTTCAACGCTACATCAACCACGTGTTTCAGGACTTGTTAGACAAGTACGTGGTGGTGTATTTGGATGACATACTGATTTACTCCCGTGACCCGGCTTGCCATGAGGGACATGTCCGGACCGTGCTGCAGCGCTTGCGTGAGCACCGATTGTACGCAAAGCTCAGCAAGTGCGAGTTCCATCAGCGGACTGTGGACTTCCTTGGTCACCGGCTCTCTCCAGATGGGGTGCAAATGGACCCGGGAAGGTGACAGCGGTTCAAGAATGGGCGGCACCCCGGAACCGCAAGGACCTGCAGCGCTTCCTGGGGTTCGCCAATTACTACCGGACCTTCATCGCTGATTATGCTCATCGCACCACCCCGTTGACCCGGCTACTGCGCCCAAAGACGCCGTTTTCCTGGGACAAGGAGGCAGAGGAGGCGTTTCAGGGGTTGAAGGCCTGTTTCCAGAGGGCACCAATCTTACAACATCCTGACCCCTCTCGACCCTTTGTGGTGGAGACCGACGCTTCCAGTACGGCTCTCGGTGCCGTCTTGTCTCAACAGATTGGTCCTGAAGCGCCACTCTTACCCTGTGCCTTCTATTCTCGCCAGCTCCTACCAGCGGAGCGTAACTATACTGTGTGGGAGCGGGAACTACTGGCCATCAAGGTAGCCTTTGAGGTCTGGCGCCACCATCTTGAGGGGGCACGACATCCGGTGGAGGTGAGAACCGACCACCGGAACCTGGAGTACCTCCAGACCACCCGCAAGCTGAACCAAAGACAGATCCGGTGGGCGTTGTTCTTTGCCCGGTTCCAGTTCCGGATCCGCTACATCCCTAGCTCTCAGAATCAGAAGGCGGATGCCCTGTCCCGGAAACCCGAAGACAACGCAGACACGGTACAGCAAGCAGAACCCACCACGATCCTACCTCCGGCTGCATTCCTGGCCACCCAGGAGGCGCAGCCACTGCAGGTTCGGGTGCGGGAACAGCAGCGGGTCGACGCTGGGCCCAGGAACGACTCCGGGAGCTGGCTGAAGGGTCCAGCCCACAGTATCCGGGGCTGGTCCTGCATCAGGGCCTTCTGCTGCACCACGGTCGTCTGTACATCCCGCCAGGGCCACTACGGCTGGAGGTTCTCCGGATGGCCCATGATGCCCCAGCAGCGGGGCACTTTGGACGGTATCGGACCACCCATCTGGTCAGTCGAGAGTTTTGGTGGCCCCGCCTGAAGGCTGACGTGGCTCGCTACGTTGCTGGGGGTGATGTCTGCCGGCGCGCCAAGGGACCTACCGGGCGACCCCCCCGGCCTACTTCAGCCATTGCCAGTTCCACCGCGCCCGTGGCTCACTGTTTCGTGTGTATTTGTAGTGGTATTTACCTCGTCTCGTGGCTGTACCTGCCTTCTGGTTTTCTCCGACCATTTCACCAAGATGGTGCACTGCGCTCCCTGTCCATCTGTACCCACAGCCAAGGAAACTGCTCAGCTGTACCTTCAGCATGTCTTCCGCCTGCATGGACTACCTGAGCGCGTGGTGTCCGACCGGGGCGTTCAGTTCACATCCCGGTTCTGGCGAGCATTACACCAGACCCTCGGGACAGAGGTCTGCCTCTCGTCAGCCTACCACCCACAGACCGATGGCCAGACGGAACGGGCGAACGCGGTGCTGGAGCAGTACCTCCGGTGTTACTGCAGCTACCAGCAGGATGACTGGGTCGACCACCTGGCATTGGCGGAGTTCGCCTATAACAACGCGGTGAATGCGTCCACCCAGCAGACCCCGGTCCAGGCCAGTTATGGTTATCATCCACGGCTGTTTCCAGAGGTGCTGCCGGCATCCGCGGTCCCGGCGGTGACGGAGTGGCTTCAAGAGCTCCAGTCCCAGCAACAGCTTTTGGTGGAGCAACTGCACCAGGCCAAGGAAGCGTACAAAGCCCAGGCCGACCGCCACCGCCAGGTGGGGCCGGAACTCGCGCCGGTGACCTGGTTTGGCTCTCCACTCGCCACCTCCACCCCTCTCGACCTTCGCGGAAGCTGGACGCCCGCTCACCGGCCCGCTCCCTATCGTAGACCAAATCTCTCCTGTGGCATTCCGTCTCCGGTTACCCGCAACCCTGAAGGTTCACCCGGTCTTCCACAGGTCCCTTTTGAGTCCGGTGGCCCCACCCGACGAGTTCCACTCGGACCGTCCCCGACCGCAGCCAGTGTTGGTTCGGGGAGAGCCTGAGTACGAGGTGGAACGCATCCTGGACTCCCGATACCGCAGGGGAAAGCTGCAGTATCTCATTGACTGGAAGGGGTACGGACCGGAGGACCGTTCCTGGGAACCAGCGGCCAATGTCCACGCACCTGCCTGCCTCCGAGAGTTCCATGCGACGTACTCCCGGCAAGCCGGGTCCGGACCCTCGGTTGAGGGGGGCCTGGGAGGGGGATGGTGTGATGGCCTGGGATTCCGATTCGGAGGATGAAACAGAGGAATCCCAGCCTGCACAGGAGTCCCCGCCTCCAGGGCCGGCTGAACTGGGGCAAGGCCTAGATGCTGAAGAGCCTGCACCTGTGGCAGTGCATCAGGAGCTGGCCCCAGGTGAAGCCCTTCTGGCCCCAGAGGGGCTTGATGACTCAGTGGCCACAGGTGAGCCTCCTCCAGGGCCCAGTAACCCTTCGGCCTCTCCTGATCTGCAGAGGCTTAGGGCAGAGAGGCGAAGGGAACTGGTTGCCCCCAGGAGGAGTGCTCGCCTTAAGGCCAGAGGAGGCGGGGCTCCTGGGGACCGGGACCGCCCCTGGCCTTAGAAGAGGATAAAGCCCAGTCAGCCCGGCCCCAGGCTGCGGGAGCAACGACGTTGCTGGCTTCGGACCTTCCTGTGCTCCTGTTCCCTGCTCGGCTTCCTGTTCCTGACTATCCGGTACTCCTGTTCCCTGCTCGGCTTCCTGTTCCTGACTATCCGGTACTCCTGTTCCCTGCTCGGCCTCCTGTTCCCGACCATCCGGTGTTCCTGTTCCCTGCACAGCCTCCTGTTCCAGCATTCCTGTTCCCCGCCCGGCTCTCTGCCTCGGACCTTGCCCCTCTTCGTGTGGACTCTGCTACACCCAAGGTACCTTACCCCCGGGACCAGCACAGTGGTGTAGTGGTTAAGAGCAGTAGACTCGTAATCTGGTGAACCGGGTTCGCTTCCCTGCTCCTCCACATGCAGCTGCTGGGTGACCTTGGGCTAGTCACACTTCTTTGAAGTCTCTCAGCCCCACTCACCTCACAGAGTGTTTGCTGTGGGGGAGGAAGGGAAAGGAGATTGTTAGCCGCTTTGAGACGCCTTCGGGTAGTGATAAAGCGGGATATCAAATCCAAACTCTTCTTCTTCTTCTTCTTCTTCACACACAGGAAGGACATAGCAGGCTGGGGGGAAGGCCTTAGTTTGCAGTAGTGTATATTTTTTAAAACACTTCAGGAAATAAAATCCAAAAATAGCTTTAACAAGTACTGGGCATGTTCAGCGACCATGGAATGCATGCTGTGTGTTGGGAAATGGGAAATGGAAAACCAGATTGGAGGGGGCATGGACTGGAGTATCCTGAGTAGGAGCATCAGGATAAAGGTCCCACTTATAGTAATACTACAACCTTAATTTGTCTAAATGGATGCTTAGGGCAAAAAAGTGGGGCAGGACAATTCTTCCAGACAGTACAGAATATCTCTTTGGAACTGTTCTAGAAAAACATGTGTTGGAAGAAACACGCCTCCAATGAAAAAGTTTATTGGTGGTAAAAATGGCAATGGTAATGTGCCTTTTACAGGTCATGTATCTTCACAGGCACTGAATATTCTTTTTCTTTTTTTAATAGAAGAAAGTGTATTGTTTTCCCCAAAATAGCTTTAGGATGTGACTATTAATAATGTGAACATTAATTTGTCACCAATAATTTAAATGTTTGGTGGTGGTAGGTACTTCTTTTTAAAAAAATGTTTTTATTTTATTTTGACAAAGTAATAACCATAAATAAATAAGAATAAAAAATGTGCACCCCACCACCGAGACCATTCCAGGGTAACTATCCAACCTCCTAAAATTTCAACACCTCTTGAGGTGGTTTGACCCCTTTCCGTTTTAACAGTACCAATTCTACAAACACCCTCCATATCTCCTCAGAATCATTTCTCCTGCATGGCACCGGATATTCGGTCTTTATCAGATAATTTCTAGGCACAATCTATTGTTATTGTTGCACACCACCCCAATCTCCAGGGGTCTCCTCAGAATAAGGGACAGCAGAGACTGTGGTGTCTTTATGATATATGGTTTATTTACACAGACATACAACCTGAGTCTACGATGGAAGGGTTCACAGTAGTAACACCTCAAGAGGGTCTTGCTTCTCCCATAGCCTTGGATTCCAATTGAAATCAGGCATGGTTCTGTCTCCCAACTGCCAAGCCTGCAGCCTGCCGGCCTCTAGCTTCTAGCTCATATAACTCAATCCTGCACTCTGGCATTTATCTTTCTAACTCCTTTCTTTGTTACCTTAATACCATAGTTAGAAGGCCATTACATCACCAAGAATCTAGCCTGGCTGTTCCAGGAATTGAATCCATGCTGGATGCAGGCATTAGAAGGGGGCTCAGGCATACAGCCTACCTCCACCCAAACTATTCTTGTTATGTACTGAAGTTCTCACCCTGGGCCAGCAGGGGGATACTGTAGATAGTTTTCATTCAGGTCCACATATGCAAATAAGGGATTGAAAGTGATGTTCAGTGATTGGATAGTTACGGAAAGTGGTTACTGTTGCATTGTAGTGGAGCTATATATAAGCAGGCTGGCTGAACCCTTCAGTTCAGTTCTCTTCTGGCCTGTGAATAAACAAGAGCTGTTTGAAGAATCACTGCGTCGTCTGATATGTTCACCCACAACTTAGCAATTCTTATCATCTTTCATAGCACCAATGAGTGTGAGAGAAAGGGAGTCAAAATTTATCAGGCAAATTGTAAAGAAAGTACAGATCACAGTGCCAATCTGAATCGTCCACATAGCTCCAATTATTTTTTTCATTAAAAAGAAGCAGCAGGAGACCTATTCACAGATCTCCTCTAATGCCTTCGATGCTAAGACTGAACCTGGGATCTTTCAACGCATCTGCCCTACCACTGACCAATGGCCTTTCTCTAGAGACATGTGCCAACAAAAAAAGAGTACTGTGGCACCTTGTGGGTTCATAACAAGATAGATGTTTGTGGGGAGATGCATGATGGCAGGTAAGATGCTAACTGATCGTATATCTACTCTAAAACCCAATCAAAGAGTTTATAGGAAGATGCCTTACATCATTTTGTTTCATTTTAAATTAAGATGAATTCCCCATTCTGTTTGCTTTGCCTTTCTAGGTGTACAGTGTATTAGTATCTGCAGTCTGGCATTTATCATAGTGTCATCTGCTATAACAACTTCTTCAATATTTTCATTGTAGAGTCCCCAATAAATTGTGGTCCTCCACCTAATGTTGATAATGCAATGACCCTGGCCTCCTCAAGACGAGAATTTGTACGTGGTTCAGCTGTTTTTTATCAGTGCTACAGAATGTACGAAATGGAAGGCACTCCACGTGCAAGATGTTTACATGGTCAATGGGTTGGCGTGCCAAGATGCCTTCGTAAGTATAAAATCGATCATCGTTCATTCTTGTTCTATTAACAAGCCTAGAGTCATTATAATGGACGTGAAGTCTGGCAGTGTGGCAGACTTCCCAATGTCAGAGGCAGAGGGAAAGAGTGGACCCCTCTTCTGCAATGTGTAAAAAGGTAAAAGGTACAGGGACCCCTGACTGTTAAGTCCAGTCATGGCTGACTCTGGGGTTGCCGCGCTCATCTCGCTTTATTGGCCAAGGGAGCCGGCGTACAGCTTCCAGGTCATGTGGCCAGCATGACTAAGCTGCTTCTGGCAAACCAGAGCAGCGCGCGGAAACGCCGTTTACCTTCCTGCCAGAGTGGTACCTATTTATCTACTTGCACTCTGACGTGCTTTCAAACTGCTAGGTTGGCAGGAGCAGGGACCGAGCAACGGGAGCTCATCCCGTCACAGGGATTTGAACCGCCGACCTTCTGATCGGCAAGTCCTAGGCTCTGTGGTTTAACCCACAGCGCTACCCGCGTCCCTTCTGCAATGTGTGGATGTAGCCTAAAAGCTACAGTAACTGGCAGAAAGTACATTTTAACTTGATGCTATTGACCAGCTTGTTCAAGTGAGTTCTGCATTGCACTCAAAGCTATTCCTACCAAGCCCAGGCCAGTTTAAAAAGAATTCATCTATATACATGATTATTTTTCTTTGTGTGCTTTTCTTCAGAAACTTGTCGAGCAGATGATGCTGACATGGAACGTAACAATATCAAACTGAGGTCAATAACTAAATCCACATCCATGAGAGCGTCTGACTACTGGATGCTGTTTGAGTGCAAATCAGGATTTCAAAAGGATCCATCATCACCACCTTTTATGAAACAATGTGTAACTGGGCCATGGGTATATCCAAGATGTATCTAAATCAGTAAGTCTTTCCATGGCAGCAGAGAAATCATACTACACGTATTTTAATATCAGTACTATCACCACAGCAACTAGCAGCAATATTACTAACCGTTTCTTTTTTCTTTTTAATTAATTTGTATTAGCTTTCCAATTTTTAACAAATCAATCCAAATTATTTAAATGTAATACATTTTTTTAAAAAAATAATTACGGTAGGTTTCCGGCTCGTGTTACAAACATATGTCCATTTGCTTCCTGATGATGGCACTTCATTCTTCTTCTTTAATCACCTTCTCATCTTTTTAATTGTTTTAATCTATTTTCATAGCTGGCCTTCTTGTTTCCTTACAATCAGCAGCTTTGTTGCTTCCCAAACACATAAGAGTCCATTTCACGTGTGTAATCCTTCCAGCACTCTGTTCCCAGACCTGGTGTGTAAGAGACAGTTTATTGCCATCGTCCTTTGTCCATTCACATTCCACTCCTTTGAAAACATTCCTTCCGTTGTTCAAGGATTTGCTGGGCTATAAATAACTCCCCAACAAGATACCTGCTCCGCCATTAAAAATCTGGGGATTATTTTCCTCAGCCCGCAGTTAAAAAGCAAAGTCACATAAATAAACTCCTGCCAGTTATAATTAGCAGTCCTTCATCTCACCAAATTATTCTCTCTTCCACTCATGGTCCAGCCCAAATATAATTTGAATTTAGTCTGTTCAGCCTTGGTCAAAAGGGGAGTGTATAGAAAAACATTGTAAAATCCTTAGTTGATCATAAATCAGTAACTCCCCTTTCTTCCTCAGTGTCAAACAAAATGATTGCGCATGATTCATTCATTTTGCAGGGGAAGTCAAGAAAGAAAAAGACCATTTGGGAACCCTATATGGTTTCCATTATAACCGTTTCATTGCCACTGCTATTACTAATAGTATTTCTAGTGCTTGATTAGATGGCCATCTGCGATCCCAAGCTATCCTGCATTTATTTACATTTCTTTTGTTTGCTACTTATGCTGAGTGTTTTAAATTATTGTGGCGATTCCTGAATGCACATGATGAGGGGTAGCACAGAAATAATATAAATAAATAAAATAAAAAATATTGACCGGGCCAGATGCTGGCTATATGGAAAGTCTCGGGCAGGGGTCACCAACCTGTTTGGACCGGTGGACACATTTTGAACATTGAGGGAGTGCTGTGGGCGCTAGTCACAAAATGGCTGCTATGGGGGGGGGGGCATGACGTAACACAAAATAAGAGAGAGTAGTCTGGGCAAGACTAGAAAAAGTTTAACCCGCTTGTTATACAGCTGTTGATAGAACAAAATTCCCATTTCCCTAATACCGATTCTAAATGAAAGCCAGGCTGCCACCCCATATGCGCTTACCCTGCCTTAAAACCCATAAAACAGGAAGAATACAGTGGTACCTCGGGTAAGTACTTAATTCGTTCTGGAGGTCCGTTCTTAACCTGAAACTGTTCTTAACCTGAAGCACCACTTTAGCTAATGGGGCCTGCTGCTGCTGCTGCGACGCCAGAGCACGGTTTCTGTTCTCATCCTGAAGCAAAGTTCTTAACCCGAGGAATTATTTCTGGGTTAGCGGAGTCTGTAACCTGAAGTGTATGTGTGATGGGATGATGAGCTGCTTGTGCGTAAAATCGTATTCCCTCAGAGTTTGTTCAAGTCCACAAACCTCTGTCTGTGACGGAGCCCCTCAGACATGGCTACTCTAGTCACTAGCAGATTCCGACAGTGGTTGCTTTCGTAATCGCTTCCAACATAAAAGCTCCTTAACGGAAACACGTCTTCTGGAATCTCTGCGTGACAGTTTCCGGCGAGGAGTGGGTGTTCTTACAGGAGGTCCTGAAACCTCCCCACTGTTTTCGCTGGAAGTGTCTCTGAGCCATCCCTCCAGCTCAGCTCCTCTCCCCCTGCTGGTTCCCTCTTCAGCTGCTGCGTCTCTCCCAACCTGTGTGAGCCCTTTCACCTCCCTGTTGGTTCCCTCTTCAGCTGCTGCGTCTCTCCCAACCTGTGTGAGCCCTTTCACCTCCCTTCCGTCCGATGGCAGTTCCCTGACATCCACCTCCCTCCAGGGCCCCCTTCACCCCCTCTCGCCCCTCCTCTACGGGCGGTGAGGAGGCAAACCCCGGAATGAACTTCCTTCATCTTCCGATGTCTCGAACACTTCTCTCAACCTGTTGCGGTTCCTGGTCTCAAGTACACCTCCTCCTCAGAGTCCATCTCCCTTCCACTTCCGAGTCCGGGAATCCTTCCAACTCCTCCCCTTCATCAGTGGTCCCAAAGTATTCCCTCCGGAACCTCTCCACAGGCTGAGGTTTCCTTGGGAACCTTTGATGGAACGTTTCTATCAATACCTCGTCATTGATATCTTCAGCCATTACCCAAGTGTTTTCTGACTCCGGTTCTCCTTCCCACGCTACCAAATACTCCACCTGATCCCCCTTCCACCTGGCGTCGAGGATTTCTGCCACATGGCTGCTGCATTCTCTTTCTTCTACGACCGGTCCCCGAGTGGCCAGCCCTTCTCGTCCCCTTCGTACGGTGACAGTAACGACCTGTGAAATACTGGGTGCAGTTTCATGTGGTTGGGTAACCGGAGCCTGAAAGCCACTGGGTTGACCTGTTGAATGACCTCAAAGGGACCCAACCTCCTGGGTCTTAATTTCTTACAACCTCCTTTGAACGGCAACCCTTGGGTTGACAGCCACACCCTATCTCCCACCCTTATGGTTTCACCTTCCCTTCGGTTCTTGTCTGCCTGCCTCTTGTATTCTTCCTTCGCCCTTTCTAAGTTGAGTTGGAGCTGACGATGGATTGCTTCCATTTCTTCCACAAAATGCTCGGCTGCCGGGACGCTCCATCTCTCCCCCTCTCCCCCCGGGAAAGCCCTGGGATGACACCCATAATTAGCCAAGAAGGGGCTCATCCCTGTGGACACATTCTCGGCATTGTTGTAGGCAAATTCCGCCAGCGCCAACTTTTCTACCCAGTCATTCTCTCTGTCATTGACATAACACCTCAGGTATTGCTGGAGGACACCGTTTGCTCTTTCCGCCTGCCCGTTGGTTTCAGGGTGCCGGGCAGTCGAAAATTGACCTCCACCTGCAGTAAGCTCATGAGCTTCCTCCAGAACCTGGAAGTAAATTGTTTTCCTCGGTCTGAGACCACCCTCAATGGCACCCCGTGCAACCTAAAAATGTTTTCTACAAATAACTTCGCTGTCTCTTCCGCCGTGACTGCATGCGAGCAAGCTACAAAGTGGCACATCTTTGTTAGTAGGTCTACCACCACCATGATGGCTGTTTTCCCTTTGGACTTCGGCAGATCAGTCATAAAATCTATCGACACTGCCTCCCAAGGTCGTTCTGGGGTTGGTAAGGGTTCTAACAGCCCCGCCGGCGCCCGCCTTTCCCTTTGGCTCGCTGGCATTGCTCACACCCTCTTACATACTCACGTACATCTTCCTCACCTTAGGCCACCAAAATTCCCTGGTGACCAACCACATGGTTTTGTGTTGTCCAAAATGCCCCGCCGTAGGGCTGTCGTGCAACTGCTTGAGTACCCTCCCCTTTAACTCTCCTTCAGGGATATACAGTGCCCCTTTGTAATACAAAGCTCCATTTCTTTCCTCGAAACCCCTGGTTCCTCTCCATCACCCCTAAGACCTCTGAGCTTATTCTGGGCGTATTCATCATTCTCTGTTTCCTCTACCAGTTCTCTTTGTCCCACCAATGCCGCCCCACACACCCAGCGGTCTTCTGGAATGACATGTCTCTCTTCGGGTGCCCCTCCCTCCAAATATTCAGGTTTGCGTGAGAGAGCGTCCGCCCTAATGTTCTCTGGGCCTGGCACGTAACTAATCTCAAAGTTAAATTTGGAGAACTCCTGGGCCCATCTCACTTGCCGTTGGTTGAGCACTCGTGCCGTCCTCCAATACTCTAGGTTCTTGTGGTCAGTGCACACTTGCACCTTATGTTGTGCGCCAATTAGCAGGTGCCTCCATCTCCGGAACGCCTCATGAATGGCTAGTAGTTCTCGGTCATACACCGTGTAGTTCCTCTCGGATTTGTTCAGCTTTCGCAAAAAAAAAGGCACACGGTCTCCACTCTGACCCCTTCTTGCCTGGCTGCAGAAGCACCGCCCCAATCGCTCTGTCTGATGCGTCAGTTTCCACTCTCATCGGTTTTTGTAAATCCACATGCAGGAGTTGTTGTTCCGAGGCGAAGGCCCTTTTAGTTCCTCAAATGCTCGCTCCGCCTCCTCAGTCCACACGAACTTCTTCTTACTGCTGAGACAGTCCGTAATGGGCGCCGTCAGGTGGGCAAAGTTTCGGATGAACTTACGATAGAAGTTCCCAAATCCTAGGAACCTCTGCACATCCTTCTTTGTTTTGGGTGTTTTCCATTCCAGTACTGCCTGGACCTTGCCGGGATCCATGGCCAATCCCTTGTCTGACAGGCGATACCCCAGGAATTCCACCTCCTTGGTATGAAACTGACACTTCTCCAGTTTCACCCACAGCTGGTTGGCTTGCAGCCTGCTCAACACTTCTCTGACGTCTCTCACATGCTGCTCCTCATTCTCAGAATACACCAACACGTCGTCTAAAAGGCCACACAATTCTTGTAAAGCAAAGGCCCCAGGACGTGGTTCATAAACGATTGAAATGTTGCGGAGCCTGCTTGTAGGCCGAAGGGCATAACCAAATATTCAAATGCCCCTAAAGGGGTGAACATAGTGGTTTTCCATTCATCCCCTTCCTTATTCGTACCAGGTTGTACGCCCCTTAGGTCCAGCTTTGTGAAAATCTTTCCTTCCGCACCCTTGTCAAAATGTCGTCAATCCTGGGCATAGGGAAGGCTACTGGTTCTGACACTGCATTTAAGGCCCTGAAGTCACACACCAGCCTCGGCTTGTTCGTGTTTTTCTTATCCACAAAATACACTGGGCTGCCCCCCACCGCCCTGGACTCTCTGATGAACCCTCTCTTCAGGTTCTTGTCAATGAACTCTCTTAACTCCTGCATCTCTCTGTCTGACATGGCGTACAGCTTGCCTACAGGGAGCTGTGCTCCAGGGAGTAAGTTGATTTGACAGTCAAAGGGTCTATGCGGGGTAGTTGGTCAGCTTCCCTTTCGCTGAAGACGTCACGGAGATCTGCATATTGTCGTGGTACCTTCACGTTCTCTGTTACTTCAGTCCCTGCTAGGGTGGCTTGGACCCCTGCCAAACCCTTTCCTCTTTGCAGTGTTCTAAGCAATGTGCTGAACCAAAAGAAACCACTCTCTGATGCCAGCCCACCAGCGGATCATGTAACGCTAGCCAGCTCATCCCCAATATAATGGGAGCTCCTCCCAAGGTGGCCACATTAAAAGCTATCAGTTCGGTGTGCCTTGCTACCTTCATTATCATTGGGACGGTCTGCAAGCTGACTTCTCCACCCAACAGCTCCCTGCCATCGATCGTGGTCACCTGCAGGGGCTGCTTAAAGGGATTGTCTGTATCGGGTGCTCAGCTGCAAACTCTTTGCTCATGAAATTGCAGGAGCTGCCTGAGTCCAACAGCGCCTTTATCTTTAGAGGGTGTCCGCTTGGCAGCTCTAGCGCCACTTCTATCACTAGGGCGGGTTTAGGAGGTTCTGGCGTGGGCACTCTCACTGCTCTTTGGCCTGGCTGCTGTGCCCTGACAGTGGCAGCCAGGCGTTGGCTTTTACTTGCTCCGGTATATTTTCCTCTCTTCCATCCACAGCTCCTACCATCCCTTGCCATTCTTTCCTCTGGGGGCAGACTCTGGCAAAGTGACCTGGCTGTTGGCAGAGATAGCATTTCCGGGCGCCTTTTCCTTCCTTCTTTGCCCCCTCACTGGGCTGTGAAACTGCAGCGCGCGCGCTGTTCCGATTTCCATCGGCTCTGCCGGTGGGAAGTTGGCTCTGGAATGTCTGGAATGCGGAACTCCTTCCAACGTTCCCCTTCCCTTCCCGCCTCCAATGCTCTCGCCTCCTGGCGCGCTCCTATGGCCAGCGCTGATTTGGTCAGCTGGTCCATAGACTCCGCCCTGGGCGCCCGGGAAAGTTCGTCTTTCACAGCCGAAGAAAGGCCTTCTTCAAAGAGCATTTGAATGGGTTCCGCCGATAAGTCCCACCCCAATCTGTGAACAAGCATGGTGAACTCAGTCCAGTACTCACGGACAGATCGGCTCCCTGTTTGCAACCCATTAACTGTCTGCGCACCACTCCCTTTTCAATATCGCTGGAAAACATCAGATCCATGGCGCGAAAGAACTTCATCGTGTCCTTTAAGACGTCACTATTAGCTGCCATCAGGGGTCTAACCCAGTCTCTCGCCCCTTTTCAAGATGCTCAATCACGAAAGCCACTCGTGATTCCTCGTCAGGGAATTCATCAAACTGCAGATTGAGGGCATATTGCATTTCTGTCCGAAAACCATGATAGTTTTTGGGCTCCCCCCCAAACTTCTGCACCAATCCTGGTACCTTTCTGGCGAACTGGGTGGCTTTCCCCTTTTGTCTGCATCCTGAGCCCTCCTCTCCTCAAGCCTCGCCGTCTGCATCGCTAGCTGGACCTCCAACATCTGGTACCTTTCTTCCAGGCTTGGACCCGCTCCAGCTCCTGCTTCTCCGGTTCCGGCTGGGTTGCTCATGATGCCTTCTCCTGCACAAGCTGCTTTCAAAGACTGTCGGAATGCTGTGATGGGATGATGAGCTGCTTGTGCGTAAAATCGTATTCCCTCAGAGTTTGTTCAAGTCCACAAACCTCTGTCTGTGACGGAGCCCTCAGACATGGCTACTCTAGTCACTAGCAGATTCCGACAGTGGTTGCTTCGTAATCGCTTCCAACATAAAAGCTCCTTAACGGAAACACGTCTTCTGGAATCTCTGCGTGACAGTTTCCGGCGAGGAGTGGGTGTTCTTACAGGAGGTCCTGAAACCTCCCCACTGTTTTCGCTGGAAGTGTCTCTGAGCCATCCCTCCAGCTCAGCTCCTCTCCCCCTGCTGGTTCCCTCTTCAGCTGCTGCGTCTCTCCCAACCAGTTTCATCCCTTTCACCTCCCTGCTGGTTCCCTCTTCAGCTGCTGCGTCTCTCCCAACCTGTGTGAGCCCTTTCACCTCCCTTCCGTCCGATGGCAGTTCCCTGACAGTATGTAACCCGAGGTATTACTTTTGACTGGAAATGTATAACTAGAACTATCAGCTTCAGTGAACAGTAGAGCAACCAAGATGGACTAAAATGGATGACATTAAACTCCATGTCACTTTGTAACTTTTTGATGACTCTCATTGACAGTCTGATGAGACCTCAACGTCCTGGAAAACATCAGAGCATCAACATAATGAAGATGATGATGAAGAAACAATGGTGTCTTGGCAAATGTGGAATCATAACATTATTGAAAATGGAACGTGCTGGAATGTTTTCCAAGTGACCTGAGTAAAGAAGTGCTGGAAAAGCAGGAGTCCTGGTTGTGCTTTTCTCCCAGATAAGCATAGTCTAGGTCTTAATGTGGGTTAAGCAATGTAAGTAATGAAACAAAAATATATATGGGGAATTCCACTCTGCTACTCCTAGTTCCTTTCAATTAGCTGAAGAGTACCTGATCTTGGCCCACAGCGATGACTGGGTAACTATGATTTTTATTCAAAAGTGCTAAGTGTGCTAGGAAGTTCAGAAATTAGGATATGCCATGGAGCTTAGAAATTCTGCCTCATGATTTGATGAGCTGGAGGCCAAATCTTCATTTAGCATCAGAAATGACAACCTGTGATCGCTTTGTCAATGCAAGTATAATGCTATACATATGCAATCTTAAAAAAATATTATTTTATAAAAGTGTGATATTACATTGCTTTGTTGCTTTTTCTTCTTCAAATTTTATGGAGACAATAATGCTCCTTAAATGAAGCATTGCACACCAATAAATTGATTGATTTGCTTCAATTGCAATTGTGAGTCTGTAGTCTTTTATCACCGATTATTTATTTTTACTTTGCAAAATTTCTATACTGCTTGACTGTAACGACAAACAAATCTCAAAGCAGCTTACGAAACGAATAAAACAGTAAGCTTATCAGTAAAAATAGTTAAACAGCTGTTTAAAACATTAAAAAACCAATTAAAACCAATGATTAGTTAAATACAGATTAAAACAATGTCAACATTCTACACATCTGGGCAGCCTTTTTGAAACAAGGATGTTTATTATTATTATTAAATTTATTTATTTGATTTTTAAAATCAAAATTTTACAGAGATATATCAAACATAAATCATGAAAACAAAATTCCAAGGAATCTCCTGGACTTGCATCCTCCCCTGTGTGGGTTCTATTATTAATCAGTTCCTCCCGCATCTTTTATGATAATCCAAACCCTTTACTTCTTCCATTATGTCCAGAACCAACTTTAAACTACAAGTGCTATTCCAATCCTACTAACGATTATAACTGTTTACAGTGGTCTTTAAGGTAAGTTATATATGTTCCCCATTCCTTATTAAAATTTTGGTCTTCCTGATTTCTGACTCTTCCAGTTATTTTAGCCATTTCAGCATTAACTTCTTCTGCCATTCTTCTCTGGTAGGAACTTTATCTTCTTTCCATATCTCGGCCAGTAACATCCGCACAGCCGAAACAAGGATGTTCTTGTTGGCAAACTTTCCGGGGGGACGGCAGACCCCCAGTACCTCTGAGCGTCTCCCAGTAGGCACGTCTCTGGAATGGCATGTCCCTTCACTCCAGAGTGCCCCTCTGCGACACTTCTCATATGAAAAGTGCACACAAGTCTTCCGGCATCACACAGCAAGAAGATAGAAACATCCATAGATCTAAACTACACTTTATTCACAATATATACAGAGAATCCATAATCACGTCTTTGCCCTCCAAACTCTGGCAGAAAACAGAAAGCATACAGCAAAAGTGAAAGTACAGTCCAATACAGTGGTACCTCGGGTTAAGTACTTAATTCGTTCTGGAGGTCCGTACTTAACCTGAAACTGTTCTTAACCGGAAGCACCACTTTAGCTAATGGGGCCTCCTGTCAGTGGCGTAGCGTGGGTTGTTAGCACCCGGGGCAAGGCAAGTAATTTGCGCCCCCCTAACCCGTGGATTTTAGCACTCGAGTCTCTTCCACTAGATTAGCGCGCCCCCCCTCAGATGTTGCGCCCGGTGCGGCCGGCCCCCCTTGCACCTCCCACGCTACGCCACTGCCTCCTGTTGCTGCTGCGCCACCGGAGCACGATTTCTGTTCTCATCCTGAAGCAAAGTTCTTAACCCGAAGTAATATTTCTGGGTTAGCAGAGTCTGTAACCTGAAGCGCATGTAACCTGAAGCGTATGTAACCCGAGGTACCACTGTACTGTGGTACCTTTGGTTGCGAACAGGATCCGTTCCGGAGCCCCGTTCGCAACCTGAGAGGAACGCAACCCGTGTCTGCACGTCTGTGCACACGCAGGTCATGATTCGCCACTTCTGCGCATACGTGTGATGTCATTTTGCTCGTATGCACATGCACGAGCGGCGAAACCCAGAAGTAACCCTTTCCAGTACTTCCGGGTCGCCGAGGGACGCAACCTGAAAAGACGTAACCTGAACCGAATGTAGCAAGAGGTATGACTGTAACCCTCTCAGACGGAAGAGATAAGACAGTCTTCCATTCCCACACTCTTCTCAGACATCTCATGTGATTTATACTAATCACACTAGCCAGAATCGGCTACCTAAAATCCTAACAGTTCTCAGCAGGCACCGAAAAAGCACAGTGAAGATGCCCGTCTGAGGTTCATAGGCAGAGAGTTCCAAAGTATGACTGATGCCACACTCAAAGACTGAGCCTTATTCCTTGTCCCACTGGATTCCTCATGAGCAAAGTGAATCCCGATTAGGTCCCCGATTGCAGCAAAAAGCATTTCCCCACCAATAACTGGGTGTGCAGTAGATTCGATGGCTGTTCCTCCACAGCTGCCTGTTTCTGCCTTGCGGTAGCTGGACTTGCAATATTGTTATCGGGGCCTCTCCTACCAGGTGCGGCCAGGCAGGCACCTCAGGCGGTAGAACTAGCCTCCACAGCTACTGCCTCCTTGCCCGCTGCTCTATGGGGTGCTGGCTGCTACCATATTCACCACCTCTGTGCACAGACACCCCCTTTACTGTTGCCACTAAAAGTAAAAAAGGTAAAGGATCCCTGGATGGTTAAGTCCTGTCAAAGGTGACTATGGGGTTGCGGCGCTCATCTCGCTTTCAGGCCGAGATGTCCACAGACAGCTTTCTGGGTCATGTGACCAGCATGACTAAACTGCTACTGGTGCAACGGGACACCATGACAGAAGCCAGAGTGCACAGAAACGCTGTTTACCTTTATGCCACAGTGGTACCTCTTCATCTACTTGTACTGGCGTGCTTTTGAACTGCTAGGTTGGCAGGAGCTGGGACAGAGCAATGGGAGCTCACCCCGTTGCGGGGATTCAAACCACTGACCTTCCGATTGGCAAGCCCAAGAGGCTCGATAGTTTAGACCACAGTGCCACCCACGTCCCATACCTGCCTCCAGTGCTGCCACCTGCCATAGCTGCTGTGGCAACTTCCTCTGCATCTCTGGTGGTGGGCAGGCAGGGAGGATGATGTAGAGACGGTGGCCTTTTCTGTTTTGCTGGAATGTCAGGGACTGGCATTCTGGCTCCTGCCTTGCGGGTGGTGACATATCCCATAAATCACCACTCCCCACTCCTGGTCCTCTGCCTCTCCCACAAGCTTTTCAGAGCCCTGCCACAAAGGTGGAAAAATCTCCCCCGCTGGCCTTGTCTCCTGCTCAAGACCCTCTTGGCACAGTCAAGGGCTGTTTTGTCGACTTCATCTAACCCTTTCATCTGGAAATCCTGGTTTTCATCTCCATCTCACTCTGGTACCCAGTGAAATGTCCTTGCTCAGAATCTCCATCAGGGTCCATCCATTGACAGTTAGTCCCTGAAATGGTTGCTTAGCAACGGGATGGAAGATTCTTCAGAAGAGAGTGAGGAGCAGCCTGCTTCACTGTCTGCTTCTTTAAAGGAACAAAATCTTTATTATTGTTGTTGTTGCATCTTAGTTTTGTTTTCCTTAGAAACAAGCAAAATTAGGCATTCGAGTAGAAAAAGAAGACAGAATATATCAGATCTCATATTTTAAGACTTATGCCTCGTCACTACCAGTGTCAGAAAATGGCTTATCCAGTCAGTTTGTCTCCAAGCAATTCTCTGTGATGACACAAAGGACCCAGAGGATGGGACAGTGTGTATGTCATCCAAATGTTCTGACCTCCTGACATCATAATGAGGTGACCAGAGAGTGCTCGGTCTTCTTTCAGAATCCCATTACTCTTTACCACCACTTTCTTTCACATTTGAGCATCAGGGAAATTCTTCATTGGTGGGTTGGTTTTGAGTTACTCTGGTTCCGAAGTCAACATTACTTTGCTTTCTTATTTTCATACGCTTTTTCCAGAGGAGCTGCTTTTACTGTAGAGAAAATAAGGAGATCGCGAACCTGAGCACAAGCATTACCCTGGTGTTGAAAACAATTTACTGATGTTGACAGGGCATCCTTGTCTCTTCCAACCCATAGTTTGTGTAATGTTGTATTAAGATCTGCTCTGCTCATTCTGCACCAATTCTCCTATCCCAGACAAGAGGGACCCCCTTTGCTTTGCTGTGATGTATGTGAACAGGGCCACAGAGGTTCTATTTGAAGGCCGGACTTTGTTTTAGTCCTTAATACTAGGATGGCAGTACAAAACATCTCTGCGGGTTTGCAAACTGTTTCAGTGCTGAATGCTGGTGATGCTTTCTTTCCCTCGATGCTATGCCAAACAAGTGTACTTCAAAAGCCACAGTAAAAAAAGAAACCTAGGCATAGGGTAGAAAGAAAGAACTGAACTGGTGCAAGAAAAGGAGAAGAAGGGTATATTCACAATGTCATTCCTTGCAAAATGTAGTCACAGAAGGGGAATCCTCTATTCTGCTGAAGCATAATGAAGAACCGGCTGTTCTGTATTATTTCATTTCTTCTATGGACATGCTGCACATTCCAACATGGTAAGATATTAAGTCGAAAGACAAACATTTCATGCAGTGAAAGAGCAGGCACGCTCTCTTTTTAAAAAGAAATTATTTATTTCAGAAGACCTCTAGAACTAAGGCTAGGAGCTAAATTCAGGTCTGTGTTTTTGTCCGTTAAAGCTGTGGCATTCTGCCAATAATTCCATCAATAGTTCCAAGAATAATATGGTGTGGTGCTAAGCTGGTTTGCATGAATTTGTGTTTGCAGGGCCAATTGATAGGTAAGGACAGGGTATACAATGTGTTGCCCTCCCTATGTTGTGGGACTCCCACACCTATCAACCCCAACCAGGTAGATCAACATAAAGAAATCACAGGATTCCAGCAACAGCTGGAAGGCATTCATCTTTAATTTTTTTAAAAATAGATTTTAACGTATTTTAAATTGCTGCAACCAGTCCTGGGATCCGGTCATAAAGGCAGGTAAGAAATATAATTATGATTATGATTGCCCTGGGTTAGAAATTTAGGTGTAGTGATTATATTACATTTATTGAACAGATTTTATTATTATTATTACTATTGAATGATTCTGCTCTTATTTGTGAAATCTTGTGTTTATATCAACAAAATGCTTTGATATATAGGGCATTTTGTATGCCACTGCTGATAGTAATATTAATAATAATTTTATTATTTATATGCCGCCCATCTGACTGGGTTGCCCCAGCCACTATGGGCAGGTCCCAACAAAAATTTAAAAACACAATAAAGCATCAAAGCTTCCCGATACAGGGTTGCCTTCAGATGTCTTCTAAAAGTCAGATAGTTGTTCTTTTCCTTGACATCTGAGGGAGGGTGTTCCACAGGGTGGGTGTCACTACTGAGAAGGCCCTCTTGCCTGGTACCCTGTAACTTCACTTCTAGTAGTGAGGGAACCTCCAGAAGGCTCTCGGAGCTGGACCTGTGTCTGGGCTCAACGATGGGGGTGAAGACGCTCCTTTAGTAAACTTTAACTTTTAGTGGTGTTGTATTAGCTATACATCAATGTGTTGCTATTGCTGTAATTCTGATTTTTGTTGTTGTGATGGTTGGTGTTGTGATGTATTGTTCCCATTGCTGTTAAAAACAAGAGAGGGCATTATTTGAAAACACTGGAATCCAATGGAATGACATTGATATCATTTGGATGCGCCTTAAAAAGTGAGTGAGCCAAGGATGCTAATGCCTAGAGAAAAGAGCTGGTGTGGAAGTGACCTTTGATTTGTATTCAGGAACTTACAGCTTTGATCAATTATCATTCTACTTTGAAAAGGATTTTTTCTTTAGTGACTGTGATGATGCTAAATGCAATTTCAGTGTGCACACCTGACATTGATTTTGGAGTAATCATAGAGAATAAAAGAGCTCAATATCTGGAACGTGACCGGTTACAGTACAAGTGCTTCCCTGGGTATGACTTGGAAGGGTCTGGCTGGATAACATGTAAGGAAGATGGATGGACCCCTCGTCCAAAGTGTTTTGGTGAGTGGACTATTTTTGTCAACTTTTAAGTAATGTGGATAGGACACACTGTGAAACTGGATAACTCCAGCATTTGTGGATCATATGCACTTATCTCAAAATAAAATTGTATTGTTGGAATTGGATTGGATATAGCACAACCCACCCACCCCATAACAATGTACTTTTATTGGGTAGCCACAATTACAGGAAATGGCTTTAACTGGCTAGCCAAACCAGGTGAGGGTAGCCAATGGGTCTCAAACCCGCAGTGAGCTACATGTGAAGACAGGCTCTGGTGGATTAAGCATACAAGACCAATAGTGGGTCCAACTGTCAAGAAGGTTCTGCATGTGCTGTAGATGGGGCTTGTCAACCTGGGGAGGTAGCCTATCTAGGAGAAGGAAATCTCTGATCCTAAACTTCCTCTGCCTTGTGGGATATCTTCAAGAGAAGAAAAGGCTACAGAGATCCAGAGTGGAGTCCCTTAGAGGGTTGGCAGTCTCCTTCCAGGAACTCTTGCAGCCAAGCTAGTGCCACACATATTGCTCTGCTTTCCTTTGGACCACATCAGTGAAGCCAAGAGGCCGGTCTTGTCATCTGGGCAGCCCAGGACCTCCATACACACTGCCCAGGCTTGCACCCCAGGGAGGTCATTTCGGTGCTGCTAATGTAGCAGTTTGACTTAGCTTCCATCTGAACATATGTAGGCACTCTACATCAGGGATGGGGAACCTGTAGCCCTCCAGACGCTGTTGGACAACGCCTAAATTCCCTGACATTTGGCCCTGCCAGCTGTGACTGATGTTCAGCAACATCTGGAAGACCACAGGTTAGCCACACCTGCTCTAGGTGATCAGGACTCCTGGTTTTATAGAAGTAGCAATTGCATGGAGTGCTAATGCTAAATGTGCACAGGGATTGATTTGAAAAGGTTGCCCTGAATGCCTAGATCAGGCTTCCTCAACCTCGGCCCTCCAGATGTTTTTGGCCTACAACTCCCATAATCCCTAGATAGCAGGACCAGGGGTCAGGGATGATGGAAACTGTAGTCTCAAAACATCTGGAGGGCCAAGGTTGAGGAAGCCTGGCCTAGATGTTGAGGGCTAGGACCAATGGACCAATGAGGCCGAAGGGAGCTAGAATCCAAATACACTTGGAAGGACAAGAGAATATGACAATGTGACAAGAGAATATACCATACTTTTCCATGTATAAGACTAGGTTTTTTTACTTTAAAATTACAGTGGTACCTCGGGTTACATACGCTTAAGGTTACAGACACTTCAGGTTACAGACTCCGCTAACCCAGAAGTAGTACCTCAGGTTAAGAACTTTACCTCAGGATGAGAACAGAAATCGCACAACGGCAGCAGCGGGAGGCCCCATTAGCTAAAGTGGTGCTTCAGGTTAAGAACAGTTTCAGGTTAAGAACGGACCTCCGGAACGAATTAAGTACTTAACCCGAGGTACCACTGTAATCTGAAAAGGGCTATAATATAAAAAATATCATTTGAACCCAAGTTAATATGTGGGTTAATTTTCATTCAGAATTGAGCAAAAGCTGGATGTCATTTGTAGGCCATAGATTTATAAGCTACTCGTAGGGATGCAATTAATCTAAAGTCAGACCTGGAAGGCTGAATAGGAGAAGCCAATTCCAAAGATGACCCCGTCTCTTTCTTCCTTTTCTTTCAGCACCCTGCACTATCACAAAACAACAGCTGGAAGCCAGAAACCTGCTTTTGTACGGTGGGCAAAAACATTCAGAATTGATTAAAAATGCACATACATTGGAATTCATATGCGTGAAAGGATACATAATAATCTCTCCTTCTGTGAGAACGTGCATTGATGGGAACATGGATCTGCCATCCTGTAACCCTGTTGGTAACTGTATTGATAATGCTATTTCACATCAGTTGGGGGGTTTATCTGAAGGGCATGGGGTGTGTGTTTCTGCTGTGTTTGAGCTGGTCTGCTGACACCATCAAATTTTGGCTCTGCTTTTGCCCACATTCAGTGCAAAATGGGTCTTTGCTTTATGCAGAAAACCCATGAGCCCATCACCTTCCAGTTTAAAAGCATCTCCCCGTACCTTCTCCCATTTGCTTGGATAGCCTCTAAATCCCTTAATCTCCTACCAATGAGCTGAAATCATCATCATCATCATCATAATGATCATTGGATCCGGCTGTTGTTGTTGTGTAAAATGACCTTAATAAAATCCTATTGGATTGCTTACACAAACCACTGCTGGATGCCTATGGAAGTGAAAACAAACCTTTCTAAGTGAGGATACATAAATTCATCTGCCTAGTTTTGTTGTCACCAAAGCCAGGAAATACAAGCTACAGTGGTACCTCGGGTTAAGAACTTAAATCGTTCTGGAGGTCCGTTCTTAACCTGAGGTACCACTTTAGCTAATGGGGCCTCCCGCTGCCGCCACCACACAATTTCTGTTCTCACCCTGAAGCAAAGTTCTTAGCCCGAGGTACTATTTCTGGGTTAGCGGAGGCTGTAACCTGAAGTGTCTGTAACCTGAGGTATCACTGTATGTAGTTGCAGTGTCTAGGTTTTTTATCATTTTACCTCTGGGAAGGAGGAACAGGGTAAGAAGAGGATGGGAGTCTGGTGAGGCATTTAGCTTGTGAGCTGCTAGCTCCCCACCCCTGCATAATAGTGGACATGGATATGATATGGAAACAAACAAGCTCATACCTTCCAGCATTTCTCCAATGAAAATAGGGATGCTCAATTCATTAATAGTAAGTGTAAGAGTAGTAGTAATAGTAGTAGTAGTGGTAACAACAACAACAACAACACCTCAGCCACTCTGGGCAGCTTTCAACATACATAAAAGCATAATAAAATGATACAGGGCTGCCTTCAGATGTCTTCTAAAGGTTGTACTGTATAGTTACTTATCTCCTTGGCTCGGGGGTCACGTAACTCCATACTGTCTGATGAAAATAGGGATGTCCTAAGGAGAAGCAGGACATTCCAGGATTAAAACAGAAACCAGGACAGCTTCTGTAAATCCAGGACTGTCCTTAGAAAATAGGGACACTAGGAGGGTCTGCAAGCTACCTGAGACATGTGCAGATGTTTTATATTAACCTTGTCAGGTGGAAGCAACCAAAGGACGATTGCTACTCTGGTAGCATTTAAATCAGACTTTTGCCATGATCAAAATTCACCTCCCTTTCCCTCACAGAGCCCTGTGCTATCTTACTCAATGAAACAGGAAGCTAGTAAACAGAAGAATGTATGAGAATATTTTTTTTATAGTGCACTCACCTTGATGATTCGATTGCAAACCAGAACATGTCATTTCGAAAACCTTTCCACATCTGTTTTTACATGCCACTGCAAACCAAAGTGTAATGTGCATTTAGTTTGAACTGGCTGGTAGGGACTGTGCCTCTTTTCATGAAGTCACTTTTGGCAATGATCATATATGCCTTCAGATTGGAGACCACAGGTGTTAGAGATTTATGGGCAACAGAGGTGTGGCACATGCCTCCAGCATCACACAGAGATGTTAGATGCTAGAAAGGGCATTCATAAGATAACTTACCTATTCTACCGTTATAACATATGTTATTCCATTGGGTCATTCCAGTGTCTGACCAAGAGACTTCCATCACTGGTGACATCCCTGCCGGTGCCACCACTTCCAAGAATCTGCTGCTGCTAGCATCAGATCTCTCCACACCAGGTACCAGAATGATGCAATGCCCCCTGTTACCCATTAGGCTGCAATAGGGATGGACCGATCTGCCAGTCTCTCAGTTTCGCATTTTTCTCAGTCCTAAGTTCATGGGGAAAAATTAAGCTGAGAGGGGTGTCAGGCAAGAAGGGATTAAACAGCCCTCCCATATTGCCGCTGCTCCAGTCAAATTTGCAGTCCCCTTCTTGTGCAATTGATTTTCATTTAAAAAAAACACTGGAAGATCATATCACTGATCTCCATTGCAATGCATTTTGAGCTGAGGCTAAGTGCTTGCAGGATGGCAGCCACTGTTGATTGCTGGGGTGGCTAGTTTGCATTCTAGAATGATCATTTAATTGTAAAAGCCATGTGGTGGTGGTTATATGTTGCAACTACTGAGCGGTATTGAGGAAGACATTAACCGTACTTCCTAAAATTCCTTTTTCTGTTTCACCACAAGTGATGTGCACTGCCCCAGAAATAGGTGGCGGCAACTTCTTTCCTGTAAAGAGTCAGTACAAATTTGAGGAAGTGATCTCTGCTAAATGTAATCAGGGATATCAGCTGGAAAGCCGCAAGAGCTCTTTTAAATGTACAAAGTATGGCTGGTTACCATCTCCAAAGTGTGTACGTAAGTAATTTTCATGTTGTAGTATTTTTTTCCCCATGTAGTGTTAATCTCAATGACTGATAATGGAATCTGTTTTGCGTGTCGAGGTCCCCAAGCCACCCCCCAAATAACTCACAACGCACACTTAATTTTTGTTTAAGGTTTTTGGCATAATTTTGGCCACAACTTTATTTAAATACAAAACCGTGAGTCGTTGTTTAGGCATTGGTTAAGACTATCTGTCCGCCCGCCTGGGGACAGAACTGACTTCCGGGCACCACCGAAAGACAGTGCGGGGGAAAGCAAGTCGGAGAGAAATGGAGCTGGGTCACAGACCCTCAATTCTCATCCGCATGCTCCCCGAAGGCTTGCCGGCCCTAGTCCCATTCCAGGGATTGGACGAAAAGATGGCAAGCCCCAGGATTCCTTTAACGGAATTCCCTTTCCGCAGCAACCATGGAGGGGCAGGCCCAGCCTATCCTAACCCCTCCTCCACCAATTTATAACCAATGCCTAACCACAACCTTACAAGTTGTGACGATTTGCTACGCAGTAGGCAAAAACCAAATGGCCCAGCCAATCAGCCAGATGGACAAAATTCCTACCAGGCCCCTGCCCCAGCGGCAGACGACCCCATGACAGGCATAGCAAGGTCAATGCAACAACCCCTTACTCAAGGGCGGGTGGGCGGGTGATCCGTTGCACGCAGCAAGAAAGCTCCAGGCTGCGTGCAGAGTATTTAAACATTTTACCCCTCCCACCAAAATTGCAACATAACTTTTACCCCAGCAACCCGGTGAACCAATCACTGCCCCAGGCCATCTTTAGAGACCCTGCCTGGTAACAGAGGGGTGGCTCAGCAGACCCCACCGCAACACGTGCTCTCCATGAAGGAGAACACGCTTTGTATTTTTGATGGTTTTTCATCTACTTTTCCCCAAGGTGTGTTATGTACTGAAGTTCTCACCCTGGGCCAGCAGGGGGATACTGTAGATAGTTCAGGTCCACATATGCAAATAAGGGATCGAAAGTGACGTTCAGTAATTGGATAGTTACAGAAAATGGTTACTGTTGCGTTCTAGTGGAGCTCTATATAAGCAGGCTGCTTGAACCCTTCAGTTCAGTTCCGTTCTGACCTGTGAATAAACAAGAGCTGTTTGAAGAATCGCTGTGTCGTCTGATATGTTCACCCACAATTTAACAGTGTGTTTATATCATATGCCAGGGCTGGCATTCTGAATTTGCCACTTGTATGGTTTCAAGTACCAGCTCCTCTCTGAACCATAAACCCCACCTCCAGTTCTTAAATCCACTAGCACACTAAAGAAGTTGTCTATATGTACTGAATTGTTCAAAGAACCCTGAAGAGAGAGCAATGGTATCGGCCTGGCTCAAGGCCTTACATTCCCAATCCAACAAACTGTGGATACACACAGTGGAAGCCATTTGACTTCTGAGGTGCATTCGAAAATGGAAGCCATTCGAAAACCCAAACGTTCAGCAATGGAGACATTCAAAAACTGAGGTACCACAGTATCACTATACAATTATGTTGATCCTCGTGGAAAACCATTCCAGTATCAGAGCCACATTACAGGGACCAATATCAGAGCCACATTACAGGTTCCATAAGAATAATAGGAAATATTCACAATTCACAGAGTTTAGGACTGGCGAGTCAATGGGGCTATTAGGCTAACATTGGAAAAACCTGCATTAACAAGCAGAATCGAGTACCGTCAAGCAAAATAACTGAAGGTGTTTATCTGTTTTAACAGTCTCTGTTTTATCTCTTTCAAAGCAAAGCAATGTGATTATCCCCATATAGAGAATGGAGCACTATCTTGGTCCAACACATACTACAGTGACGTCTATTTTCCAAAAAGGAGGGACAGACAATTAGTTTCAGATGCAAGCACGGCTTTCTGCAAGAAAATAAAATGTACTGGTATAGAATTAGATGCACCAAGTTGGGCTGGGATCCAGAACCGAAATGCTTCAGTAAGTGTATGTTTCTCTTATTCTCCTTGAGCTAAGAAGGCACCAGCAACATTAATGATGGCTGCTGAGGTGCTTTCAAAGAGTTAGTCTACCTAAGATGGAAGTAGCATATAAGTCAAAAGCAGGGCTGACCCGTTCTATTTCATCACCTGAGTCAAAACAGAAAGGTTCCACTCCCGCTCTGCTGTCACTCTGTCAAAGCCTCACTTAGTGGGGTTGCATGGCTGTAGCTTCCAGGATGCGGCAAGATCTTATGAGAGATTGGCGAGATATTGCCGGAACCCAGAAGCTGGATGCAACTGAAGGCTGCCATAGCTCCCTGGTGCTGGCACCTTCCTTCTATGTTTTTCCCACCTGACATTTCAAACTTGCTTGTAAATATGAGCCCTTTCTTGGCATTTCAAATCCCTTGTGCAACAAGGGAGATTTGGGATGCGCGTGCAAGTCCCCACCCACTCCTTATCACATGGGGTTTTTTGAATGCCTGAATAGGGCTAGAATTTGCAAACATTCATTCCAAACCTGCTTTATGACAATCCCTGTGTGTGCGTGCCATTATTCTGCAGGCATGCCTAAAAGTGCTGAATATCATCTTGGGTGTAGCAGAATGTAGCATTCGGAGAATCTTGGTTCTTTCATTTTTTAAGAAAGTAAGTTTCTTAGGAACTTATACTAGGAAGCTGCCTTATACTAAGCAAGAGACTCTTGGTCAGTATTGCATAGTGTGATGCCGTTCAATATTTGGCAGTGGATTTCCATGGTTTCATACAGGGGCCTGTTCCATAGCTGCTTTCTGGACCAGGACGTCCAAAAGTATTTTGCGTACTGTTCTCTAATAAAGGTTTTGTACACATTTCCTCTCTTTCCATTCATGCATATGTGTTCGTTTTGCCTTTAGGACAATGCACCCCTCCTAAACCCTTGCCACATGGTGACGTAATTTACGACTCTAAGAATAACTTCATCGAGGGTGATAACGTTTCGTTTCGTTGTGATGCAGGCTATCAACCTGAAAATCAAGCAACGGCCACGTGTACAAAAAATGACTGGTCGCCTACTCCAAGTTGTTCCTACATGTGTAAGCTTTACTTGATAACTGATCAATACACCTCGGATTGTGGATACAGCCTATCTGATTCTGCCTTAAACAAGCCACATTAACTCCATACCCTTACTGCCATGATAGTTCTGTACCAACAAATTCCTTTAATAAGGTTTTGAGGGGTCATGGAATAGAACTGCATGCCTCTGGGCTGACTTAAGGCCCATCCACGCTCCTGTTTGTCCTATGATTTCTAAGCAGGGGTTGGAGACGATTTTCTTTTGTCCCACTGCTTTCCCTGGGAAAACCCATTGTTTACTGCTGAATCGGAACAAACACTGATCTGCAGAAAACTCAACGAATGTTTGTTCCGATTCAGCAGTAAACAGCAGGTCTTTCTGGGCAAAGCGGTGGGGCGAAAGAAAAACCTATAGGACCTAGATATCAAACAGATATGTGGACGAGCCCTTAGCTTTCAGTGTGATCCTATAAATCCTTTATTTACAGTGGCACATTTCTGTATTTGCACTGCAGCCCAAACAGGAAATTAGATTAGGTTTCATAAATGGTTCCATAGCAATCTGCTCAGATTTATGAGACCAGAGGCTCAGTCCTCTGGTCTAGGCAAGATGGTTACCACTGACTTGGCTGGATATGAGCAAGTAGTATATAGCAAGAGAGGAACTTCAGAAATGCTATTTGCTATTTGGCAGGATTCTGGCCCACCCCAGTGGCTAATCATTTGCGACTTCCAACCTGTATAGGCATTGGATTTGTTTCTTCTCTCTCCCCCATCTGGATGGGAATTGGTGGATGATTTATTTATTACCTCAAAAAAGGATTAAAATTCCAATAACAGTTAAATAACAACAGGTGGCTGCTACTGCTGTGCTCCCTTAGTAGAAATATTATAGCTCGCTAAACCAGTTGCCTTTCTGAATCTCAACTGAGGGATGAGGAGGGATATTCACAGCTTGGACACTAGGCTAATGGCTTTGGGTTGACTTGCTACCATAAGAGATAGTGAGCAATCAAAACCAAGACTCAGAAATACTGAACATGATGCCCTGCTGATGTTGGATTCCATTTCTCATGAGCCCTCAGCAGATCAGGGATATTGGGAGGAGCTCCAGGAACACATGAAGAGCATCATTTTAGCTATCCTTGCTCTGCTGAAAGGGTGCCAATTTGTATGAAATATGGGTCAGGGGGGAGGAAAGTTATGCCTCCACAACATTTGAATAACAATGCCTATCAATTTCTGGGAGGTAGCCCCCTCAAATATTTTATTGGGGTGGGGGCGAAGGGACCTTGGCCCCTAGGAGTTGGCTCCTGTGCTCTGCTAACTGTACAGTGAGTGTTCTCAATTCGTTCCCATCAGCAAGCCTCATTTCGCAACACGTTTTAGTGCTGCACGCTAGGACAGTAGTACCTCAGGTTAAGAACTTAATTCGTCTGGAGGTCTATTCTTAACCTGAAACTGTTCTTAACCTGAGGTACCACTTTAGCTAATGGGGCCTCCCGCTGCCGCCGCCGCACGATTTCTGTTCTCACCCTGAAGCAAAGTTACTATTTCTGGGTTAGCGGAGTCTGTAACCTGAAGTGTCTGTAACCTGAAGCATCTGTAACCTGAGGTACCACTGTATAAAGAATCTAACATATGTTGTATTTCCTCAACCCCCCCATTACATTACAGCTGCATCCAGATTTGAGAGAAGACTTCAGTAGGTCAACCTCACCAGCGCCTGGAGATTAATGTATATATGCTATTTATTTTTATATGATTTGAATTCTTTCTTGATTTTTTTATCGTTATGGATGTTGTTTGTTTGTATTCATGCTGTTAGCTGCCTTGTGTAGAAAGTCACAGTACAAATAAATTATTTTTTTAATATAAAAATAGCAAGACTTTATATCTGTAATAACTCCACCCTTTATTATACATATGTCACAATGTTGTGAACTGAAGCATTTATTTAACAGGGGCTAGGGCTATAGCACTCCTCCAACAGGGACCCCCTGGAGGGCAACTCTATTTGGTGTAGATCATAGGGCCCTCTAAGTGGTGATTTACCCTTAGATGGACTCCCAGCAGATGGGTTGGAGAGATATAATTTGGCTTCACCCAATGCCTATGCCAAACGATTCACATTTGTAACCAATAAAGTTGTGGCCTATTTGAATCCATAAAACCATATGCTATTTGAATCCATAAAACCATATTGCCTTAGGCAACTGTGGGGTCATGGGGTCTTGGCTCGCAACTAATTTTACATAAGGTTAGGCAAACCAAGAAAAGGCTTGAATATTCACAGAAAATTTAAATTGAGCACTGGAAGAAATTTATGGCACTTAACTAGATGGTTGTATTTTTTATTTATAAAGGCTAAGATAATAAAGACATAAACTGGTAAAGTTGAAATGAATTGAAGTCCAAATTTTACAGCAAGTTCTAACAGAAATAATGAAAAGTAATATGAATATATGGGTTGCACACTTAAGCTCTAAAAGCAGAAAATGGCTCAAACCAGGTTTCCCCATGCGGAACAAAATAAGAGTTCTACCACAGCCAGTTAAAGGGCATCCTATGTAGTATCTTGTTTGTACCCTGGGGACTAGAGGCAGGTGCCTGACACCTGAAAAGCCAGCCTAGATGAAGGCAGTATTGTTTCAAGGGGGGCGGGATAGGTATATATATAGAAAGGAGAATTACTGGATGCCAAGATCCAAGTGTCTTTGGTGAGAGAACCCCAGCAGAGATTTAAAATCACAAAGCATGCAGCAAAGCAAAGTGTGGAAACGTGAGCTATTAGACCTTTAAAATATGCCCTTCTAAGTTCCTTTCAAAGTTTCTCTCTTCCCCTTGCACAGAAAAAGACCGCAGGTTTAGTAAGTTAAAAATGGTTTACTTACAAACCCACCAAAGGTCAGAATCATGTGCTATTCCATACAGCGTTCAGAAGAAGTTGCGCAGGAAGTAAAACTTTGCTTAGCAACTATGACTTGGCAACTATGGGGATCCTGCAAGCAGGGCCCGAGTGCAACAGCATCCTCCCCACTTGTGATTTCCAGGACCTGGTATTCAGAGGCAGACCCAGCCGCAACCCCGTCAAGAGCCAAGCGGGGCCACATTGCGCTGCCTGCCCACCCAGCCAGGTGGCAATCCTGGTGGCTTGCCACGACACTTAGAGGACGAATCTGTTGGGATACTGCCGGGGAGACGGGGGCATTTGGCAGGTCCCCAGCTGGCTCCAGCCATCAGCCGGTACAGCATCAATCAGCAACACGAGCTTCAGGTATGTTTAGAAGCTGTGCATGCTCTAATCAGCAGAGTGAATAAATCCTCGCAACGGAAGTGGCGGACATGTGTAAGCATTATTTACAGCATTTTATTCAGCATAGCTCAGGAACAAAGGAAAAACATGTCTGCTTCCCTTTGGGTCCAAGCAAACAGCAAAAACAAAAGCAATATACAAACGGAAGTTCCCAGCGAGTGCTGGAATGTAAACAGGCATGTGACACACAACAGTCATGCCTGTTCCCTTTTAAGGTGGAACGGAACTGTAATGTATTGAGTTGAATAGGATCCAAAAAGGCAGCAGTCTGATTGATCCTAGAACAATGCAGCAGTATGATTGGTTTGCAGGAACCACCCAATCCAGCTCCAGATGGAAGTGAATCCACAACCTGATTGGCCTACAGGAGAATTCCGGAATTAGCCAATCACGTGTAGCCCATTGTGTAAATAATGTATATAAAGCAGATACTGTGGGGAAACTTTCATTCCCTCGTCACCACTATGAGCTGAATAAAGAGCATGAAATCCACTCTCGACTCTGAGTATATTTCAGGAACTATATCCTAACAGAATCCCCCAATGTCTGTGGAGAGGAGCACTTGGCCAGGGCGCCACTTGCCTGTCTTCCTCTGTCTGCACCTGCTCATTGTTGGCTGAGTGAGGAGCAAGTGAGCGCTGGCCAGGTGGCCATTTAGTGAGGGTCCTGAAGGGTGACTCGCCACAGCCTGGAGACTGAAGGGCAACTCGGCCTCAGGAATGCGGCAGAGCACAAGGAAGGTGGACAGAACCCTCCATCCAGTCTGCACTGAGCCTCCACGGTTGCCAGCCTCTGCCCGGGACACAGTGCCAAGCCCAGGCTGGCCTCCGGGGCCCAGAGACCACCGACAGCAGGCAGGGAAGGATGTGGAGTAGGGGATGGGGCAGCAGAGGAAGCCCCCCAACGGGATGCTCTGTTGCCTTCGCTAGGGCAGGACTGGGTTCCCTTCGGATGTGCCCCATCAGAATTTTGTGCCTGGGACCACACTTCCCTGCCCCCACACTATGCCACTGGAGATACCACCTCCACCGGTGAAGAATATAGAAATGTCAAAAAGCCTCAAAGGTCTCCTTGTTCAGAGAAGTACCTTTGGGTCTTAATTTAGAGGTGCTGACCTGCTGCAGCAGAGATAGGGTGCCAAATTCTGGGCTGCCTTACTTTGAATACTCCTTGGTTGTGTCTTTATTTAACTCTCCTACCTGGCAACTCCCTTGGCAAAGCTGAGCATAAGCATTTAGTTAATCATGTAGTATTAATGGGGGGAAGAGTGTTATCTTCAAATTAGAAAAGGAGGCATGGGAATTCTTGTCAGATGTATGAGATGACATAAGAGAAGACATATTTCAAAAGTCTCTCTCCCTCCCTTCCTCCCTCTCTCTAGATATATATATATATATATATATATATATATATATATATATAGGGATGCCTAGCTTGCTACATTTGATGAGTAAACTTGTCGAAGGTCAGTCTCCCAGTTTTACCAACCCACTGGTATCGAGAACGTTGCTTGGTAGACTTCCAGTTGGCAGCTGTTGTTGTTGCTTCTTCTTCTTTGGTGATCACTTGTAGCCAAGTAAGATTGTCTTCCATGAACACGGTTTTAACAAATGAGTCCATAAGTGGCTGTGGAGGCCAATTCTGAATCTACATGTCCTTCCACAGTGGGGACATAGGTTTCCGGGTGGGAGTTGATCATGGTGTGGATTTGCCAAGCGTGCCTTCCTCTTAGCACGTTTCTCCCTTGTGTCCTGAGTTCGAGCGTCTGTGAAGCCTGTGACACCTTTGGTAAAAGCTGTTCTCCAGTTGGAGCGCTTGCAGGCAAGTGTTTTCCAGCTGTCGGTGTTTATACTACATTTTTTAAAGATTTGCCTTGAGAGAGTCTTTAAATCTCTTTTGTTGACCCACCAGCATTACGCTTTCCATTTTAAAGCTCGGAATAGAGTAGTTGCTTTGGAAAACGATCATCAGGCATCCGTACAACATGACCAGTCCACACAGTTGCTAAATAAAGTTTTTTATCCAGAGATCTAGGATCATTTGACTCAAAACAATGAAGTTGGAGAAGGTCCTATTATTTACACGTCATGCTACTGCATCCTCTCTTATCACTGGATGCTGGTGGTGAGGATCATGTAGACCACCTTGTGCACATTGGTGGGAAAGTATGATCTAAATAGAATAGTAAATAAATTAATGTTCAATAGCTGAGGTGAAGGTGAGCATTTTGACACTAGCTCATCTCAAAATAAGACATTCCCCCCAACAAAAGCTGCAGCCAGCTAAGTAAAGTACATCCCAATGCATTGATCGGATTTTTCCTTGCCAGAGGGGAGTGTGTGTGTGTGTGTGTGTGTGTGTGTGTGTGTGTGTACCTTTAGATTGAAGGAGGGACTGTAGTTCATGCTCTGCCCCCTTAAGGCCCCAAATTCAATCCCTGGCAGTTTCAATTAAACAGATCAGGTAACGGATGATCTCCCTGCCCGAGAGCTGAAGCCAGTCAGACAATATAGAGCCAATACTGTTACAACAAGACAGCTTCTCATGTTCCCGGTTTAGCGTTGCTTCTTTTGCTGCCCAGATTGCAACACGAAACCTACAGAGCCTTTCAACAGCAAATGCTTATTTTAACGATTTCCTCCACCTCCCATTATTTCCCCCAATCACCAAAGAAGGCATATCTCAGTGTTGCGGCAAACCATTAACTACAACAGGGGGAGCTGATCTCAGGCCTTGGACTCTTGTTTAGCCTCCTCTGAGCATTTCGGAGCTGGACTACACGCGGCAGATCAAATGAAAATTGCCTGACATCCTGAGATGAACCGTCTGAGGTGCATAGTTCTGTTGCTTCTGTGGACAGGCTGTACTTCCCAAAATGGTAAGTTGTTCAGATAAAAAGGCAGTTTTAACCAGGGGGAAAGGAGGTGGCTGTTCTGCTTGGTATCAAAAGGATTAACTGGTGAAGAATGCAAGAGGGTGGGCTGGTCCAAGACATTTTGTTGCCTGAAGCAATGGGCAGTACGGTGCTTCCTTTCCATTCCATGTACAAAAGCTGACTGGTCACCTGATCAGATAGAGGGAGGGTGCCCAAGCAATGCCATGTTGTCACTGGAGGGGAATGGGGATGGAGGAACAAGCAGGGGCTGCTGCCATCCCTGGCACCTGCTGCATGAGACAGTTGTCTTAATATCTAACGGCAGAGCTGACCAAAAGTGGTAAATATGAAGGGGAGCAGGTGGCGCTCAGGTCTAAGCTACTGAGCCTCTTGGGCTTGCCGATCAGAAGGTCAGCGGTTCAAATCCCCGTGACGGGGTGAGCTCCTGTTGCTCTGTCCCAGCTTCTGCCAACAAAGTAGATAATTAGGTACCGCTACGGTGGGAAGGTAAACGGCATTTCCATGTGTTTTGCTTTCCGTCACAGTGTTCCGTTGTGCCGGAAGCGGTTTAGTCATGCTGGCCATGACTAAATATGGATGATAAATATGGCCATGATAAATATGGGTTTTCCCTTTGTATCGACCTGAATTAAATGGTGGTGTCAGTATAGGAACATCATCCTAAAAAAACCCATAACATCCATCTTCAGCCTTATATGCTATGTTGCTCAGAAGCAGTAGCTTAGGGCTGAAACAAGAAGACACTAGAGCATCATGCCCTGCTGCATTTATTTAAACAACTATCTGACTTTTAGAAGACATCTGAAGGCATCTGTTTATGGAAGTTTTTAATGTTTGATGTTTCATTGTATTTTTAATATTTTGTTGGAAGCAGCCCAGAGTGACTAGGGAAACCCAGCCAGATGAGTGGGGTATAAATACATCATCATCGTCATCATCATTATTATTGGTCTTCAGTGAAGGAGATTCACAGCCTCTTTTACACAACTGTCAAGGAGAAGAACTGCTTTACAAGGAGAGCAATACAAAGGAGACCAGATAACCAGGAATGCCAACAAAATCAGTTGACAAAACCTCTGTAAAAACTGCCATGCTTATCAAATGGCAATAATCTCGGAAATGGAATTAAATATGATATATAATTTATTGTCAAATCTCTTCTTCAGATTGTTAATGCTAAATATCATTCCAGTGTGTGAAAAACCACCTGAAGTTGACTTTGGGGAGACGGTAAGAGGGGAGAGAACTAAATATCGGGAACTTGAGAATGCAAGAGTACAGTACACGTGTAGCCCAGGATACGTATTGGAGGGGCCCAAGTGGACAACATGTGATGGACAAAAGTGGACAACACCACCAAAATGTTTAGGTAAGAGATCATATTCTGTTAGCTTGTTTATTAGGATAATTTCTAAGGGCTGACTCACACAAGTCACACAAGGGTGATGCATAATGAGCCAGAGTTGACAACTGTTCCCAAAAGTGCTCTCTTCATCTGGCATTCTGGTGTAGAGGAAGACTTTAAAAAGGATAAAAAGGAGCAGGGTGCCAACTTGAATAAAATATGGGGGGGGGCAGGTAAGCCCTGCCCCTCATAATTGATCACAATTCACGGCAACCCCCACCCCATTTGAATGGCAATGCCCATCAACTTTGTGGGGGGAGAGGGGCTAAATATTTTATTGTGGGGGCAAAAGGATTTCGACCCCTTGGAGTTGGCTCTTGTGAAAAGGGGAGAAAAGCAGTCAAAATAAACCATAAAATTTAAAAAACCAGAAGCATTTCTGTTAGGGATTGTAGGAAAAGACCTGCCAAGGAAAATAAAGAACTTATTTATGTATGCGACAACAGCGGAAGAGTCTTAATAGCACAAGGATGGAAGAATGAGGAAATCCCGACAAAAGAACAGTGGCAAGGGAAATTGATGGATTATGCGGAACTGGAGAAATTGACATACAAACTGCGAGATAAGGACAACTGTGGCTTTAAAGAAGAAAGGGAACTTTTTACAAATTACTTAAAAAAACAACAAAATGAACTGGACTCCTTGGCAGGTTTTGAATAAACACACACAAATTTATTATTATTAACATAATAGATAGATAATTTAAGGATCTTTACAATTTTATAATATGCAGAGAATAATATGTGTTGAAAAATCAGAGAGAGGAGCTGAGGGAAGTCTTGGGGGGAGTGAGGGAGGGTTTTTCTTGGGGAGGGGGGAAGGGAAAAAACGGGGGGGGGGGGATGAAGATTATATGTTTTTGATGATTTGATATGTTGAAATTCTTAATAAAAGCTATTAAAAAATTAACCATAAAATAAAATTTAAAAACGTATCTAAAATGCTTGCTGAAATTAAAAGGACTTTGCTAGGTGCCAGCAGTACAACAGTGAAGGGACATGGCTGGTGTCAGCTGGGAGAAAGTTCCATATGACAGAGTAATGAGAATTGGGCCCCCCAAAAAACAATTCTGGGAATTATAGGGATAGAACTACCTAAATTGCATAGAAATTTACCGGTATTCATGTATGCGACTACAGCGGCAGGAATGTTACCTGCCCAAAAATGGAAAGAAGAAGAAGTCCCAGCAAAGGAACAATGGATACAAAAACTTATGGAATATGCAGAAATGGCAAAACTTACTGGAAGAATAAGAAATCAAGATAACAAACTTTTTATAAAAGAATGGAAATGGTCTATTGAATATTTACAGATCAATTGTAAACAGATAAAAACACTGGCAGGGTTATTGTAATAACCTGCAGCTATAGAAGAGTAAAAATATAAAGAAGATAAATAAAAGAGTAAGTTAAGTGAATTTGGATATGCGGACACAATGAAGCCTTTAACGTCCTATTCGTTTTCTCCCACTGGCATGATGAAAGCTGGACCATCTGTAAATTCCAAGGTTGAGTTTAGGCTACCCTAACTACAGTAAAAAGGGACGCGGGTGGCGCTGTGGGTTAAACCACAGAGCCTAGGACTTGCCGATCAGAAGGTCGGTGGTTCGAATCCCCGCGACGGGGTGAGCTCCCGTTGCTCGGTGCCTGTTCCTGCCCACCTAGCAGTTTGAAAGCACGTCAAAGTGCAAGTAGATAAATAGGTACCGCTCTGGCAGGAAGGTAAATGGCATTTCCGTGCGCTGCTCTGGTTCTCCAGAAGCGGCTTAGTCATACTGGCCACATGACCCAGAAGCTGTACGCCGGCTCCCTCAGCCAATAAAGCGAGATGAGCGCTGCAACCCCAGAGTCGGTCACGACTGGACCTAATGGTCAGGGGTCCCTTTACCTTACCTTTAACTACAGTAAAAACACCTGCCCTTTTTTCCTTCTTCTTTTAGCACCCTGTAGTATCACAAAAGAGCAGCTGGATGCCAAACACCTGCTTCTGTTTGGTGGCCGAAGGCGTTCCCATGTGATTCAACACAACGGGACACTGGAATTCCTGTGCAGGGAACGATATATCCTCCGGCCTCCTTCAGTCATGAAGTGTAATGACGGACACATGGATCTCCCATCATGCATCTCAGGTTAATGAGCTTTCAACGCTTGATAATTCCTCTTGGCAGGGGGTTGGACTCGATGGCCCTTGTGGTCTCTTCCAACTCTATGATTCTATGATTCTATGATTCTATGAAATACTCAAGGTTATCCTACTTTTACATTTGAAAGCCAGTTTGTCCAGTTGCTCCTACAGATTCTGTTCCTCCTCCTCCTCCTCCTTCTCCTCCTCCTCCTCCTCCTCCTCCTCCTTCTTTTTAAAATAATCATAAATAAATAAGAATAAACATGTGCACCCCACCACCGAGACCATTCCATTGTAACTATCCAACCCCCCAGAATTTCAACACCTCTTGCGGTGGTTTGACCCATTTTTGTTTTAACAGTACAAATTCTACAAACACCCTCCATATCTCCCCAAAATCATTTCTCCTGCATATTCCCCGTCTTACCTTAATGGCACATGTTAATTTATTGTTAATCGCTATATCCAATACCTTTTTATGCCATTCTTCCATTTTATACTCTGCTTGCCCCTTCCACTTTCTAGCTGTAATAATTTGTGCAGCTGTCAATAAATTTGTGAGCATCACAGCCTGTGAACCTTCCACCTCATCGTTAATTGATAATGTTACCTCTGGACTTTCAGTCAGCTTTAACCCAGTGATTTCTGTTGTCTCCTTAAACACCCTTTGCCCCCCCCAAATATTGTACATATTTACACCCCCACCACACGTGAGCATAATTCCCTGTTTCCTGGCATCCCCTCCAACATAACACTGAATATTCCTTGTTTATTTGATTTAATTTGACTGGTGTTAAATATCATCTCCAAAATAATTTACAGTGGTATCTCAGGTTTACATATGCTTCAGGTTACATACGCTTCAGGTTACAGACTCCGCTAACCCAGAAATAGTGCTTCAGGTTAAGAACTTTGCTTCAGGATGAGAACAGAAATCGTGCTCTGGCGGCATGGCGGCAGCAGGAGGCCCCATTAGCTAAAGTGGTGCTTCAGGTTAAGAACAGTTTCAGGTTAAGAACAAACCTCCAGAATGAATTAAGTACTTAACCTGAGGTACCACTGTATAATAATTTTCTTTTATTCTTATAGACAGCATTTTCAACGTACGTTTCTCCCATAATTTCCCCCAGCTGTGACTATCTATCTGCCCTGTTGTCTCCTTTTCCCACACCTCTTTTAATTTTCTGTCCTTTCTTAAAAGTGGTTCCTGAGCCCACAGTACACCTTGTACGTCTGCACGGTCTTCTGCTGTGGGATGGATTAGGATGGTGGGCAGGTAAATAATAGCAATACACAAGGGGAGCAAAACAAAGTAACCAGAAACGTGCACAAAACCTATTGATGAGGCCTTTGTAAAAAACAAAATCATAAGCTGTCATGCTTATTTGAATTGTAATAAAGACAGACTCCTGGAAATGCAATGCAATTTGTTAATTATGATGATGGTGATAATGGAATCTTGGCACTAAATATCATTCCAGTTTGTGGAGAACCACCTGAAGTTGACTTTGCAGAGACTGTAAGAAGTGTGAGAACCCAGTTTCAGGAATTCGAGAGCATAAGGGCATTTTACAAGTGCAACCCCGGTTATGTGATGGAAGGATCTGGATGGATGATATGCAATGGACAAAACTGGACAGAACCACTGAAGTGTCTGGGTAAGGGGCATGTTCTGTTTGCCAGTTCCTTCTCCAGGTGGATCACATTTAGTCTAAACTCTCGGCTATGACCTGTCCATCTTTGGTGGCCCTGCACGGCATAGCTCATAGCTTCTCTGAGTTATTCAAGCCCCTTTGCCATGACAAGGCAGTGATCCATGAAGGGGATCAACATCTATAGCAACAGCTAAAAAGTATGGAGTCAAGTTTGTCTAGGTAAATTGCAGCATGTTTTCCTCTGGCCATCCTTCTTGTGAAGGGGAATAAATAGATGAAGAAGGAATCACAGATGCTACAAGATTCTCCCGAATCTTTCCCCCTCCCAATTTTTTTTAATTGATTTTAACAAATATAACATATAAAACATACAAAAGAAAACACATTACAATACTAAAAAAGAAAAAGAAAAGAAAAAAGAAACAAAAATATAAACACATATTCCTTCTAAAGTTCATTTTAATTTCCATTGTTAACTGACTTCCTCAAATCCCCCCTAACTGAATTTCATTGTATCCGCTTCTAACAGTTCTCCTCTTTCTAATAATAAAATTAACCCCCTCAATTTACTATCTTCTAGTCTTTTCTTAATGTTCAAAATCCATAATGCTTAACAATTCATTCTTATTTTATTCCTAAGCCTATTTGATATTTTCAAGTGACTTCAAATTATTGTATATTACAATATATGGCTAAATAGTCTTTAAATTTATTCCAATCTTCTTGATACTCCTCTTCTTTCTGGCCGTGGATTCTTCCAGTCAGGTCGGCTAGCTCCAAAAAGTCCATAATCTAAGATTCTCCCAAATCTCTGGACTTCCGACCTTCCCCTCAATGCGTTCTATTATTAAACCTTTCCTACTGCATCTTTTTTTAAACAAACCATATTTTAAATAACTCCATTGTATCCATAGTTCTTGCTACAATACAAGTGTTATTGCAATCCTGCTAATGTTTTCAGCTGCTTACAGTGGTTTTTAAGGTACATTGTAAAATTTCCCCACTCCTTATTGGAGTTTTGGTCTTCCAGGAAGGCTAACTGCTCTTTTTTTTTTTTTTTACCCCTTGCAGCACCCTGCAGGATCACAAAAAACCAGCTGGATTCCAAACAACTGCTTCTGTCTGGAGGTCGGAGACATTCACATCTGGTTCAACACAATCATACATTGGAATTTCTGTGCAGGAAAGGGTATATCATCTCAGCTCCTTCAGTCAGGAAGTGTCTCGATGGGCACATGGATCTTCCATCATGTATCTCAGGATAAGGATGAGCTCTTGACTCTTGGTGATCCCTCCTGAATTATCTAAAATACTTTAGGGGTTTGCTTGCTGTCTCACTCTATGATATATGAAGACGACTTCTTCCAAATCCTCATCAAGGTTCTACCCTTCTTAACAGTGATTCCCCAATTCACAGACTAGCTCAGATAGCCGGGTGGGGGCACTGGCCAAGGGCACATGACCTCACAGGTGCCAGAGTCAGACTGATGTTGCCTTCTGCCTTCCAGGTGCCTTCTGCATGGTGTTCCTTCCAGGTCTCTTAACTGCTCTACGACGCCCCTGACTCCCCATGGGAGCTGGATCAGTCCCACTGAATTGGCGCTTCATGTCAGAAACTGCTCCTTTTCCTTGGGGATAATTCAGACTGAAATTCCCAGGTGTCAGAAAAGGTCATTTATGTACGCCAGTACTGGGGTCCTTGCTTTGTTAGCCCAAAAATGGAAAACGAGCATTCTGGATTAGTTGTAGTTTCCGGGTCACCTTCAATGGTAGCCCCATGTAGAGCTCATTGCAGTAGTCCAAGCTTATCATTATCGTATTATATTTATGCCCCACCATTTTCCCTGAAGGGACTTAAGACAGCTTATAGCTTGATCACAACTTTTAACTTGGTGGGGGGGGGCGGGAACCATTAAAAAACTTAAACATGATACAATTAAAACCATATATCTGCTAGCATTTGTCTGTCTTGGGAGACAATGGAGGAGTGCACTTTTGGGAGTGAAGTCAAACAGTTGGAGAGCTACAGCGCCTGCTATGGCTGTAGAGACCGATAGGGGAGAGACATGTTTTGTTGCTTCTGGGGCTGATAAAGGCATCCGGTTGTGCTGTGGCAGATATAGTATTGCATTTCTTATTTCTGTGTTCCTCCCAGCAGTTATTCCTCCTCTGGTCCCTGCTATGGATGCCCAATCTGACTGTCTGTCTCTTCAGCACTGTGGTTGACTACAAGGGATTCCCACACAGTGGGGTTGATATTGCTACCCATCATGCCATCTTTGTAATGCAGAGTGAGTCTGCCAACGGGCCTGGTGCCTTAAGCCAGTTCCCTAAAGATGTGCTCTGTGGGGAGCTGGTTTCAAAACGACCTATATATAGTTTATATAGAAACTATATAAAACAACACAGCACCAGCCCCTTCATTAAAAGCAGCCAGCTCCCCAAAGCCTATTGAAACAAGGAAGTCTTCAACATCTCTCTTAACACGGTTGCTGTCTTCACTTATAGTATTTGAAATGATTGGAGGAGGGCTGTTGTGAACTAGCCCCCCTTGAAATAGGGAAGTGAATAGGTAAAGCAGCAGTGCAAAATCATAGCTGTCAACTTACAGATTTGAAAATAAGGGACCAGCAGCCTCGAAAATAAGGGATCAGCAGCCAAAATAAGGGATCAACAATTACTTTGATAAAATACATATTTTGTTGCATGAAAATGGCTTTAGATACCTATTAGGTCCATAAATGACCATATAGCATATATTCAACACAAAAAACCAGCAACAATTTGTTGTTGACAAAGGACAGCTGGACATAGAAAGGGCCCCATTACCTTCAGTAGCTTATTTAAGGGACATCATCAATAAGGGACAGCAGCGGGACATGGCGCTGGGATAAGGGACTGTCCCACCAAATAAGGGACGCTTGACAGCTATGTGCAAAATCCATGAAACTGGGATCTTGAAACAATGTAATATTTCCTATTTTGATAAGCATCCAGAATGTGGCATTTCTTAATATTTCACAACCAGTTTTGTTTTTTTAAGCAAACAGATGGCAAGTTATTACATCCGCATTGTTCCTGGGAATTTACTTAGCAGGAACTTGTTTTTTCTATGTGACCGTTTGTGCTTGGAGTCCACTCAAGTGAGTGGGATAGATTAACCCTTTCTTCTTTCATGGAATAAAGCTCAATGCAACTTTTAATTATCCATATTATAATTCCTTTAGAACGACCCATTGCCACCACTGCCTCCACTGTGTGCCCTGAAACATCTGGTACTGGCAGAGAAGTGGTGCCTGCCAGGCCATCTTAAGCATATTTGGCGCCGTGGTGCAAGTGATGTTCTTGGCGCCTCTCCCCCTCCTCGTCCTCCTCGCCCCCTGAGCTGGGCAGCTCAAGGCTCGCTTGCCACGCGGGCTTCCTCAGCAGTCCTGCTACTGCCACGGGGCGGGCAGGAGGGAGAAGGGCGCCATGTAGTTTTGCGTGCCACCACCACCACCTCCTCTCCCAGGCAGGAAGCGAGAGAGCACAGCTGGCCGTAGGAAGAGCAGCCACCGCCGCCCAGCATGTTCCGGACTCCTGCTGCTGGGCACCACTGATGGATGGGCGCCCTGGTGCAGGGCGCCACTAATCCTAATGGATAAGATGGCCCTTGTGCCTCCATTGGTGCCAATTTCAAGTGAAAGCCTGCCAACTTCAGGTGAGGTCTCACCCGAAACGGATGCAATCTCACCCCAAATTGGCTTCAGTGCTGGTGCTGCTTCTCTGCAACTGGTGGAGCTGAGCTAGCTCTGCCTAGTAGTGCACATTGCTGTTAGAGGACAGCTAAAAGGGCTTTCTCAGAAGTTTGCAACTTGGTAAGATAGGTTTGTTGCTGTTCTGCCTAGCTGCCATCACCACACCAAGTGCTGTGCCAATGCAAATCTTTCACAAGCACTCCTTGTTGGTTTCAAAGTTCATGTTCCCCATTCCAGTAATCCTTCCTCATCTCACGGCACAGAGCCATGAACCACCAGTGATTTTTTTTGCAAGGACAGTCATTAGAAAAATTAGTTGTAGAAAGTGAGTATCCTGTGGTCCAGAGCAACAAGCAACGCTATGGAAAGCTGGCTGTTCTCCGTTCTTCCATTTCTTCTGTGGACATGCTGTACTTCCCAAAATGGTGAGCCCACACTTTTTAATGTATGAAAAGCTCAACAGTATAATTAGCGGTAATGATTTTATTAATATATCAACTTGTAAATGCCCTCGCATCAGATGTCCAAGGAATAAACAACTATCTGACATTTAGAAGACATCTGAAGGCAGCCCTGTTTAGGGAAGTTTTTAATGTGTGACATTTTAATGTATTTTTAATCTTCATTGGAAGCCGCCCAGAGTGGCTGGGGAAACCCAGCCAGATGGGCAGGGTACAAATAATAAATGATGATGATGATGATGATATTGTAAATGGTAGAGCATTTCAGCCTTATAAATGCTTATACTTGAAGATTACCAATATAGACGGTTATTTTGAAAAATATTGGATTTAAGATGCATTTATTTAACACATTTTTAATGTGTCTTTCAGAGTTCCAACCTTCAAAATGTGTTTTACCAGTTATAGTTAGTTCAAAAACTATAAGGCTATAACAGATAAATATTTTAAAAAACATCTAAACGTTAACATAACATTAAAATGATAGCATCAGCTTACATTTTTTTTTTTAAAAAAGGGAAATATTTGACTTGTGTTTGGTTTCAAAGTACAGCTTTATTTATTTACTGTCAGGCTTCAGGGAATTGGCATCCTCCTCCGTGGCTGTAGATAAGCAGAACAAAGGAAAAGGATTCTTCTTACTAGTTAGAAACTTTAGTAATCACATCAAGAGAACTAAGAACCCATCTCTTAGTAATAGCGGTGCTCCCAATTAAATAGCCCACCCCCTTCTGTCCCTATGAACCTATGTCACTTCTGCGTCTCGTAATCTCAGCTTGTCCCCTCTGTGCTTTCTGTTCTGTGACTTTCTGAGCCCTTCTAGCTTTGGGGAGGGCAGTGGAGGAATGCTGTCTAGAGGCTGTGAATCTGTTAACCCTCTCCCTTCCAGTGTTTCTTCTTCTAGGTGTTCACCATCCAGTATATCCCAGCTTCTGCCTTCTGAACTATGCCCCTCTGCAAACCACTGTTCCCAATCTATACTGTCCTCCTGGGAAAATTCAGGATCTGGATCAGGAGCGGGGGGCAGGAGGAGACTCCCACCATTCCTCCTCAGTGCAGTCCTCCACAGCATGGTCCCTGATATTTACTGTGCTTTCAGGAAAATGTGAGAATGTTGATATTGATTGTAAATATAATTGCAGTTTGTCTAGAACCACCTGACATTGATTTTGGGGAAATGATAAGTGATGAGAAGGCCAGGTACCTGGAGGGTGACAGAACACAATACAAGTGCAACCCTGGATATGTCTTGGAAGGCACTGAATGGATAACATGTCATGGGCAAAAGTGGACACCTGCACCCAGGTGTTTGGGTAAGGAGGCATCTTGACTTTCAATATTGCAAACTCTAAATCAAAATGTGGGGTGTCCAACATAGCCTCTGGAAACTCACCTGCATGCAGAGTTGAATCTGAATTCACATCCTACCTCCAGCATGGAATCAAGGTGTCACTTTGGGCCAGTTTGCATCTTGGAGCTCTTGTTCCTTTTCTCAAGACTGTGAGGGGGGGGGGGGAGAAAAGAAGGGTCACAATCCAATGACATACAGGCCTGTAATCCTATACCCCATCCCAAGGATTAAGCCCATTGCACTGAATGGGAGTTACTTCTGAAGTGCATCTGTAGGGTGGTGCTATTAAATACATCCCCATACATTTCAGTGGGTGGCAAGTTAGAGACTATTTTTACTCCCATGTTGACCTTAATGGGTTTTTTCAGGACGTAAATGGAAGTTGACAGAAACCACAATGAATGACTGAGTGGGTGCAGCAAATGAGTCTGTCCCTATTGCGTTTCCTCATGTGTTTACATCCTCCCGTTTTGAACACGTAAAGACAGCTACAGATATGAGGTAACCTTGCAGCACAAAGGGCAAATGGAATAGGACACACAGAGAAATGAGTCCCTGTGATGATCCCCGCCTCCCCTCCCTTTCTTTCTTTTAGCACCTTGTGGTATCACAAAACAACAGCTAGACGCAAAAGACCTGCTCCTGCCTGGGAAGCGAAGACGGTCCCAGGTTACAGACTCTGCTAACCCGGAAGTAGTACCTCGGGTTAAGAACTT